GAGTGCTGGGGGTGGTTAGATTGCAGACACAGGGTGCACCATGGAAGTGGTGAGCAAGGCCTGCCGTCCCAAACTGAGAAGAGAAATAGGGGGTCAGATAACCATAGCTGGTTAAAACTTGGGTCAATCTGGCTTCAACATCGCGCTCATAATATGCAACAGTAAAAATGGGATGTAGCTTCTGGGAGGGCAGGGAGGGCCACGAGGACCATATTGCAGTGGGACGATCAGTGAAATGGAACTCGGTTTGCCAGGAGGTGGTCGCTCGCTCATGCACCTAGCACCGGATCCATGTCAGGGTGGGTAGGACACTATCAGGTAGGGACGTGCCTGCCTTGGCTAGCTGATCCCCCACTTCGTTACTCAGTACACCCTTATGTCCGGGTACCCACAGCAAAGAAAGTTTCAAAAAAGGATGGCACTCCATGAGGGGAGCCAGAAAGGCCCAAAAATGAGCAGAAAATGCCTGGCCACTATGTGGGCTCAGTGAGAGGATACTGGATAGGGCGGCGTGATTGTCCGTGCAGAGATAGATGTGAATGATCATGGGGTAGGTTGCCAGAAAACTGGCAAATTGGCTGGCGACTGCTGCCATCGCATAGAGCTCAGCATCATAGACCTCTGCCCAGTGACTCATGTCCCAGGTCTGCTCATACTTGACTGCACCCTGATGAATGATGCATGCATCTGCACCTGCTCTTCAGTTCTTCAGGGTAAGGTCAGGTTGGGCAATTTGGGAGCCATCAGTGAAGACCCACAAGGCATCGAGGAGGGAGATAGAGGAGTGCATGAGAGAGAAAAGGAAGAAATGTAGGTAGTCTGTTGAACCGTCTTTGATAGGCGGCAGTACGCAAACCTGAACCTGCATACCCCAGGGGTGTGCAGGCTCCCAAGGTGGCTGCAGCCAAGGATCAAGGCACACCGCTCAATTGGGAAGGGTCTGCTTGAGCATGTCCATCACGCTAGTGCTGTAGTGAATGAGGACAGCGGAATTGAGGAGGGAGAAGTTGGGTGGATGGGTGGCTCAGTTGGCAGCCAGACAGTGAGTTATGGGGTGTGACTCAGGGAGGGTGAGGAGGTGGACAGTGGCAAGGCCGTTGAGTTTGTCGAGCTGCTGCCGCATCAGCAAAATGCTTGAGATGAGGTTGAGGACGTGGTGAGGGGTGGACTGCCACGCTCCCATGAACCACCATAGTGCATCAGTCTGTACCTGCTGCAGGGGTTTAAAGAGTGAGCAAGGTCCTCATGGGTCGTACCACATGGGACTACCAAAGGTGAGGATGGGGAGGATGATGGTGAGGTAAAGCAAACGGGCTTGCACGACCGTCATACCACACTGAGTGTTAGCGAGCATGCAGAAGGCAGCAACTCGGGATGAGGCCCTGGAAGCCATGACCCTGATGTGGTGGGTAAAGGTAAGGCAACGGTCATACCAGATGCTGAGCCAGTGGAGATAGGAAGCAGGCTGAAGGGTGATGGTATGTCCATCTCACTGTACCTGCAGAGGAGGGTTGACGTTCAGAGAATGTCTGGGGGAGGTAAAATGCATCAGCTTGGTCTTGGCCATGCCAATGGTGAGCCTGAGTTGATGCAGGGTGGTGCCCACACACGGTAGCGTGCACTGTATGATAGTGGCATTCTCATTCAAGGAAGGAGAAATGATGAGGAGCGCAAAGTCATCTACATAGCCGGCGGTGGACTGCTGGAGATGCACGAATGGGTCAAGGTTCACATAAAGTGGGGAAGAGTAAATGGTAGAAAGAACAGACAACAGAGGTGAGTCCTGCGGGATGCCTAGCACAGCAACCGATAGGAGGATCCCAGCTCAGAGTTGAGCTTGGGCCACACTGTGCGAGAAGAAAAAAAGTCATGGTCCATCGGACCTCATTGTCAGGAAAACCCATAGAAAGTAAAGCAGAATGAAGGACGTCATGGTGAATGCTATTATAGTAGCCCTCAACTCCATGCACAAAAGGGTGGCAGAGAAGCCATTTTTCCAGGCAGTGTGAATGCGATGTGTGAGGGTGACACCGGCATCCACAACCGAGTTACGGCCATGCCCACCAAACTGCGAACCAGGCACAAGATTATGTGCACCTATTTGAAAATTGAAACACGCAGAGATCACTTTCTCAAGGACCTTACTCAGGGTTTCCAAGAGCATGATGGGGTGGTGGGCTTTGAAAACGGTGTAGTCCACCTTGCCCAGTTTGGGTAGGTAAACGACCGCTGCAACCCGCAGCAGAGTGGGGAGATATCCCATGCATAACGAAGCAGAAAGAAAATGAAAGAGGGTGTCATGTGCACCAGACCACCAAACCCATTTCAAAAGGTGCCAAGATGTCCCAGATACCCCAGGCACAGAGTAGTTGGATGCAGTCTCAATGGCGGTGGCCACTTCGGAGAAAAGTAGGGGTGATCTGGTCACACTGGAGGGGGCATGAAAGCAAAAAGCGGAGGCAAATCAGGGAGTAGTGAAGAAGCAGGAAAATAAAATTGAGTGAGCAGACATCCTGCATCTGATGGAAGGGAGCCCACTTCCTTGCCCATTCAGATGACGGGTAGTGGGAGCACCCACACCCCTTTGGTTCAAGAGGTGAGCTGCCAGGGATTAGTGTGCTGGAGTTGCACAATCGCCTCTCGAGTCCAGTCTCTTCAAGCCTGTCAGATGACAGCAGAGAGCGTGTGTTTGGTGGTGTGGTGCTTCTCACAGATGTGAGCAGTCTGAGCGTGGGCACATGCGGTGTCGCATGCATCATTCCACCAGAGCTGTGAGGCCTGGTGAGCATGTGTATGGTGAGGAAAGACCTCATGGCTGGCGATGGTCATTGCCCACATCAGGGCATGTGCCCTGGCCTCCAGGTCAGCAGTGGTGGAGTAGGCTGATGGTGGTGGGGAGAGCACAAGCTCATGGGTGAGGCAAAGCTCCCAGTCATCGCATCTGGACACATCAATCCAGAAACTGAGGTTAACATCGACTGGGTGAGTGGTGTGGGATAGAATAGAGGTTAGTAGCGCATGATCAGACTTGAAAGGAGTGGGAGTAGCAGCAACTCCGTAGACATGAAATTGTGCATTGGAGGTCGTGCAGACCAGATCGATAATGGTATCCGAGGGCAGGTTTCCATCAACCATGTGGGTGGGCTGATCGAGGTCATTAAGAATTGCAAGCGATTCATGCTCAAGCCATCCAGCGAAAGCGGTGGAGGCAGATGAGGATGATCATGAGGTATGATCAGTCCAAGACCATAGGAGATGGTGGAGATTAAAGTCACCCATGATGAGGAGGTTCATCTTAGGCAGAAAAGGAATATCGTAGAGGAGAGGCAAAATGTGGTGTTGAGCCCACAAGCCCTCATTATAGCAATTGATGGTGAAGAAAGATAATGATGAATCGACACGGGACACAAAGTGAATCACAACTATGTCTGGGTCCGATACCAGGTCGGTGCACATGGAGACATGATAAGTGTTTAGAAGCATTCACCGGACCAGGATACTGGCTCGAGGCCTCAGCATAGCAGAGGTGGAATGAAAGTGAAAAGTGTCCAGGCCATAGGGCTGGACATTGACATGACCATAGATAGTTCGATACCAATCTGACCCCACCATGGCTCTTGAAGGAAATAGATGTCATATGATGAAGAGGAAATGAAACCGTGGACACATGGATTGGACCGGGCCACATTCAGATGGGCGATTGTGATATTCATGAGGAAGGGTTCACGCGTGAGATGAGAATGCGGTAATCTTTCTGTGCAGGGCAAGTGGAATTGGTGGCACTGTGACCATTTGTGCCACACATCACCAAGAAGTAGTGAGCAGGCTCGCAAGGCTGATCAGCTGGGTGAGCCTCATAGTTGCACATCAGGCATGCCTGACAGTGCATATTGGAGGTGTGGTCAGTTTTTCCACAGAAATGGCACACAGGCACATGTTTCTTGCAGTGGCTCTTGAGGTGAGTGAGATGTCAGCACCGGGTGCACTGGCAGAAGACGGGGTGCTCTTTCAACTTCTTAACAGTGATACGGAAGCTGTAGAACCAGAGGAAAGCAGCAGCATTACTGCAGTTATCACATCCAATAAGGTTACGTGCACAGTAGTCATGATGTGCATCCTCGATCAAGACAATAATGGAGGATTTATCAAGCTGCTCATGGTGTTCCTTGGGAACGACGAAGTCTGAGAGACCATTAAAGTGAACAGACGAGAACATGGAGTTGCGGCGTAATTCTGCCATGATTTTCTCCTCAGTGAGCAAAAGCCCTGTGTCAGGGTGATGAAGCAGGCAGCTCAGTATGAAGAGTTTAGTGACCGAAACTAGCAGACGGAAGTCCTGCAGTGCAGAGGTGTGCTCATGTAGGTCAGGGACAGATGAGGCAGCCCACGGAACCACCCCCCAGGATGTGCCGGATGAGACGAAGGCACTCACGTATGAGTGAGTCAGGGAAGTCATGAGAGAAGACGGCCATGACCTTGGTAGGTCTAGCAAAATGACAGCTGAGAAGATGTATCTTGGCCCATGTGGGCGTTTCACGCAGGCAGGTATCGATTTTAGCATACCACTGTGGCATGGTCCTGCCTGTTTCAATGGATGCACACTGCTCAGGGGTAATGAGGAGAGCATAGCTCTTCTCTTGAGATTTGGAGACTGCCTGCACCATTGTAGGCTTCGCAGTGGCATGCTCAACGGGTGGTGCAGCAGAGGCCACAGCCAACGCAGCTGTCGTGGGCATGTCACGTGGGTGACCACCTGGCATTGGAGTGGGTTTCGTGGTGGCTGGCATTTGAGGGGCTGGCTGGGCCGGTCGGGTGTGGATGAGTTGGGCTTCAATCGCCGAGAGTCACGTGTTGATGGCCATGTTAGCCATGTGCACGCTGTCTTCTACAGCTTTGGCCACAGCTGCCTGAAAATTGATGCTCACAGGCAGAGTGGTGTCAGTCCTAGAACGTCCCCTAGGTGGCTCCAGAAGTCCATCATCAAGTTCATCCACATCATCTCACAGCGGGTCCGAGGTGGTGAAGAAGTGGTCGAAAATGCATAGGGCAGCTGTGCCTATGTTGGAGTTGTTGAGAACCGGGTCGACAAGGAGCTCAGTGTGGAGCTCTCGACAGGTGGTGGTTAGCATGGTAGCAACCTGGGTGAAGTCATCCAGGTACGTTGCAGGGTTGAGGTGGGCAAGGATCTGACAGACGGTTTTTGCGAGAGCCCTGGCATTGTTGCTGACGTGGCACAAAAGGTCATTGAAGCTCTTCTGCATGGCCTTGTTGGCTTCCACACGTAAAGCCCAGCTGTCCGCAGGGGGTGTTAAAGGTGCTGCAGCATTTACGCTGCCTGGTGGAGCAATGGGCTCGACGCCAGAGGCCTCCATGTCGACATCGCTGGCGGTCGCTGGTTGGGCACCTAAAGCAGACATGGTGGTTACAGAACAAGAAGGGATGAGGTCTGCAGATTAATACTATGCTAGCATGCTAGTACTATGCTAGTACTAAGGTCTGAAGGCTAGTACTATGCTATTACTAAGGTCTGTAGCTTAGTATTAAGGTCTGAATGCTAGTACTAGCATAGTACTAGCATAGTATTGATCTCTAGATGTTAGCACTAGCTTAGTACTAGCACAGTATTGATCTCTAGATGTTAGCACTAGCTTAGTACTAGCATAGTACTAGCATAGTACTAGCCTTCAGACCTTAGTACTAGCATAGTACTAGCATAGTACTAGCATTCAGACTTTAGTACTAGCATAGTACTAGCATAGTACTAGCATTCAGACTTTAGTACTAGCTGAATGCTAGCTTAGTACTGACCTTCAGACCTTAATACTAGCATAGTACTAGCATTTAAATCTTACTATCAGCATACTGCTAACATTAGAATCTTAGTATTACTCTTCTGACTATAATACTAGTATACTGCTAACACGTAAACCTGAGTATTAACCTCCATATCTTAGTACTAGCTTAGTATATAAAAACAAAGGTGTGACATAGCCACAATATTTTCATCATCTCTGATCAAAAAAGAGTGAAAAATGATTTTGAAACTTTTCATCATAGTTTTGTATGAAAGATTGTAAAATGACTGTAAAAATGATTATTAATATTTCATGCAATCTCATTTCAATCTTTTCATCATCTTTCACAACAAAAGATGTTAAAAAAAATTTAAATACTTTTATCACAAATTGACAGTGAAGATGCTTAAAAGATTTAAACTTTTCCTTCAATATTTTTACCATCTTTCACCTCAAATTATTGATTGTTTCACCCAGTGGACAGCTTGGCAGAAATTGATGCCTAATTAAAGGAAAAGGTACATATGAGCCCTTTTCAAGCCTTTTTCTAAGCTTATTCACTTGATAAAAAAGGCTAATTTAATTCTAATACCTTTTCTGTGATGAGAATCAGTACTTTCATTTCTGTGATAGACCATCATGATAGAATCTAAGTTATAGGAGATACATTGTGGATGAATGATAACATAGCTGCTGAAAACAGTAGACTGTGATGATCTTGTTTAAGACAAACTACATAGATTGATTAATTTGTTACAATCTGAGAATTGTGATTGTCACGAATGACCTTAGTCATTCAGGCTATAACTGAGTAACGTATAGTCTGGGCTTATATAAGGGCTCCATCTCATTGGATCTTCCCACACCTGTGGCTGGCACTTTGGTACATGCACCCTGCCAGTGAGTGATCGTCGTGCGCTCTCTGTTGCGCCCCCGTCGTATCTGTGAATTCCTTTGTGTAGTTCACATTGTCTGTTACTAGGTCGTCTGTCTCTCTTATGAGTTGATTTTTGTGCCTGTGGCCATCTTCTCACCCTGATGCACCTTGCCATTTATCATGCCCCTGTAATCAAGGAGGTGCTCGTCTAGCTCAAACGTGTTCAGTGCAGAGGATGTACATTCCGAATCTGTGGTCTCTGTCAATTTTGCTGCTGATACTCGCTTTCTTTATTGCAGCTGCTTTGAGTCTCAACGTGCTGCTTGTGTGCCTCCCAGCTACCGTCATTGGTGTTGTCACCTTCAGGTTTCATTTCTTGCTTGTATGCTGCCTTACTGCTCACTGATTCCTTTGCTCAGATTGCATAGAATGACTTTCAGATGTTCTGCACGTAGTGTGAATGCAGTTGAGCATGCCCTACTATCTCATAAGTGTGATGGCTCTTGTCCTGCTACATTATGTGAGTTTGCTGCTTTTTGTGTTGATGACGTCATTTCAAATGCTCCTCCACATCTTGTTCATTCACGAGAACTGTAGGTTGCTTTTTCAGTTGTGATTGAAAGCTTGCTTTGCACGCTCTGAGTGTACGCCGATGATAACGACCTCGTCATGCTCAAGTGCACCATCATGCATTTCAAATGTGATGCAACTGGTGATCCTGTATATGACAGTGAATGAAACTTCTGGCGCACACAGCTCGAACTGCTCACTATCACGAAACTTATTGGAGGACCTGAAACAATGATCAAAGAAGAGCTCGGAATGGAGGACGATTGTCACGGTTTTTACCTGACAAGTCATTATAAGAACAAATGCTATTAGAAGCATATTATTTTCATCATTTCGCGTCGCACGAGAATCACATGACCTAATGGGAGATAAGATAACAAGGCATCTAGTCACATGACCTCAGATCTTTCTCGGCATTGTCACGTGACACTGAGCCTCTCGGCATTGCATCATATGTTGCCATAGCCATGATGCAATATTGCGTGCTCAAAGGGAGCTCTGTCTCTGTGGGTTATTATTAGGCAGCCAATCAGGATAAGTGGGACATGTCGTATGATTGTAACACTGACCAGTAGAATAGCGTGTGACTCGCTTAGGTAGTACTGTACAGTAGCATAGCAATCATGTATATAAGGACCAGGTTTGACAAGGAGGGACTCCAGTCTTATTCTCCTTTGTCTACCACTACCATCACAGAGGGGTCTTACCAGACACTCTCAGTGTGCTATACATCTATTTGCATCCTCATACCTTGTGATAGTGTCCCTTGCCTCGCCAGTAAGTCTTACTTCGCAAACAGCAACTGCCACCTCGTCAGTGAGCATGTCGTATCGCCACAGCTCATCACTGTAGGCTTTCACCCAGAGACCCTCAAGGGGACTCTTTGTTTGGGTAGTCTATCTTTGTCATCGGCGTGCCGTGACAATGATGTTCACATTTGATTTTTCATTCACTGATCTTACTGTCCCTGCTCACATTGTTGTTTGAACTGTAACTTTACTAGTACTACTTGACCATCATACTGATTCTAACTGATCTGTAACTTTGTACTTTTCACGATAAATTGTATTTGTGACAACCTCACCAGTTATTTGGAACTGGGTGTGCGGATGCAGCACTGATAACCCCAAGTGTTGCAATCTGAGGATTGTGATCGTCATCATAGATAAGATTATTTTATGACTCAGTTTTAGCCTACATAAGCTTTTTGATACAAAATCACTATTTCTATCCTGGCTGCTCCTTACAAGTTTGCCAGCAGCTGTAAGGCACAATACAAGCTCTTTATCTGTGCCTGTCAATCATGCTGTGTGATGGTACAATGACCATATACTGGTTTCAACATGATTGTATTTCAAAACCTAGAGCAAGTGAGTAGAATAATGCCTCAAAACACCTCAACATCCTCTCTGGTGAGCAAACATTTGCAGTTCCCCACCACCTCAATGAATCGAGCTGAGATGCACATGCTTGCTATGCTTTGTTGCAAGTTTCTTGATCATCTGACTGTGTTAGCAGTCCACACTCCTTTCAATTCTCCGGTGACCTTGTTAAAGTGTGTATGAATGCTGTAAATGGCAGAAAAGCTGGTTATCTAGGTATATATCTTGTACCACATTCTGTCCCTGTCCCATATGCATTCTTAACCCATTCTGTCTTCAGATATCACCTTTGATGTGTTTCACCATGGTGCAGCCTTCATCAGCAAAATGTCTAAAGGCCTATCTGATGTTAACTATCTAATAAAGAAGCTGTGCTACCAGCAGCAGGCACAGGCTTGACACTATGCAGTGAGGACTTAGTGGGCAAGGCTACAAGTCTCCCAGCTAAGGGGTCGAGTCTCTCAGTGGAGAAGTCACTATAGATTGTGATGTAGCTACCTGATATATATACATGTGGGTAAAGACCCCATATACCAGGCTAAGAACTCTGGTATCTACAGCCACTATCTACTTACATAGATGAGTAATACTACAGTATCTAACATATGACCTGTGGCTGTGTGTACTGGCCAATGGCATATTACTCAGTGTCGTACGATACTCTATGAATATCCTGATTGGCCAATGTCGTGTATGATCCCTTGGGATTATATCATTGGACATTGTCCTTCCATACCCTTTTTCATACTGTGATCTTTGTAGATTACTTGGAATATATTATTCCTTCAACACTATCTCCAACATGCATGATCTGCAACTTCTGCTGAATCTTCCAGTTGATGTATTTTTTTTCAAATCTGTGACCTCTAAATGACTGACTAACCCCACTGTCCCAGATCAGCCACCCACCGGTGAGTTGATCAGCCTCTCTGTTACCACAAGCTCAGAAAATCCACAGATAGTACAGCAAACAATCACCTGTCACTGGTCAGGGCAATCAGCTGTGGCCTCTGTCCAGAAAGAATATTTATAATCAGACCTGTTGTTTTCTAAAACATCAGAATTTCATATGATTGCCACGAATTACTGTTGAAATTACTGTTCACCAAACAGATATTAATTGTAAAGCATGGCCAAAAGTGTGTGGACACAGAGTGACTCAAGGTGAAGGATGACAACTTGGTATAGGGTCAACAGAGACAAGTATGTAGCATGGTATAATTGATTGACAACAAAGACACACCTTCACGCGATGTCCAGCCAGAGTGCTCAGAGACTAAGTAATATCAATCAGCAAATTCCGCAAAGGCACAGTACTGAAGCTTTTCACGCACCGTAATTGAGTTTGCAATGAATGATTAACACTTTCCTTCATTTTTCCGCATGCAGGAGGTGTTTCCTTCATCAGGGCTCAACATCTGCGGAAGTCTGCATTTTGTTCAGCATAGAATCGCCAAATTCTCCTTTCAGTGCAAAGATACACCCTTGTATAGTTCCAATTTGCCGATCCTGCTTACCGAACCAAATTGAACGGGCACTTACATGGTCCTATGCAGCGAGCATGTCGAACGCGCCGACAACGATGTCCGTAGTCCCATCTAGGATGTCCCCGGTGATATCCAAGTAGTCGTGGTATATACCAAGCACGCCGTTCATCACACTCTACAGTTGTCTAGGTTGAAAATAAGGATATCTTCCGCACCGATCTTCACCAGCTCATCCATGACGTCCGCCACTTTCCGCTTCTCCACCATGCTGCTCACCGCAAGCCAATCCTCATCCTCGAGCGGACTGATCGTCGGCGCCCGGCGACCAGGCGTAATCGACGTTGCCGCGTGCAGCTTTTCTCGCAGAATGTTATATTCGCAGATGACATACTTGCTGGCTGCGACGACGCCCGCTATTCTGCTTGTGAGGAGCTTGATTAGGGGTTCCAGAGACTCGTGTTTCGGCTTGCTGGATTTGATGAGCACAGCCTCGGACTGGAGGAGAGTGGCTATCGCGTGCAGGCCTGCTGCACGCATGGTATCTCCCGATTCTGTAAATTGAATGTGAGTATTGGCTGCATACTCACGACCGCTTACCCACCCACGAGGTCGACTATAATATGAATCAAAGTCAGCTCCGACCGCCATGAAGCAAAGGGACAGACCGCGTACCTATTCCATCTGCAAGGCCAAGCGCACACGCAGCCTCCACGCTTCCGCCAACGTACTCTATCTTCGTCTTCTGCTCTCCTGTCAGGTTGAGCTGCCGGTCTAGCTTGCCAAAGTATTCTCCAGAAAGCACTTCGAAACTGGTCACCACTCGCTTGCCCGCAAGCTGCTCCACCGTCTGGATCGAACCCGCTTCAGGAACCTGAACTTGTAGTGCGCATTTTCCGAAGCTAAGCTTGAGGACCTCCGTGACGTGCTCTTGCATTCGCGCTTCAAGAATGACGTCTTGTCCAGTAATCCCAAGGTCGACATTTCCCTTGCCGACGAAAGACGGGATGTCAGCTGCGGGAAGAAATACGCTAAAATTTTGAGTTGATACGGTCAGTATGTCGCTCACGATTGCTTGAATCAACACGACTCACAGAGCGATCGGTTGGTTCTTAACGAGGCAAACGTCCAGCCTGTGGTCTCTCCGGAATTGGATATCCGCACCTACAGAAGTGTCAACCTTCAGTATATCATGCTTGAAGCCATACGCATTCACCTGCCAGCAGCTCAAGGCATTTTTCATGCAGCCGCCCTGCAGCGCCATTAGAGCAATGCACATTGTTACCGCCGTAAAATCGTACCCTTCTTCGGGATTGCGAACAGCAGACGGCCGTTGAGGGCGTCAGCATCTGCACCAATATATATGAGTCCGAAAATCACATAGTGCATGTTTTTGACATACTCATTGCAATGAGTAGTGTAAGGAGGTGGAGCGTTGATGATCGTCGAGTCAAGCGAAATCAAGATCTACAAAACGCGGACTAGATAAGATAAGATCGAGGGTTGGGCGCTTGCATGCAACAGAGCATCTAGCTCGGCCCACTCCGTCCCGCCCCCCGTAAGCCTAGCAGGTACTTCATCAAAAGTCGTCGGTACAGTTGTATGTACCGCTCGGTAAGTCATTCTCAGATGACCGGCTTCAGTGAGAAGATCAAATTGACAGAATTACAGAGTAGCGAGCACGATCATGGGGACTATGGAGGCTGGCAGAGGCGACAGTGTAACGACAAGCCTAAACATAGCGCCTATTCCAACTTCTCCAACTCTTCCAATCTTGAGAGCACCACCTCCTTGCTCGTTTCTTCAATCTCTCCTGCAAGAAACACCTCATCCAGGATAGCATAGACCTGCAGTAAGAGAAACAGTCATCCAGCAAGCCCAATCTTGTTGTATATGAACATGACATACCTTGTAGAAGTTAAATACCAGGTCCAGCTCGCAGACGTTGTCGAAGAATGAGTCTACTGAAGTGAGAACCTGGAGATGCTCGGGGTGTGAAAGACGAACCTAGCACTTCGACAAAGAGATGGATGGCTTCCAAGTAAGCAAGCTCATTATCGTTCGCGTCTACACAGACGCAGAAGAAGAGGCCAGCATATCGCCGGTACACAATCTTGTGGTTGCGGAACTAGATTGAAGTGAAATGAAACGCGGGATCGCTTCACCTGAGACCTCAGAGCAACTCGACAGCATGAAACGCACCTCCACGAAGTTTGACTGGTATTTCTGATCCCTAGGAGCAACCAGTCGGTGCACTTCTCCACGTAATCGGACCTGCATGAGACGGCTTCTAAACCTTAGTTGCTGTCGCAGGTTATCTTGTTTACCTTCTCGTCATCGTCGTACGGCATGTACCATTTCGATAGACGTGTCTTTCCTTGCCGATTCTTCCCCAGAATGAGGTCGTGCCGGCGACAGATATGAAGCTATTCACTAACCTGGACGAGGATGAAGTTGATCATGATGAGTGTCACTGCGAGCGCCCTATGCCAGACTTCGGCCCAAGCTACGATATTCAGTGCTGCAGAGTGCTAGAAGCCGGTTGGCCGTAGCTGATCCGACGGTGTTCGCGAGTCGAGTTGAGCGGAAAAGAGAGACGATGTAGCGGGAAGCAAGCTCAGCTCGTTTGGGAATTCCTTGAAGGTGTCACCCGTTCGACTTCGGCTACCACTCTGATCCTGCCACATCGTTCCGTTTTTTCAAGAAATGGTGTCCCGAGGCGATGTTGGGAGACTCGTTCGTTGAGATGCTGTGTGGAACGGGACGTGTATAAGAGAGTGAGTGCATAGAATGTAAAGTGAGTCAGAACGCCGAGTTAGTCTTTCCCCGCTCTTCACCTCGACCATTAATGGTTCCCTACTCCCCAGAAACCTTCAAGCCACTACTTGGCAAGCTAGTCAAGACTCCAGAGTTTTTCAGCCCCGATGACCTCCGCCTTGCACTGAATCATATCTTTACGCCAAATGCTGTCTACGATGTGCAGATTGGATCGTTCCTAACTGCCCTTCATATCGAGCGGATCGAGCGAAGACCAGAATTTCTCGCAACCGCAGCGCAGGCTCTCCGAGATCGTGCTCTCAAGGCTGCAGTGGAGGATGCCGATCAGGATTTTGTCGTTGACATTGTCGGCACTGGTGGCGATGGGCACAACACCTTCAACGTGAGCACGACTGCTGCGATCGTTGCAGCAGGGGCGGGTGCCCGAGTGATCAAGGTATGTGTTCACATCAGCGTCTACACCGCAATCATCTCTGAGTGCTTCACAGCACGGAAGCAGGGCATCAACGTCCTCTTCTGGCTCTGCTGATCTGTTGCAGTCGCTCGGCTGTATCTTCACACCTCCCGCTACAACCGAATCCCCAGTGCCAATTCCTCGAGTTCCATTCACCTTCATCCTCGCACCTCATTACCACCCTGCAATGGCAATGATCGCCCCATACCGCAAGGCCCTTCCGTATGTCCGCTCGTTACAGCTATGCATGCATGTCCGCTGATCTGCTGTCGGAAAGTCATCGCACAATGTTCAATGTGCTCGGACCTCTCATTAACCCCGCCCGGCCGCGAGGAATGGTTTTGGGCGTTGCTGAGCGCGAGCTCGGGCCGACTTTCGCTGCGTCCCTCGCCGACGGTGGCGTTGAGCGAGCACTGGTGGTCTGCGGAGCCGAGGGCCTCGATGAGATCAGTTGTGCGGGAGAGACATATGCTTGGGAATTGATTGACGGCAAGGTCACGGAGCGAAGGCTACACCCAGAGCAGTTCGGCTTGCAGTTGCATGCTCTATCGGCTGTGGCTGGTGGCACGCCTGCCGAGAACGCGGAGACATTCATGCTGCTGCTGACCTCAGGGCAAGACATCCCCGAGCGGCTGACGCCTGTGTTGCACTTTGTCCTGTTGAACGCAGCTGCCCTGCTTACTGTGGCCGGAGTTGCGACCGACTTCAAGGACGGAGTGGAGAAGGCTATGACAAGTATTACATCTGGTGCAGCGTGGAAGGCGCTGGAACGCTTCCGAGATGCTGGGAAAGAGGCCAGCGACTAGCATTGCATTCAATCAGGCTTGGGGAGTACTTCGGGGACACCATGTCTAGTCGTTTATTGATAAATTATTGCATCTAGTCGAGAAGTCGAGAGTGCACCGTTGCTTGGATCTCGCTAGATTGAGCTAACGTCATAATAATCTGTTTCAGATACTCATAAAAGATGCTATCCTATCGACACCCAGAATACTTTGAGGTCATTCTGTGGGTAACAGTTTAGCGTTCAAAAAGCCATAGATCACCGACATCGCTCTGTATATGGATGGCACACGATGTTTGCGCTGCATGAGGATGCTTTCGGTTCATATCTGCTCGAGGATGCAGTCGACTACGGCACTCCTTTTGTTCTCAACCACTGCTCTGATTCCCTCTTCCAGTGCACTCTGAAGCTCCGACGCGCTCGCAACACGACGCCCCCAGGCATCTCCCGCAGCGGCAGCGATTTGGGCGTAGTCTGGCATGTCCGGACCGAAGGACACGTTCAGCTGTTGCCCTGTTGCCTTGCTTCCTACTCCGTTTGGGTACATGCCCAACATAGAGTACCTCGGTGACTGATGGCAGAAGGTCATCAGCTGGCAGGGCACATCGTTCCAACAAAGGATCACTTACAGCCCAGCCGCCATTGTTCAAGATGACTGTTAAAAATGGCTAGCACGCAATATCAGCGTCCGTATCCCAGAAACTAGCGAGAATCATACCGTTTTATAGCGCCTGGCCATCCAATATGCAGCGCTTGGCACGCCGAATAGGAAGTCACCATCTCCCACCACTGCTACGATCAACTCATAGTCCTTTCCTGCCACCTGAGCACCCAGACGAGCACCGACTGCGGCACCCAGTGCCCATCCGAGGCTCGAGCCACCGGACATGATCATACTGCCGGGATACTCTGGCTGAATATGGTTCCACACCAGATCGCAATTACTGATGCCCTCGTTGAGCCACAGAATGTTGTTTCCAGACGGAACGTGTGCCTGTGCCGCCTTTCGTAATGCGCGTAAGACGTACGGGACAGTGAGGACGGTTCCGTTCGCGCCCATCGCCATCTCCTCCGCTGCAAGCAGCTCTTTCATCCACTCCTCATGAAACGCTCTCAACTTTGTTCCACGCTCGTACATCCTCGCATTTAGAGCACCCTTGTCGGAAGTTTGCAGATCGGCTAGGCGAACAGCGTTGATCAGTTGGCCTAGCGCAACTGCGGAGTCCACCCTGCATAGCATCTCCGCGTCCACGTGCGACCAGCCGAATTGCTGCTTGAGCGGGTCCACGTCCAGAACGAATACTCGAGTGTCATCAACTAGCTTGCTACCCATGGTGTCCATCCAGGGAACATCGGCTTCGATGATGAGGACGACGTCGGCCTTCTCGAGGTGTGCGATTCTGCCATCGAATGACGAGCCGACGAGGTAGGGATGGCTATATGGAACACACAGAGCGGGAGATATTGCTGTGCATACAGCAATGGAGCGCAGGTTCGACAGTGTCGCAAGGAGCGATACTGTCTGCGGGTTCCTCCCTGTGTTGCCCGCGATGATCAACGGAAACTCGGCATTTGTGAGAGCATCGACTATCGTGTTCAAAGCTGCACAAGAGATAACGTGAACGTTTCAATCGAGTATGCGGTGTGAACGGGCTAATCGTGAAGCAATGCTCACCGGTCGGAGACAGACCACTCGGCTGTACCGAAGGCCATTTACTTATATCAACTGGAGTCTGTAGCACAGAAGGATCGATTTCCTCTTGCAGGGTCTCGCGTCGCGCCCACAGGTATACTGGTCCTTTGGGGCTACTTGTGGCACTGTGACAGGCATGGTCAGATGTCATAGCAGCTCGCAGTGAAGGTCGCTCCCTACAATTGCCAAGCCCGCATCACGGTCTTCGCTACAGTCTTTCCACTCATGATCTGCGCAGTGAACCGCATGAATTGCCTGACAATTGCAGGCTGGTCGGGTGCATCTATCGTTGGATTTTACTGATCAATGTTCAAGTCAACGAAGAACGTATGTACCTTGTCCCCACATGGGCCACTCGTTCTTTGATCCCTTATGCTCACCACTTACAGAGAAAGGCGAAGCTCCTGCAAAAATGATGACCGGGGCTTGGCCTTTATCGGCATTGTGCACTGCACCAGCCAAAGCCTAAACGATATAGTGAGCTTTCGGAGAGGTTTACGGATAAAGTAGAACCGCGGCTATTCATCCACCTACCTGCGTTCCCACATCAACATGGACAATGACGGCAGCTGGCTTTCCTGTGACTTGCGAATAGCCATGCGCCGCACTAAGAGCCACCATCTCGTTGGGGCAAGTCACAACGTCGAGAAGGGCCTTCCCACCGCCGTCTGTTCGTTGTCTCTCCAAGTCTTCCAATATTGCAGGATGGTCATTCCCCCAGTTGGCGAAGATATGTGTGACGCCAACGTCCGCCAGCGTTTTGAGCAAGACTGAAGCTGTTGTGTACATGTTTTATGAAATGCCTTTCTTCGACGACTCGTCTTAACGGTAGTTTGTGGGAAAGCGTGCAGTGTGCTGCCGCACCATATCGCATACGTATTTATAGGTGATGGATATGGATGCGAGGGGTGGTCATAGGTTCAGGCGGGATCTAATCCTCATTCTCACACTGCGACCTGCGAGTTTGTAAGTGACGCTCAGTCGGAAGTCTACATCGGAGGTCGTCTGACGGCGACAATTTTGACTATCCGATTCGGTGTTCTGCGACATATTTTGCGTATTACATGAGAGTGTACTCGGCCTGGTTCGACCTGGCTCGCTTTCTGCTGCAGAGCGACGCCTGGACCAAGTCTTCCCTCATCCCACGGTCCTGGCTGATGCCCACATCGTGGTACCCTATACCCACCCGGTCTCCCCACCCCTACCTCACGTAGTCCTGCGCTGCACCCATGTATTTAGTCCCACCCTCAACCGCCTTCGGCGGTGTATAAATTGTATATATATAAAATGAGAGTGCAGTCGCATCAGCGGGTTACTCAAATCTTCAGGCGTCACGGTTCGAGATCGTCATGGATGTTGTGCTCTATATGCAATCAATCGATCATAATGGGTCAGTGCAAACTGCGCATGTTGAACGAAGCTTGAGATGGACATGCAGCTCAAATTCCGGTATCGTATCCGCGGAGCCATCCCGAATGCATTCGCCAGACCATTGTTAGCACTACACGAGCAGCATCAAGATCAGGTGTTGATGGTGACAGCGAAGCTCTCGGTGTAGAGTGTCGCGCTACCAGTGAAAGGCTCCGTCCCGGATTCGACCGACTGCAGATACTGAAAAGTGCCGCATGATTCAGTATGAGTGGATGGTATGTGCGCATACCAAGCAACCACCTACGTTCGATGAGTCCATACCGATGTTGTCGATGAGATAGGCTAAAGAAGGGACATGTTAAGTGCATTGTGACTGCGCATCCGTCGAGTAAGACTGCGTACTGAAGAAGTCTTTCAAGTCGGAGCTGAAGTCATTGAGATTGCCCTCCGTAGTGACGAAGGATACCGTGGTCCAGTACGTGTTCTCTCCGGAATAGAGGTCCCAAGCGTACCCACCAACAGAGATGCCAGACTTGATCACGGACCCAAGAGGTCCAGCACTGTGATACTACTATTGAGTGGATGCGATGCGTCGTTTTACCAAATACCTACCCGCCCTCAGTTGAAACCCAAATCATGCTGCGCAATAGATTAGATTCGTCTTTTTCGCAGCTTGTGAAGTCACGTACACCTCATAAGTGGTTGTGTTGGTGCCCGCGCCGGAAGCGGTAGTACCTATCCAGATGTCATACCTGTAGATGTTATGAGCCTTCCATGTGGAAGAATGCTTTACAGTAACGCACGAGACGTCTGCTACCAGATCTGAGGATATGGATTGGTATTCCCAGGTCCAACTAGTGGGAGCAGACGTGATTTTGGACAGCTGACAGCATCATGAGCGCATCTTCATCATGATATGCAATAGCACTCGTCACTCACCGTCATGCCATTGGCGGAAGTCTGTTGGACGTTCGTGTCTGATAAAGCGTCGGAGGTCGAACATGGAAGCCGAACATGTGAACAACTTACAGCTCTTGACATCGTACTCGCCGCCTGCCCAGGTATAGGTTGTCGACCAGGAGATCGCATCACCACTGGCACTGTACAAAGTGGCATTCTGCGAGCCCGAGGTGGCGTCATCTGTGTCTGTGAGAACGCAATCCCATCGCTTTTACATGAAAGTTTCTTCTCACCTTCGCCCCATAGGTCCTGGCACAGCTGATAGTCGCCAGCGTTTACGCAGGTCCACTGTCCGGTGATAGTTTCCGAGGCCAACGCGCGTGCGACGAAGACAGCGAGAGTAGATACTGCGAGAAGCTGCATGATGCTACGGTGACACACAGGAGCACGCTGTTAACTGATATTGCCCACCGGTTTTATATGCCTGCAAAGCCGAGCCTAGATCCCAGGTATAGGCTTCGCTGGCAGGTCAGAGATCAGCTTGTGTGAATTATTGGGTGCACCATACGGTCGAGAAGAAGCTTCCGTCGACCGGGCCCGTGTCGGCTGGGACGAAATAAAGTACGGGATGTCGCACTTGTGGTGATGATAGTAAACAGTTGAGGTGCGTCGACAACGCACACGAAGCTTGTCCCTCGTGCGGCTCTTGCGTCCATTGCCAAGCCGTGTCATGGACGGGGAGTACCTCCATCATCTGTCCTGTAACACTGGTAGGTGCGTGAATGAAGGCCGAGAAACTGCCGCTATCCTTCTGATGCTAATGACAACTCATCGGCTCCTTCGCAACGTCATAGCAGAGAGCGGATCACCAATTTTGGCATCTCTATGGCAATTGGGAGAGTCCGCGTGAGGTGGTAACCTCATCTTTCCCACATGCCTGTGTGTAGGGAGGATATGGAAGGCGTGTGCAAGCTATTCTGTATGTAGGGGCCTAAAATCAATTTGCACTTCAAGAACGTTCGCTGAATATTCTTCACAACACGCTTATTTGCGAAAAGACCGCAGACCGCATGGTGCGCATCCTGAGAATTAACTGTATCTGATGGGTCTGAGCTTCCAGACGAAGAACCAACCTGGTACACACCTGACCGCCTGACCCACGAAAGCCACGGAGGAGAGGTCGCACGATACAGGCGATCGCACAGCATAGCTTCAGCGACATCATGTATCAGATGATGAGCATGCGCACAATGAACGTACCCATCATAATTGGCGAGCATTATCATAGAGAGTCGCCTTCCTGCGAATGTAGGGAATGTCTTCCTTGTAGAATACCTCCCCAAAGCGAGCCATCCCTCTGCGTTCATACCACTCCGCAGTAGATACCCTGGCGTCGCACCAGATCACATCACAATCCATCTCAGAGCGAGCCATCGCGAAGGCGTGCTGCAGTAGCTTTGTTCCAATCCCGCGGTTACGGTGCGATGGGTCGCAGGCGAACTTTCGAAAGCGGGCCGCAAGCACGGTCCGACGCTCGTCGCCATTCAGATGATCGCTAACAGACAGATTGTCTTTGAATAAGGAGATGACTGCGACCGGTAAACTGTGAGAGGGCAGGAATGCGCCGTAGTGAAAGCCGTTAGAGTCCTCAGGTAAGAGCACATGCGATACAGGATGATTCGGCCACAGCACGGAATGTCGCAAAGAGACGGTCTCATCTTCTGAAACCCTGCAAATCAGCACGCCGTCTGCAAAAGAATTCAGCTCAAAAAGAAAAGCAGGAAAACAGCTTGGTACATACCCATGTTGTGACGGACTGGTGATCGAGACGCCGGACGCAGCGGGCCGCCAGACTCCACGCCGTAACGATGTGACCGTTACGGTTTCGTGTTGTTTTATTCGACAAGACTTATCCTGGTCTGTTGCATTATTAATTAACCCTTTTCCTAACTCGATCAGGCTGTCCGACACGTCCCCCGATCTTAGCGGTTGACTCTACACACCGTGTGTCCTGCACGATGGCGGACCCGACAAAGTCAGAGACAGAGCAAGTCTTCAAAGTGCTGAAGGGGCAGAAAGGAAACAAGGCGAGGCCTCAATATTGCCGGCTGTACGATGGTGTGCTGACGATCTTCGCAGATGTGTTTCGACTGTCATGCCCGCAATCCGACATGGGCGAGCGTGACTTTCGGCATCTACATCTGTCTCGAATGCTCGAGCATTCACAGAAACATGGGTGTGCACATCAGCTTCGTCCGGTATGCCATCTGCCTTCGTGGTACTTACCAACTGCTGACTTGCGCATCCGGAAAGATCGACGAATCTAGACAGTTGGCAGTGGAATCAACTGAGAACAATGAAGGTCGGAGGAAATGCATCTGCCACGGAATTCTTCTCCAAACACGGTGGCGCCACGCTGCTCAACGATTCTGATACCAAAAAGAAATATTCCAGTCGAGTCGCCGAGCTGTACAAGGAGGAGCTGACGAAACGCGTCAGGGAGGACGCCGCCAAGTGAGTCATTGTCCCTCATCTATCTTACATTGCTTCACAATCCTCTAGATTCCCTGATAAGGTCGTCGTGGACGGAGTTGCTGAAACGGCCGCAACACCAACTGCACAGGATGGCGCCGATGACGACTTCTTCTCATCCTGGAACAAACCCGCTACCCCAAAGTCACCTTCCTTCACCTCCTCGAAGCCCACAACGCCACCCGTGATCGGTCGGGCATCGAGCACACCGCCGCTCTCTGAGAACGCACCAGTCTCGCCGCGGACTATCAGCTCATCCTCACTCCGCTCCGCGTCCTCGACTAGTACAGCGTCCCGACCGGTCTCTAAGCTCGGTGCCTCGCGGCTGACGTCCTCCTCCACGGTGGTGACCATGACCAGCACCACCTCCGCGCCGAAGAAGTCGAAGCTCGGCGGGCTCGGCGCAAAGAAAGCTGCCCCGCTGGACTTTGCGGAGGCCGAGAAGCGCGCAACGGAGGAAGCGGAGCGGATCAAGCAGCTGGGCTATGATCGCGAGAGGGAGAAGACGGAGGAGGAGGAGCGGGTGCGAAAGGAGGCGGAGGTGTCTGTTGCGAGTGTGAAGGCGAAAGCTACTGCGAAAGTTGTACCTGCATCGCCGGCGGAGCTCCAGCCGAAGGGCAGCGCGCACGATATGGAGAGGTTGGGCATGGGCATGAAGAGGCTCGGGTTCGGCGCTGTCCCCGCGGTGGCTACCTCAGCAAAATCAAGGTAAGTGCTCCTGCAATCCGCTCCGGCCGCCGTTTACGACTCTGCTTCCAGTGCGGCTGCCGAGGAGGACGCGCCGACGTACGCGCGCGAGAAGTTCGGCAAGCAGAAGGCGATTTCGTCGGACATGTATTTCGGGCGGAACGCGTACGACCCCGCCGCGGTCACCGAAGCGCAGACGCGGTTGCAGTCCTTCCAGGGCGCCTCATCCATCTCGTCGAACCAGTACTTCGGGCGTGAGGAGGAGGAAGAGCTTGGCCCCGCAGCGGACGGAGGATTGCTGGGCGATGGCACGCTGTCCGGCCTGGAGGTGGCGGCGAAGGACGCGATTCAGAGGGTGCTTGCGAACCCAGATGTGCAGAATGTCGGAGAGAGCATCAGGACGGGTGCCCTTAAGGTATGTCTTGTCCTGGATGATTGATGATTGAAGCGTTACGGTTACTCATGGGACCCTTGTAGCTCTCGGACTATTTGGCGCAGATATCCGAGCGGTAGTGCTTGATGCACTAGTATGTAGAGCCGCAATGCACATATCCCTATTATACGAATGAGGTCATATCTCTGTGGCATTGTGTGTCCCTTAATCTTGATTTATGTTCATGTGGATTTCTTTCACCGGACTGCACTGACATTGAGGCTCATACTGCTCCTTCTTAGTGAAGTAGAGAGCGGATGATGTCTCGAACTGTGACGAGTGACGAGCTTACTGGTGGCGATGCAATTTGCGCTCGATACTCCAAGTTGCAGTGACGGCAAGTGTCTGAAATAAAGAGACCCAAGAAAGTCACAACCTCGTATGTAGCTCTTCAAGTGACATCCAAAAAACAAGCAGTCCGAGCGGAAACAGCATGAGCGCAAATCTAAAATGTCACTAGAATCGTTCATGATTCATTGATAACAATACATCAGGGCTTGAGGAGCTCCTCCACGACCCGATCGTCATTGATTTGTGCTATGTTTGCACCACGATAGTTAAGCCGTCGTAGTACGTCGATCTGCATTTTCCATATGAGCAGTGAGGGGCAGTCCACGCGAGCAAGAGTCTTAAGCAAGATACATACCACTTTGCTTCTGTTGAATCCCAAAGCCTCGAACCGATCCACGTGCGCCTTCTCCAATCCTGCCATTGCCACCTCGTCCCTCTGGCCGCTCGCCTTGCCTTTCCCTGCACCCTCCTTTCCAGGCCCACCGGCATAGATCATCGTCCAATACCGCGCCGTCTCTTCAAAACTGCTCTTGCTCGTCATGAAGTGCTTCGCAACCTCTGCGTCCTGCGGATCGCGCGGTTCAGGCGAGCAGAGTAGAGACTGCAACGATATGAGCGTGGACTTGAGGGTGAGGACGGGGCTCCACGCGTCCTTGAGGATGTCAAGGCAAATGGCGCCGGATGCGGAGGAGACGTTCGGATGGTAGACCTTGGTGATGAACTTCATTTTGACAGGCTGGAAGGGGTACGAGTCGGGGATCACGATGTCCTGCGCGGGGTGAGTGCGAGTGGCACAAAGAGCAGAATGGGTTCACGCACGACTTGAAAGTGGCCACCTTCGTATGCAGTACCTTCGGGTCCATCGAACGAGCCTATCAGATGGAATGGCGAGTTGTCGACGAGCTCGATGGTGATGTTGGAGGACTTGTCATTCTTGCAATCTGCGAGATCCAGTGTTAGGTCGTTCGAGCAGTTGGTAGGTCGCTCCCACCTGCGATCTCCTTGTTCACGCGACGAAGACGAGCGTCCATGATGTGCAAAAGGACGGTTGGGACTAAATGGGCTCAGTTCGAGCGAGGCTGGGTGAGCGACGAGAGCAGCTACCGTTAAAGCAAGGACAGCTCCAGGTCCGAGTATATCACGGCCACGTGACCTAACGACACGAAATATCTGTGCCTCGAGTCGCAGCCGTTTCTCTCTTCTTGCAGGCTTCACCGACCGTTTCCAGCCCATCAGTGGCAGAAGATGTCGCAATATTCACGATGTTGTCTCAACGTCTCCCGACATTACGCCTTGGAGTCGCAAGTCGCGCAGGTGCAAGTTGAAGGGAGCAGATAAATGACTCATCAAACAACTGGAAGCCTGACTGTGAACATATATAATATCACGGCCGCCCCGGGGTGCTAGCTCCTCTGCTTGCACGCTAAATCTCCATTTCTTTCTAATCTTGAACGGGCGATCATGGGCAAGACTCTGCCGTCGTCGGAGATGGGACATGCTAATCGCACCGATGCAAGCAGCGAAACACTCCCAGTCCTGCTACGACACAGCTTAACAGCCATGAAACCACCACGAACCGCGCATAGCGCGGTATACAAATAAATGTACAAAAAAAAACCACCACGAAGGATCTGGGCTTCCTCCCGATACCGAAGCGCTTGCGATATGATCCTGATAGCCCTGCACACTTTGGCTTGTTGCTTAACGCAACATTCGGTATTGCAAGCACATTCAGTGAGTAGATTCTGAACGGTCATCTCCGCAGTGAAGGTTTGGCTCACGACCTTCAGCCGTGGCAAATCTGTACTATTGCCAGCCACTTCTCAGTAAGCTCAAATGACGCACTGGGCCTTTCAATTAGCCGTGTAGGTGCATTGTCTCACTTGTAACTCGACCACCAGTCCAGTTCTCCAGATCATGCAATGTTTCATATGATACCGTCTCAAGTATACCCACTTTAGTACAGGCAGGTAAGGCCAGTCGCTCAAAGAGTCTAAGACTTAGGCTCACCGTTCTATTCAGATACGCTACGGGCATTCTGCTAATCTCGACACTTAGCGACCTTGTGCGACGCAGACCGCTCATCCTTCTCCTTGTGTTCACCTCTGCCTCACTCACGATCGGACTAGCCATCACCACGAATTTTGCCGTTTTCGAGGCGCTATGTTTTCTAGTCTGCTTGGTCACCGTCGTACCACAGATCCTTATGCCTCTTGCCGCTGATCTCGCACCGCCAGAATGCAGAGCATCTGCACTCTCCATCATTCTCGCAGGCCTGCTCTTCGGTGTGCTCATTGCAAGAGTGCTCGCAGGCATCATCGCACAATATGCAACATGGCGGGTCGTGTACTACCTCTCGATCGGCGTGCAGTGTGCCGTGCTACTGATGCTCTATTTGGTGCTTCCCGATTATCCCGCAAAGAACAAGGGCACGACATACTTTGGTATCCTGTACAGCATGGCAAAGTTCTGCGTCACAGCGCCGCTACTTATCCAGGCTGTCCTAATCAACCTCCCATCAAGCGCGTGCTTCACGAACTTCTGGGTACCTTGACCTTCCTGCTCGGCGGCCCGCCATATCATTACTCGACGTGAGCCGCCATAATTGTAAGGGTTGGGCATGCGTTATGCTAACATCGCAACAGCCTCGTCGTCAGTCTCTTTGGTTTGGTCGGCATGTTCGGGGTCACGATGGCCCCTTTGGTGGGCCGCTTCATCGACGGCCTCGTACCCTCATTCGCCACTGTCCTCGCCATTCTCGCCCTGCTTATCTTCCAAGCGATCGCCGTGGGCGCCGACAGCGTCAACGTCGCGGCCGTTGTCATAGTCTGCTTCGGGATCGACGTGTTCCGCCAGATGGTGCAAGTCTCGCTCACGAGTTCCGTCTTCGGGCTCGACGCGAGTGCACGGGCACGACTTAACGCCGTGCTACTGCTCTCCGTGTGTGTGTCTGTCAGCTAGTCCCCCGTGGCGAGGCTAATTCGCTACGCCGCACAGCTGTTCATAGGCCAGGTCATGGGCACCGCTGTCGGCACGCAGGTGTTCACGAAATATGGGTGGCGCCCCGCTGCGGCGCTCTCGCTCGCGTGGACGGGCTTCATGCTTATCGTTATCCTGCTGCGCGGGCCGCACGCCCCACGATATACGTGGTTCGGATATAAGGGCGGCCTTGAGGTGTACAAAGAGAAATTGGCGGTGAGAGTGCGGAAGGAGGAGGAGGAGGCGGTCACGGCTGATATCAATGCTGCGTGCAATGCAGACAACGTTGGGGTCAAGAGGGAAGATGTAGTTCCGCAAGAGGAGAACAAATATGATTTGGAGAAGGCTGAGGATATCGCGTGCTCCGAGCAGGCTGTTGCTGAACAGGAGCTCAGAAAGGCCTGAAATCCCTTAACATTAGTATGGACACTCAGCATGACTATAGAACATGACTGATAGGCATCACGATAGAATGTCCGCGAATAGAGCAACGTATCTTTCCTTGGAGTACTAGCGTCCTTTAGTGGATGTTGTACTCTCAAGCCGATCAAGTACGAGAGATTGAGGATGCCACGATTCAGCGGCAGCACTAAAATTCCCAGTATGTATACTGTGCATACTTTGCCGCCCGGATGAAGTGCTGTTGACCCGTGTATATGACATTTCCACGACTTCAGTCCAATGGTGAGAAACTCACGACTACCCACCAGATAAGCCGCAGTGCGCTGACACAGCAAGCCGTTCACCGGCAAGTAAAGATCATGCCTGCACTATAGGACGTGTCTACCACCGAATCTCTTGTCGTCCTCCAGCATGAGCAGTCCTGCCTTGTCGGCTGAAGTGCCGGTCCAAGACTCGCCTCCTGCCAAAGGCAGCACCGCCACGCTTCCAGTCGCCACGCCCACTCAGGAGGAACGCGAGGGCATTGTCACTAAAGACTTTGGATTTCTACCCATACCAAAACATCTGCGTCACGATCCCGAGCATCTATCGCACTTCGGGCTCGTGCTGAATGCGACCTTCGGTTTCTCGGGCACCTTTGGTACGCGCTGTTTGCTCGATGGCAATGTTTTTCGGTGTGCTGACAGCGAATAGTTCTGGCAAATCTCTACTATTGCCAGCCTTTGTTGAGTGAGTTAAATCGTCGATTGTGGGATTGCGTCTCGAGGACGAATGTCTGGGCACGGTGACCGTCAAGACGCTGGCTTTCGTTACTTTCTGTGCTACTCTCAGAGCCGAAGTTGCTCCAGACGCCTTATTCCGACGGAACAGGATGCTTGCGGGGTTCCGTCGCATGTGATCTATGTAGATTTCACAAGCTGCGTATTGGTCCGAGGTCTCCAGTATGACGGCTGCTGGAATCGAAAGCACGGGGTTATCGCACGGCTAATCTTGCAACGCTTTCTTGTTCTTAGTACACGGGGTGAATGGCTGACGGCCTGTAGTCCAGTTCGCAGATACCTTTGGCGTAACATACGATGAAGTCTCCAGAATTCCTACTCTGGTGCAAGTCGGGTGAGTGGTATCTGCGTCGACGGCGAAGACTCCCTTACCCTGACGATTTTACAAGGTATCTGGTTGGCATTCTGTTCGTGTCGATCTTGGGCGACCTGGTTCGTCGACGGCCACTCATCCTCATTCTTGTCTTCGTGTCGGCATCAATCAGCATTGGGCTGGCATTCACGACCAGCCTCGCCGTCTTCGAAGCTCTCTGCTTTCTCATCGGGATGTCATCCGTAGTTCCGCAAATTCTGCTTCCCCTCGCAGCGGACCTTGCGCCTCCCGAACGGCGTGCGTCGGCGTTGTCGATCGTGCTCTCCGGCTTATTGCTGGGCGTCCTCATCGCGCGTGTGCTCGCGGGCACCATCGCGCAGTTCGTGACCTGGCGTGTGGTGTACTACCTCGCATTTAGCGTGCAATATTTCGTGGTGCTGTGGCTGTACCTCGTACTTCCAGACTACCCGGCAAAGAACAAGGGCAGCACATACTTTGGGATACTCTGCAGCATGGGGAAGTTCGCTGTTACGGAACCGCAGCTGGTTCAGGCTGTCTTGATCAGCATACCGTCAAGTGCATGTTACTCGAATTTCTGGGTCGGTCACTCTTCTTTTGCGAAAATCCTAAAGTAAGCTGAGTGGAATTGCTAGGTTACGCTGACCTTCCTATTGGGGGGATCACCATATCATTATTCTACGTAGGTTTCACTTATCCATTCCAGAACGGACTCTCAACACGCTGGCAGGTTGGTAATCGGACTCTTTGGTCTAGTCGGGATGGTCGGGGTCGCTATGGCTCCTATACTCGGACGCTTTATCGACAGCCTCGTCCCGTGGTTTGCGACCGTGATCGCTACATTGGCCTATGTCCTGTGCGTCGCAGTCGAAGTCGGTGCAGATGGCATCAACGTCTCTGCGGTCGTCATCGTCTGCATCGGGATCGACGTCTTCAGGCAGATGGTTCAGGTCTCGCTCACTACCACCCTCTTTGGCCTCGACCCGAGCGCGCGCTCTCGGCTGAACGCTGTGATCCTCGTGTCGGTGGGCGAACGTTCTGCTGCTATCCCCATATGACCATAGCTGAACGTCGGTATCTAGTTATTCGTAGGCCAAGTGATGGGGACTGCAGTTGGCTCGAAAGTTTTCACCGAGTATGGATGGCGCCCAGCAGCAGCGCTGAACCTTGCATGGAGCGGATTCATGTTGATCATCATCCTGATTCGAGGTCCGCACGTGTCGAGGTACACATGGGTTGGCTATAGAGGAGGATTGGAGGTACGCAAGCGGAAGGTGGAGGGGGATGATAGATCACAATCCCACAATGGGATGCAAATTGGTGACATAGAAGGTTCAGCTAGTAAAGGAGATGCAGAGACGAAATCTGAGGACTATACGCGGTCGAACAGAGACAAGAGCGATCAATAGCCAGTAGATATTACACTGAGAGAGCAGGAACATACACCGGACCAATCATGATGCTCAACCCTAGATATACATACTGTCATAGCACATTAGACAATTTGCAAGAGCTTAAAGTTTCGCGATATTCATGGACTGCATCGCAACAGTCTGTCCACCATCCACTGCGATTGTCGCACCGTTGACGTGTGCTCCTGCACGGCTTGACAGGAAAATAGCAGCACCGGCAACGTCTTCTGGGGTGCCAATGCGATGGAGGGGAATCAGGTTCTTGATAATTTCTCCTTGAGTCCGAAGCGTTTCTGCCATCACTGTGCAAACATGACGATCCGTGGCTACGGGAATGCCGATATACATACGTACTTTTACTTTCGAAAGGCCCTAGAAGAATAGTTAGAGCGAATACTTTGGATGCCGCTTGAAATGACTTACCGCAAGCGATGGTATTGCTTGTGATTCCTTCCCATCCAAGCCGACCAGCGAGGTGTTCGCTGAGATGGTGAAGTCCTGCTTTAGCTGCCGAGTAAGCATACGTTTCGTGGTTCGGCACACGCAAGCCTTCAACGGAACCAATCTGCAAAGGTCTTGTTCATGGTCAGTTAAATAGCAACGAAGAGACTACCTACGTTAATGATCCGTGCAGGGTCTTTATAGGCTTCCCCATCCATTCCACCCTGGGCAGCAGCTGCACGAAGAAGGGGTAGGCACTTTTGAGTGACAGTAAAGACTCTTTGTAAGTTGAGTGTGAGCAATTTGGTGAAAGCAGAATCCTGTAGTCTTTCATTCAGCTGCATCGTCCCCCAATATTGCTCAGAAAGCACTGACAGGGTAATCCTCGATCGTATCACCCCACGCGGCGCCTGCGTTGTTGACGAGTACATGCAGAACCTGCTCGTGTGCAGACAATTCTTTCACAAGATGTTCCACCTGCTCATAGTGTTGCAGGTTCGCGGGAATGGCGTAGCACAACCCAGGCCCGAGCGCACTGAGTTCTTTGGCGGTGGCCTCGCAGTCTGTCGCAGAGCGCGACGTGATGTAGACCTGTGATCACTCTGCTATCGCTACCTTCTCCATGATGGCCATATGCAACATACTTTGGCACCGTTCGCGACGAATCCTGTGGCAATCTGTGTACAATGCATAATTGTTCACTATCGCCACCTGATCGAGTATCGAGATTCTCACCATTCTTCCAATCCCACGGCTTCCTCCTGTGATAAGCACTACCTTTCCTGAAACATTGAACAGGCTGTTTGTGCGGAAGGACGCCATCTTCGCAGTTCGAGATGAAACAGTCCCGGACGCTAGCCAGTAGTCCACTTGTTTCAGACACGTGCCACCATCTTCGTGGAAGCTAAATTCGTACTGGCGCCTCCGATATCACGATGTGCACTTGCAGTGAGGTGATTTTCTGAGTAAACCACTCGCGACAGGAATTTGCGCGCACCGAATACGGGATCAACATGCTGGCGCAGCAACACTTAATCGCAGGGGATCAGTTTTTATCCAGCCTGCTACGTGGTAGGGTTCGCCGCGCGTCACCCACTCCTGCTGTCGATTTCCTTAAGTTATCCTCCCCTTCCCGCCCCGACATCTCTTTGGCCGTCAACTGGTTCCGCCCTTTGGTCCGCCGTCGTGCAGTTCACTAACCCTGGTCCGCCGAGCTCTCCTCAAAGTCAACTGGGTAACTCCCCCCCTCAAGAGGGGTGACGAGGTTAGTTAGGTGGGAGTATCTTGGAGGTTCGATCCCCCCTAAATAGTGTTCCTAACGAGTCAACGGACTGGCCGCGGCGCGGTTTTCGTGTTGGTCGGGCATATGCAGTTTGTTAGGTTATCGGCGCTTGCGTGATCCATGACACAGCTTACCGGGCCTTCTGCCCTTCTACTATACGTCTGCTCTGTTGCGTCCGTGGGGACCGGGAGTCCGTACGTTAAATTTCTTCGCCCCCAGATGCGTCTGGTCCTCCGTTTTTCCACACCATGTATTTACACACCTCCGACCGCCCTTCGGGCGGTATAAAAATGTATTTAAAAAAAATAATAAAAAAAAGTATACGGGATTTCGAATACAGTCCTTTTGATTGGTTGGCTGACCCTGGCTAAAGGAAAAGGCAAATACTACACCTGCTTGTTGTAGACATGCCCAGTGATAGCATACGACCATATGTTTAGCCCTTCTTTACCAATTCATGCATTCTCTCGTGAGTGCTCTGCTAATTTCAATACCCTGTTCGTATTGGTTACTTGTTCCGTTGCCTTTTCCGCGCTACTGCTACAAGTTCTCATAATTTAATGTATGGCATTCGCGCTCAGCGTAATCAATCATTATCTCCATGGAGCGCTTACGAACCGGATTTTACGAATAGTTCATTCGGACTTGCGGAACCTCTTCATTTCGGAGCATTATATCTGCTTCTATTACACTGTATTTGACTGATGATACCGTCTTCAAATTGGTGAGCGGGCATTCTTCGAGTTCTCATGAATTCCCTCGCGAAGGGCGACGATCAATACGGTATGTGGTGATCTTCGGATCGATGAATCTTCCTCGTATCGTGCATGCAGTGTCTTGAGAGCTGAGCACTGCCCTGCTGACTCATTTCACGCGCAGAGCATGACTCGGAACTCGCCGGGGAAACAATCATTTGTTTCCGGGTGCAGTTGAACTCTTCCGTTTGATCAAAATCTTATCCGGGTTTGCAGGCTCTGCTTAAAGACACAGGCTATGGGCGCATACTATTACGCCCCATGATTTATCAGTCACCGTCCTTCAGTAGGCAATCGATCGATTGACTTGACCGTAACGAGACTAGCTGTGCCACTCATCCACAACAACCGCCAGGGCAGTGTGTGATGGACGTACGGTGACAGTTTTCAGCGTCCCGAGATCCGTCGTTGTAGCAGCAAACTCAGTGAGCTTGTACGTTTGAACCCCAATTCCTCGTAAATGAAGACACGCCTTGGGGTTATACATGTGACAGCTCATATACATAGTCCGCGTCTAGTTAAGTATAATGCTTGCGATTGACCGTCCATTAGATGCGTTCTTGGAAAGTTAATGAGTAGCTCGAGGTGAATAGCGCTCGCCGCTCGGGCTCAGTGCCGGATCAATACCGGCCACTTATCTTATCTGCCAACGCGGCCACTTACGATCTATCAACCGGCTCTGGATCTTCTGTCGGCGGGACGGTGCCCGAGTCAGTGCCACGCCAACTCAGGCTCTGCGTTCTCAAAGCTCGTAGCTCTCAGCTAATGAGATCGTTGCCTTGGTAGATCAGCCGAGGAGACGCGTCAATAGCTTTGCGGTTGCTGGGCAGCGCCTCGTCCCACACATCTTTCATGAAAGCGGAGAGTGCGTCCGTAATTTTCATTATGGTTGGCAGCATCGTACACGTATGTAATGCGCTAAGCGGTGAGTGAATGGTAAGATGAGGTAAGGTAACGATGTGATGATACAATTTTCCCAGGAAACCTTGCTACAGACTGACCCTTTGACCCTTGAAATCAACATGCGGACGGAATTGGTACAACAAATGAACGAGTACGGTAAGTTGTCCAGAGCAAATTAAAGCGCGAATGTCATGACATTATCCGACAGTCGGAAATTTGGTGAAAACAGTTCATGAAGAGGTCTTCGTCTGCGGCCCAGTGCTCAGCCGCATGGTCAACGTAACGAGGGGCTAAGCACCTACTGCGCGCTTCCCCTTTGTCATGGTCAAGGGCACGTCCTCGTCTTCGCTCCACGAATATGCAGGGCCAAGTATCGCAGTCTTTTTGTCCTGCGCATGACTGTCAATGGGGACCGCCACACAAGACACTATGGTAGACTGACCTGGTGTCCGGATGTCCCCGCTTGCCTCTGCTTCGTGTTGTTAAGGGCCGTCTGCAGCTAGGAAGTTCCAACTGGTCGTCAGATGGCGCGCCACAACAGCAAGTTTCAATGCGCGCGTACCTTGGCCTCGCTTATGCTTTTCGTGCTGCTCATGCCGTAGTGGACCATGCCCTTTGTCACTGATGTCATGGTCGGGAATGACGACAATGAGTGTGAGAGACTCGGGAGCGCCGCAATGGGTGGCGATGGTGAGGAAGGGACGCTCGTTGATTGCATGTTCTTCGCAGGCCTGGCGGAGCGAGAGGTGGAGGACAGCTGGGTGCTGGTCGAGCGGTCTGATGCGGGCGCCATTTATGCGAAGAAGCGGGAGATGCGGGGGGCTGAGGCAGGACAATGGCATGGCCACGGCCGCTTTTCTACTCGAGGCCTCAAATGAAAGCAGCGCCACTTGAACGTATATGCGCGTTCCTTACGATTCGGGCGAGGCTGAATGGCCATATGCCGCGGCCACAGGTTCATGTCCGCCTTTGGCTAAGATTTACCACATCAGCGGCCATCGGCAGTGGTCATACCTTGCACGTTGCGCTGCGGTCAGCGGGAGATCCGAGATTAATCGTCCTTGGTTGAGTCCATTCGCGGATATAATTGCTTTGAGACCAATGGGGTGAAATGTATGCAGGCATTCTCCGGCCTAGATGCTGCCTCTTTGGCGCGTCCTTGTGATATCAAGGCCAATCAATGGCCGATCTCATAACTCAGTCGACTTATCTGGGACGATAATCTGTGATTGTCGTGAGTCATTGCAGAACACATGGGCCATGGAAAAGTTTTCTCTGCGTCGGACAATGCGATGAGGCTGTCCATCAGGTAAGCCCGGGTAAGCACGCGGACATGAGACTCATACACATACGGCCACATATGAACCACTATCACTAGGCAAACGTAGCAATCTCCAAGCTAGTCTAGAATAGATGTCGATGTTCCGTTCCCACTCAACCTCGCCCATCGCGACGCGAACATCTGAAAATGTATCCGCGCCTCTCATACGAAGCGCCACATAAGATCACTCTCATCAGCACGAGTGACGTGCCTTGGGTTCGCCCATTCGCCACCCCTGTATGACCATAGATAGTGGGTTGGGCCGATCCAGAACCCAATGCGGTGGAGGGAAGGGCACCAAATGAGCAGTTCAGCAGCGATGACGCGCTGGTATGCATTGAACGGCTGAGGTATCCACGACGAGATGTTCACGTCGAGCACTTCCAGCTGGGTGAATTGCATCAGAGCACGGTGCAAAGCGAACCGCTGTGAGCGCGCTCAGTAATGCACCAGAGCAGGCATGAATGCCAGTAAGACTCACATCAAGCACCGGTAGTGGGACGATACCAAGGTATCTTAGTGTCTGCGCCAAGTTGGACTTGGACAGAAGCTGAACGACCTCCATCATCAACGCCTCGGGGGCATGCAAAACGTTGATGCTCCGAAGCTTAGTCTTTGCCCTCCCGAGGTCGTAGATGACACCGGGCAGGACAGCCAACGTCTCCTCCTCGAGCATTATTTGTACATGCGTGAGCGGGGCATCGAGGAGCTCGGAAAGTATGAGCGCAGGCCCGGTGAACATGGACAGCGAAGAGAGCGATCCCGGCGCCAGAGAATGGAGCGGCCCATCCTCGACTGTCTCGTCGGCCTGCAGCATCCGCAGACGCGACTGCGTCTGCAAGAACTGGACAAAGTGCGCGTCCCACGCGAAACCGACATATAGTTCGATCAGCTGGAACTTGATGTTGGGCGTGTCTAGCACCCAGGAATTCGATGCATCTGGATCGTGCAAGGAGAGCACCTCCAGGTTTACCATAGCGGCGAATGCGCGTTGCATTTCCTCCCAAAATGCTTCTGACATCTCTAGCTCCATGGTTCGATTTGCCAATCGGGAGTCCATCCAGAACCAGAAACGGCGCACGTATTTGCCACGGAAGGCGCGGCGAACGGTGAGAGCATGAGAGATGGCAGATGCGATCTGCGGATCGCGCACATATAGGCTGAAGTATATCCTCTTTTCAGCCATACGTTGAAGATCTTTGGACACGCGACTTAGATTGATCCAGTCCGGCATAACCGTGTAACGGACTATATGGCTCCAAATCTCGGGCGGGAGAGCAGCCATGATTGCTGCACGCGCTGCTTCACGATGAGCACATAATAATGAATCAACGAAACATGGAGCACCTACTCTCTCAATTCTTCAAATGGGTAAGATACACGACATTGGAGAACGCAGTCTACTTCGGGTCGGAGTCGGAATGGTGGTGAGTGGCAAGTTGTGGCAAGTCCGAATCAGGCCATTTAAAGTTACAGTACTATTTCGTACAATGTGGTTTTGCACCAACTACCCTAAAAATTTGCAGATAGGAACTTCAGACAGTGTAGTATACTTCTGTATACTTCAGCCGAAGAGACATCTCCAGCACCGATGTAGAAAGCGGAAAGAAATTGAGCGTCGCTTATTCTCGCTTGTGCAACGTGATCCAAACTTGATCCCAAACCAAGTCGGGTTCGGGCGCTTAAACGTGTCTTGACGCCGACCTTCGACCATTACCGTGCTAACATCCAAACTTTTCTATCTGGGCGTATCGAGATGGGTGAATCGCGGACGGAATTGTTGGCATGGCTGAATGACCTTCTTCAATTGAATTACACAAAAATCGAGCAATGTGGAACCGGAGCAGCGTACTGCCAAATCATGGACTCTATCTTCGGTCAGTAGCTTGCTCGATGACTCCCAATCCATTGTGGAATCATAATCAGTCAAGTGTTCTGTCGCTATGAATAGGCGATGTGCCGATGACTCGAGTCAAGATGAACGCAAAACACGAATACGAGTTCATCGCGAACTTCAAGATCCTCCAGAATGTCTTTAGAACGCACAAGGTCGACAAGGTACGAGGATCACCTCTTATGTTAACGATACCTGATCGTGACGCGTATCGCAGCCAATTTTGGTCGAGAAACTCGTCAAATGCAAGATGCAGTACGTCTGCCATGTCATAAGTCGTCTGTCGATCACCCACAGCATGTCCGTCCGTCTAGAGACAACCTAGAGTTCCTACAGTGGATCAAGCGATTCTGGGACACGAACTATGGTGGACAAGGCTACGATGCAGTCGCGCGAAGACGAGGTGCACCGACAGACACCCCCGCCACCATCGCTCCCCTTGCCCCGTCATCGTCACGTGGCAGCGCAGGCAGCTTGCATGCCGGTGCTGCTAGAGTTGCAGGAGGGAGGACGCCAGTCGGCCCCCGGGCTGGCTCAAGAGCGGGATCAACTCAGCCGAACGAACTGGTCCAGAATCTTCAAGGTCAACTGCGGGAGATGTCTGCGCACCTGGAGGGGCTGGAGAAGGAACGGGACTTTTATTTCGCGAAGGTGCGTACTTGTTGTCTCAAATTCTGCAGGTCAAGAAGGCGGCTGCTTGGTGACCTTCTGTGTATTGAACCACAAAATGACGTGTACGTATCATAGTTGCGCGACATCGAGATCCTGGTTCAGCAGCAGCTGGAGACGCTTGAGCAAGAAGGCAAGGATGACCCTCTTCTCCGCGATATTCAGAAGATCCTATATTCGACGGAGGTCAGCGTGAGCCTTTCCGTTGGCACCCATCCAGTCGGCTGACTCAATGGCGCAACAGGAGGGCTTTGAAGTGCCTGAGCCAGGCACTGTCGACGAAGAGGAGACGTTCTGACGTGGCTGTGGTCAGACAATGGGAAGATATATCCGGTCTCTGTGTTCGCATCGCGGATTGGTCTCTCAAGGTCCACATGAGATTCAACTCATCACGTTTATTCATACTTTTGCATTTAATGGAATATATTGAGACCAATATCCGTTGCAGAAGACGATAAGCACGTTAAGGTGGCCTAGACGTTCTCAGGACGTTCCACGTTGAGGTTCGACCACCTTTGACCATCGTCTATCCTACAATAAAGACGTCTGGGTACGAGGCCAGCATTTTCCTGTCACGACGAGCTTGCAGCCGAGTTGACGCGATCAAGGAGGGTACGTTTCAGCGTTCGATGGAGCGAAGACTGGAAAAGCCTCATATGTTCGGGCGTTCAATTTGATTGGCCCTGTCCTCTATCTTCCGGCGCTGTCTTTTCTACCTTTCGTTTACAATATTCAGTGATGTTACAGATATGCGGTACTATCTGCAAAAGCTGAAATTATCCTCAGAGCGATGTCGCCGATATGGTCTGACTCGTATTGAAGGATTCACTGATACTACGAGCCCCGCCAAGCCCTGTGCTGATCAGATCGTGCTGCTCCATCTGTTCATCTAACTTACTCGCTGATGAACGTCACATATGCGCCACTATGGTGAAGACAACTCGGTGACCGATAGCTCGTTCCTGTTGCCGTTGCTGTGCTGCAACGTCGCGAGGCTGTAGGCTGTGTTGAGGAAACTTAGTATACGTGAGAACGCTGATAGCGCACCTGCCTTCTTTCTTGCGCAACGCTGAGTTGCTGACTGAACTTTCGGCCATGACTCTGCGCGCTCGGTGAACATGATAACACCTCAGCAGCTCCCATAACGAACGCCGCTCACGTCGGGTTGGGAAGGCAGTGCTGAATGATGAATGATAGTCGGATCATAACTGTTATTATCTAATGTCGCGACCGCCATGGACGATAATTGTCAATCACCTTGGAGGATCATGCGAAGCGACCTTCAGCTTCATGCCGCCAATAATTATAGATGGAGATGCCCAATGCTTGAGTAATACAATAGATGCGACCATAACCCTATAGAGCGTATAGAATACACAACTTCAATACAGACAAACCCTATTGTTCACAGCAACGAAGGATGAGAGCCAGGAAAATATTGCAGTTCGATCGGACTGACTACTAAGCTCGATCTGCGAACTTCTCGGCGACGAAGGCTTCCAACCCTCTCGGAGTCAGATTGAGCGGGAGGCATCGAGTGACTGCGTCTCTTGGGGGCGGCCACGCGCGTGGCAGGGAGCGCTACCATCTCGAATTGCTCGTCAAATTGACCATCGTCCTCGTCATGAACATCACTGCGCGATATCAGCGATTGTGCTTCCGCGCGTGAAGCTTCGATGAGCTTCCGCTGTTTGCGAATTCGCGCAGGCCATTTGTATACGGCGACGGCCAGGCTCCAGATCGGTGTAAATGCGAGAAATACAGCAGTGATCTGTCGGGGCAGGGGAGAGCATCAGTACAAATATTGTAGAATCGTATGATTTGGCAGATGCAGACCTGGCCGAATCCACCGAACTCGTTCTCCCCCGAGAAGATACAGTTGGCCTTGATTTGAAATTCCGACACTGTACACAAGGCCTCAGCATGTGACAGGCGAACGAAATAAAATTGCGACTGACGGATGATATATGCCATCCACAGGACCAAGGCGTACGTATTTACCCAAAAGACAAGCTGGCGAAAGCGGTCACGCCATGGAGGAATCATGGCAGCTGCAGCTCGGTAAAGCTGTATATGTATGGGTGTAGCAGCCGTGGTTGCAGAGGACAATGTCGACCTCCGCGACAGGCCGACGTATGCCCTCTTCTTTCCGGAGAATGCAAGGATCACAGTCAGGAAGAGGGTCGTACCGAGGCAGAAGAGCAGCCACAGGACCCAAACATAGAACTGGCGATCGTTGACATTCGCCGCACGAAGCGGCACAAAGAAGAACAAGAGTACAGTATCGTTGCTACAGGCTGTTTGATAATAACCTGGTGAGACAAACATCAGGATTCCCCATGCCCATTGCAGAGCGACCTACACGCAGCCTCAGCACCTTCTTTATATACAGAGCGGCTTGTACTGTACCTGAATCAAAAGTGCCAGGGACAGAATGGCACGTTGTTTGGTCTGATCAACTTTGCTGCGCTTCTTATGGCCCGACCGAAAGCGAGTTGCCAAAATGCGGCCCACTTCGTCAGGGTCGACGTGGATCAGGACCCTTTCTCCCTCATGCTGTCTCACAACGTCCCTGGCATAAGCTTCGTGTGGCCGCCACAATGGCAGAATGGGCGCAATGCCCAAGGAACTGATGCATGACAATGTGGCGTAACTGCGATTGTCGCAGTAAATGAACATCAAGAAAGAATATTTCTGCGAATCGTGCATACTTTAGAACGAGAGTGGCATGATGAAGGGAGATCATGTCCATCTTCTTCTGGACGAAGCCGGCGATTACGAGCGCTGCCGTCAAGAGGGCACCGGCCCATGCGCTGGCAACAGCATCTTCGGGGGAGAAAATCACGAGCAATGCTGCAAAGGTCATGAGTGCTCGAATGTGGTCCACTTCGTCGATATACTCACTGTTAAATAGGCTTTGAGCGTAGAAGGCCACTCTGACACCGATTCCAGCAATGTCTGTGTTCGGGCAGATTATACACTGGTTAGTAGGCGTCCCTCCAACATTGCACTCGAGAGCTTGAGTCAGATTGTTGTTCAGAAGGGAGGAAGATACATTGCATAGTTCATAAAGCATAGCGGAGTACGGATGACTGAGTGACTAGCGTGTTACCGGAAGCGAGGCATTAGTACTTATGAAATGTGCTCCGTGGAACGCGGTATACCGCGGGAGCTTAGCGTACAAGGCGCTGCATGCCAAAGGCCTTTGAAAGTTTGATTGGGCGCCTTGAGAACCGAGAAGCGTCCCTTGGCATATGACCTTTGACATCTACAATGACACTGAGTGTTGGCACGAGGAGATTGCACCGCCAACGACGTCCTCATTGGCCTATTTGTTGCCATGTCAGTACGGCGGCGTTATCGAACGACTCGACATGCATCGAAAAATGGCGGTCGCCTTCTCTCCCGAGTCATCTCTTGTGTGTATACGTGGCGGAGCGAGGGTACCACTAACCGATAAGAAACCACAATGCTGCGTGGACTTGACAGGTGTGATGGCACTCTAACCTGAACGAGCATCGTATCAGCGGCGGCGCAGCGCCTCTCAGGCATCCTGTCCGAAGACTTAAAGTCAGACATCCGCGTCGAGAAAGACCCACAAGCACTAGAGAACCTGAACTAGATGTCCTCCATACACAGTGGTGCAACAACGGGCCATCGAGCCAGCATCGTGCCTAAAAGTCAAGTTCGAGTTCGGCCGCTGCAGAATCAAGCGCGCGTTCGAATAGCGGAACCTATCAAGCCTCCCGCGAAACTGCGCGTTCAATTACCGCAGCGGATCAGAGAATTTCAATCACAATGGAAGAGCATTAAAGAGGACCTCCCTCCTCAGCTATCGCGCAAACACAGTGAGTGCTTCTGCCCTAGAGGACTGGTTTCTGAGCTGACCTCTTTTCTAGTCGGTATGATATCTATTGGTAAATATTATCAGAGATAACTAGCGCCGATTTTATTTTCTGACTTTTCTCGCATTCTCGTAGGCGGTGTAATTGGCACAGGCCTTTTCCTGGGGTCAGCCGTGAGTCGTGAAGATCTCATAGAGAATTGGTGCGGGTAGATAACGCAGAGTAGGAAGCGCTCTATGAAGGCGGACCCATCGGTGCATTGCTCGGATATTCGATCATTGGCACAGTGGTATACTGCCTTTGCGTATCTATCGGCGAGATGATAGCCTTCCTGTGTGTGATTCTTTTATTACACTCACGTCAATAAATCGACTGACGCTCAACAGCCCGAACGTTGGAGGAGTTGTTGGTTTAGCAGACCTCTACGTGGATCCTGCTCTTGGATTCTCACTCGGCTGGGCATCTTGGGTGAGAAGGCTCATGAACAGAACCATGATATTGTTTCCGCTGATGACTTTTTCCAGTATAACTGGACTATTACCCTCCGTAGGCTCGTTGCTTTGAATCTTCTGTGGCTCCAGCTGACTGCATATTCATATTGCAGCGGCCGAGATCAGTGCAGCTGCTCTCGCCATGGGCTATTGGTCCAAGGGACACACGTTGCCGTGAGTAGGGAACCATAATTCACAATCTCCCGGGATCACTATTGACATTAGAATGTTAGTCATAGCAAGTTAAATATTCTGACTGCTGTATTCGTGAGTTCTATGTTCAGTGGAGCATACAGTGTAGCAGTAGAAGCGGAAGTTGAATGCCAGGAATTAATCTCAGTAAACGGTGACAGCAAAGCCGCAGAAGTCAGCGCGATGAGCTCGGGACATCGTCGCGGGCTCCTTCTTCGCACACCCATGCACGAATTTTCAGGAGCCACATAGCCCCGCCGACCGCAGGCTTACTTCTACTGCTTTGCTGCTCATCCAGCAAAATCCACCAACTTATATTCCTACTGTTCCTGTCACCCCTCTTTGCCGTGTTGCGTGACGTCGTTTTTGATCATGCATCAATCCAGCTCTTCATCACCACCAGCATCAACCTACTGCCCTCTGGGTACTATGGGGAGGTCGAATTCTATTTTTCGTCATTCAAAGTCGGCACAATTGTTCTTATCAGTACGTCTGCCTGCCTCTTTCATTCATCGCTCTGTGGCTCAATAATATCGCTAGTTTTCTTCAGCCTCCTCAGCGATGTTGGTGTTGGAAGGGATGGGTATGACACTGCATATAAAATCTTGTATCTGTGGAGCTCAACGTGTCTACAGATTCTTAGGTCTCCAACACTGGCATCAACCATTCCCTGACTCATTCTTGGGCGTCCATGGAGCCAAGGGCCGATTCCTTGGTTTCACGGCCGTGCTCATGCAAGCGGCGTTTTCATTCTTTGGTTCCGAGGTTCCAGGAATCGTAAGTGACCCATGTCTACACTCTAAATACAATCATTGAAATGTAGGGTGTAGGCTTCTGGAGAGGTCATTGATGCCACTCGAGTACGTCTTTGATTCCTGACTGACATGTATAGCCGGATCTGATGTGCGTTAGAACGTTCCTCGTGCCCTCCGACGCGTGTGGATCAGGATGTGAGTGCCCAAGGTGATTTGGCGTCTGCGCCTTCCTGATCTGCTGCCAGCACCTTGTTCTACGTCGGCGGCATTTTCTGTGCCGGCCTGCTAGTACCGTGGAATCAGACAGATCTCACAGCTGATACCAGCAACGGATTCTCCTCACCATTTGTGATCGCGTTCGAAGGTACTAAGCTGGCGAAGGTATGTTTCTGATCACAAGTCCCTGATCTGTCTTTGATTAATGGTCTGGAGTAGCTCGGTAATCTCATTAATGCAGCGATCGTTATCTCCGCGTTCTCTGCTGCCTCATCCGACATCTACATCAGCAGTAGATATCTGTTCTTCCTCGCCCGCCAGAAACACGCCCCAGCGATCTTCGCTTTCCTGCTGCGACATCCCGATACAACAGCCTCTCGGCGAGATCCTGTCGAAGAGGAGGAAGGTGAAGATGAAGACAAGTCCGGTGACGGCGTGTCAGTCGAGGTCCACGAACACCGGCCTTCGCAGGACAACATTGACGATTCGGATACTCGCGGCTCTACTGCGTCTGTAGGAAGTGATGTCGAGATGCTCCTAACGGGCAGGCCGAAGCTGCTTTGGGCCCTCCCATTCACGTGCATTATGACCGCCACGGCGGTCGGCACGCTGGCATTTCTGAGTGGCGGCACCACCGCCAGCTATGTGCGTGATAGCTCACATTCATGTCAAGAATCCTGTTGATCTGAATCCGTACAGGCGTTCAAACAACTCACCGCTGCCGCCAGTGTTTCCTCCTTGCTGTCGTGGACCGGAATGCTTTTCACATATATCAGGTAATCAGCCGCAACCTGTTTCATAGGCAGCATTCCGCTCATGCCTAACCATTCAGATGGCATCAGGGCACCGCATATGCTGAGAAGAAGAACAAGGGCCAAGATACTGAAGAAGCCCGTGAAGTCATCGAACAGATTGATAAGATCAAGGAGCACAGGCACAAAGGGCAGCCCTACGTGAGAATCTTCTGTTCTCTGTGATTCTATCCGCTGAAGGGTTTTATAAAAGCTCGCATGGTATGCCTTCATCGTATGCACGACTGTTCTCTTCACGAACGGCTGGTAAGCATCGCCTGTGATGAGATCAGACGATAGGCAGGCTCAAAATGTCGAATATAGGACTGTCTTCTTGCATAATAACTGGCGGATCGGTACGTCAAGTAGATTGTAGAAGCTAGAGAATTTGCTGACGATCAATATCGTGCATAGCGGATGACGTTAAGCCGCCCGATCTAGATCCAGACGATATACGTGTTACGACTCCAGTCGCCACGTTCCTTGCTTCGTATATACCTCTGGTCAGCACCGCCAGTTCCAGTTATAATCATACTATGTCTTGACTAGTTCCTTGTAGCCGTTGTTCGTGCTCCTGACACTGGGATACAAAATGATGTACCAGACGGAGATGGTCACATTGGACCAGATGACTTTCTCCCGGGAGAATGTGCCGGAGTTGGTCGAAGACGAGTTGCCACCACGCAACAGGTGGGAGAAGATTGTGCGAATGTTCATCTGACAAGGGGGATGTGGATGGTCGAACGTTGGCTTCTTGTTTGTACGATATGTGGTATTGATATGTATCATGTAATCTGTATTGTCTGGGCGCATTTACTTGCTTTTATGTGATGCGTTTACATCGGTGGCCGCAAATATCAATCTGTGCGAGTGATCATGCTGAGTAGCTTTGTCAGCTCATGAATCCTATATCTGTTTTAGATGTATGCCTCTCGCCACAGATAAATGAACAGGAACCTAAACGAAATCCTACGAGCACATATCATACACATCCCCCTGGTAACCGCGCTACTACTACAATAGCATGAACAAGACCGAAGAGCCGAAGTCATTGGGACAACTACGATGCACTTCAGCACTTGTCTGGTCTCGTTGGAAAAGGAGGCCACTCAACTGGAATATTCCATATTGGTACCATCCATTCAGTTACTGATGAGCCAAGATGGCTGCCGTTTCTGCCTTCCATGCCGTGGCCTCTTCCAAAAACTGTTCAATACCACCTACGTGTGGCACAAAACTTGCATCTGCACGCGCTTTTTGGCAGCCGTCGGAAGACGTCCCATTTGGCATGCTTGCTATGTTTGCTGTGGCGTCCAGCAGCTCGGTAAGGAGCGATGCTGACAAGTGGCATTTGCTGTCCGTATGTAAAGGCCAGCTTGCAGCAGAGGCCCGGTCCTCTTCATCACTTTCAGGTAAACTTCCAGCCAGTCGCCGTCGAACCAGCCGGCAAGCAGTGACATCCAGTGCCGCGTCAGTACCATTGGGATTTTCTGACTTTCGACGCTTGTTCTGGGTCGCGAATGAACATGTGTTCGGTACTTCATCCTTTATTCTGTTAACTTACTATGAGCCGTTCTCCATGTTGGAAAAATGATACGTCACGATTCCACACGTACTGCGACCTGAGAGGAGGGATGCGTATGACGAGTTTTGGTTGTTCAGAGTCCTCCTCAGCCTGCGATGGTCCAATTGCCTGTCGGAGAGGGGAAGGAGTATGCGCCACGCGACCGTTCCGTGGATATTGTCGCGCCGGATCATAGTATGGAGAGAGGTACAAAGGTATTGCCGGAAAGACAGCACCATCGTCTCTGGGGACCGGCTTGCTGAACCAGGAGGGGAGGACCATGATTTGCACGAGCTATTATGGGTCAACGAAGAGAAGATGGAGGGCAAAGGAGCGCTATTTATTCGTTGTGAGGACGAAGCCACGTCATGTTCCCCGCATGTTTGATAGCCGCTGATGGACGTCTAGAAGGGCATCGATGGGTTCAACGTTCAACGATGAAATGATAAGACCGTAATACTCTCACAGTATATAGTCAAAGCGCGCACCGTGACATACGGAACTAGTAGATCATGCGGGATGAATGTAAGAGTGCCTCGTTAAGTACCACAGTGACAAACGTGTCGTCGCTCTTGTGCAACACGGACCAAGCGAATATTGTCGCCCTTGACTTTAGCTGAGACATACCGTAGTTTCAATATAGTGAAGCTGATCGGCCAATTCTTGGAGAATCCATTAATCACTAATCGTGATCACTGTACGGCCTCAATGGTAATAGTAGGCTAGAGTGTATGAGGCGGGCGCTTAGGCTACGCGATCTCGTGACCCAGCTTGAAAAGGCAACCTCTACCTTCGTTCTTGAGCTTGACCCCTAGTCCTGCATCGTTGCGTGCAACACCAATTGCGTCTTTCTGAGATCTACAACAATTGTCACGAGAGCCGAAATTGATGAAATAATTGTCTACAACAATCGGACCAGAGCTTTACCGTCAAGAACGTGTCCTACAATCGTCGGACATCGTTCAAATCAAGACAGTTTACGAGGCGCTGGTCGCATCCCACGACGTCGACGTCGACCAAACTGCGCGCGCGTTTGACGACCAAGCTCGTACTGCGGACAACTGACTTCCTGTGGAGACAGCACAGCTGGTGCGCCTTACATTCTCCGTTGCACAGCATGTGGCTCACAGCTCTAGCACAGCTTTGACGTACCCCCGCAGCCATAACCCCGCAGCCACATAAGGTATACAGTCGCATCAAACATCCCGAGACCACACAATGTCGCGATACCCTGAGGTAAGCAGCACAATCGCAAGTTATACTTGATGCTCCATGATATGTGCAGGCAGATGAGGCCCAATACGGCCACTACAACGACGGTTATTCGCCGTATCCAAGCCACAACCTCAATCCGTATGAGATTCAACAAGCCCCTAGTTCTTACGAGCTGCGGGACACGTCGAGCCCGTTCGAACATGAACACCAGCCGTACCAGCCTATCCATGCAGATCCATTCATAGGCTCGCATGCGCCGTCCCATCCCAGCCTCTACAGTGCGCCCTCGGTGCAAGACCCTTTCGCGAACCCGATGCACGCGGTATCACCTCCACCGTTACACACTGGCTCGCCCGCCATCTCGCAGCAAAATGACTATCTCCACGCTGGTTATGGAAGCATGCACACGGTTACTCCGCCGCCGCTGCGCATGGAGCCGTCCTCTGTCACCTTATATGACCCTGGCCCCGTAATGGACCCACAGGAGGATATCGACGAGGGCCTAGAGGATGCAGGAGACTATCCACTGTTGCGAAGGAAGTCAGAATTGTCAAGCCTCCCCATTCCGGGCGACTATGAGCCTGTTGCCGCAGACGATAGGTCCGAGACCAACATCAGATATGGTCGCATCCCACAGCGTGTCCCCCGGCGCTACAAGACCATCAAGAAGGTAGAGTGAGTGCGAGCTTGCGCTTTGTCGCGCTGCTATTCCTCACCATACTGCAGGCTGTTCCAGGGCAACTTCGTGCTGGACTCGGCGGTGCCGACGAAGCTGCTGGACATGTGTGCGCAACGGAATGAACGTGAATTCACACACATGCGATACTCTGCGGCCACATGTGATCCCAATGACTTCAAGGATTCGGGCTTCACTCTCCGGCAACTGCACTACGACCCGCCGCGGCGCACCGAGTTGTTCATCGTCATGACGATGTACAACGAGGACGAAGAGCTATTCTGCCGGACCATGCACGGTGTCATGAAGAATGTCGTTCATTTGTGCAAGCGCGATCGGAGTAAGACGTGGGGCAAGGATGGTTGGAAGAAGGTTGTGGTGTGCATTGTTTCGGATGGGCGGCAGAAGATCAACTCGAGGACGTTGAGTGTGATTGCTGCAATGGGTGCTTACCAGGAGGGTGTTGCCAAGGTGCGTGAAACCCTACTGCTACTCCGTTTCTCTGTCCTCACAGGCAGTAGAACATTGTCAACGGCAAGCCTGTTGCCGCCCATATCTACGAATACACCACGCAGAGTGCGTGTTCCGTCCGATCGCCACGCTGTTTTGCTTATGATTGTGCACTACAGTCTCCGTGACGCCCTCCATGAAGATTGAAGGTGCCGAGAAGGGTTTCGTTCCCGTGCAGATCATCTTCTGCCTCAAGGAGAAGAATCAAAAGAAGATTAACTCTCACCGGTGGTTCTTCAATGCCTTTGGGCCGATCCTGGAACCCAATGTATGCGTGCTGCTTGATGTCGGGACGATGCCTGGGCCCACATCCATCTACCACCTGTGGAAGGCGTTCGATATAAACTCAAATGTCGGCGGCGCGTGTGGGGAGATCGTCGCACTGAAGGGCAAATACGGCCGGAATATGCTCAACCCTCTTGGTAAGTACCGCCGTGATGGCGATAGATTACGCAAGTGTGACCGTGATGTGTGTAGTTGCTGCACAGAACTTTGAGTACAAGATGTCCAATATTCTGGACAAGCCTCTGTAGGTCCCGTTATGCTCGACAGCTACCCATAGCTGACCTCTGGACAGTGAATCTATTTTCGGCTACATCACTGTACTTCCAGGTGCCTTCAGTGCCTATCGCTACATAGCTTTGCAGAACGACGCTATGGGCCAAGGCCCTTTACAGAAGTACTTCCTTGGAGAGAAGATGGTAAGAGATGCGTCATCATACCTTTCGGTGTCACATCCTGATAAAGGCTTCCTCGTAGCACGGCGCGGGCGCCGATATCTTCACGGCCAATATGTATCTGGCCGAAGATCGAGTGAGCGTACATTCTGTTGTCTCTGTTGAGCCATGGCTGACTTTTGTTCAGATTCTCTGCTGGGAGCTTGTCTCGAAACGGGGCGGCTCATGGATCTTGCACTATGTAAAGTCCGCGTACGCAGTCACGGATGTCCCAGACCAGGTCCGTGCCTCCATTAGATCCTTCTGACGCATAGCCGCTGATCGGCTGTCCATAGGTCCCAGAGTTGATCTCACAGCGCCGCCGCTGGCTGAACGGATCGTTCTTCGCAGCTATACATGGTACCGTCAAGTTCTACTATATCTACCGCTCGTCGCATACGCTGCTCCGAAAGTTCTGGATCCACGTCGAGTTCATCTACCAGACGTTCAACTTGTTCTTCTCTTGGTTTGCTCTTGTGAGTGTGAAATCCGACTCCGACTTGAGATCGCCATTCATGAGGTCCTGCTACAGGGCAACTTTTATATCTTCTTCGTGATTCTGACCAGCTCATTGGAGACGTACTTTGGCAATCCGATCAAATACGTCAACATGGTCCTCAACTACTTCTATCTCGGTCTACTTATCATGTGCTACCTCCTGTCTCTTGGTAACCGACCTCAAGGGTCGAAATGGGGTTACACGCTTGCTTTTGTCGGTTTCGCGCTCATCACGGTCTACATGACGGTAACTCGCATGGCATGAGCCTCACGTATTGATACTGATGGCCCTTTTCCTCGACATAGGTGGCCGCCTTCTTCCTCGTTTACGAAGAAGTGAAGGCTCTTGCGAAGGAGAAGGGCTCACTTGACCTTTCCGTCTTGTTCAGCAGCTCTATCTTCATAGACATCGTGGTCTCGTTGATGTCGACGTACGGGCTGTATGTCCTTGCGTCGCTCTTACACGTGCGTTTATGTTCTCTTGCCCTTGATCCCGCTGATGATGCGCCCAGTTTGAGCCATGGCATATGATCACTTCCTTCATCCAATACCTGTTGATGGCGCCGTCATACATCGCGGTATTGAACGTCTATGCTGTACGTCTCTTAAAATATCACGGTGTCGAGAAGCAATGTCTGACATTGTACCTTCCCCACTTAGTTCGCGAATGTACAGTCCGTACCGTTTTGGCACTCACAAGGAATTTCTGCTGATATCATGCCCTTACGACAGCGATGTCTCCTGGGGCACCAAGGGTGACAACAAGGTCTCCACTGATCTGGGTGTAATAAAGACGAGCAAGAACTCGAACGAGGTAGAGGTCGAAGTACCGACTGCAGAGACGGACATCAACGCTGCATATGAAGATGCCATTCACATGCTGTCGACGAAGCCGCCGAGGGAAGACCCCAAGCCCGATCCACAAACGGAGCAAGAGGATTACTACCGCAGTTTCCGAACGAAGTGCGTCATGTCTTGGTTTTGTCAAGCTGGCTTGTTGCTGACATGCCTTGTTCGCGCAGCGTATGTCGTCTGATATCTCGTGGCTGAGGTGTTATTGACATTGACTGATGAACTGCAGGTGCTACTTGCGTGGACCCTCTCCAACGTGGGTAGTTCTGAGATATAGGCGAGTTAGGGGCTGACGTGCGTTTCTCTGCAGGGCCTCCTTGCGGCGATCATAGTGTATGTGTATGCCCGCTGGCGAAAGAATAGCCATCTCACTAGACTCCTTTCCTAGAGCTTTGAATGACGAATCTTCGACGAAGGTGCTTGGCTACATGGCCTTCATCCTGTACTCCGTTGCCGTACTGGCATGTGAGTATACTACTTGTTCTTGGCCCACCTTGTTGGTCTAACCGCTCGTCAGTCATCCGCTTTGTTGGATCAGCAGTATACATGCTCGTCCGTCTCTTCGCGGGTGAATGATCTGTATCAAGCATACCCGTTCTTGGATGCGCAGCACTCTCTTGCGCATGATGATATGTATGACCTGATATGACTGTTGCTACCGATACCCTTGTACTTACCAGCAGTGCGCTGCACCGAGTTGACACCAGGAGCTGAACGATGGCATCAGAGTGGAGAGCGAGTGGGTTTGATTTGATACTGGCTGTATTGTACATGATGTGACTGCATCGGACCTGCGATACGAATATGCAACTCCACCCGTGTTTCTTCCATCCGTTGTCCGCTGCAATCATACCCACTCTCGCGGGGTTTTGAGCACCTCGACGAGCTTTCCTTCCTCGCTGGCGTCTCCATCAGTTCCCAGATCGCTCATGTACTCCCATCTCGCCGTCTCCGGCAAACTCATGAGGACGCTCTCGATCCGTGCGCCAGGAGTGAGCATCCCGAAAAGCGTCCCCCTATCATATACCAGATTGAACTCGACGTAACGTCCCCGCCGCAGGAGCTGCCATCGCCTCTGCCGGTCGTCGTATGGGGTCTTCATGCGGCGTTCGAGGATGGGGACGAACGAGGGGACAAACGCATCGCCGAGGCTCTTGATCATCGCAAATATGTCGTCCGGTGTACGGGGGCGCTGACTATCAGCATCAGAGCCCTCGGCGAGGAAGCGCTTGTGCGGCTCGTCGCAGACGTCGTCAAAGAACATGCCGCCAATACCGCGCGCCTCACCGCGGTGCTTGATGAAGAAATACTCGTCGCACCACTTCTTGAACGTCGGGTACACCACCGTGCCGTGCGACGCACAGGCATCCTTGAGCGTCTTGTGCCAGTGCAGGGCGTCCTCCTCGTACAAATAGGACGGGGTGAGGTCAGAGCCGCCGCCGAACCACCAGGCGACGACCTTGCCTTGTGCGTGCTCCTCCTCGGGGCTCTCCGCGGAGGGCTCGGTGATCTCGAAGTATCGATAGTTGGCGTGCACGGTGGGCGAGTGCGGGTTGCGGGGATGGATGACGAGGCTGATGCCCGCGGCGAAAAAGGGGAGGTTGCCGGTGAGGCCCTCCATCGAGCCGTGGTCCGCGCGCATCTGCTTCACGGCGGCGGGCGGGAGGGTGCCGTGCACGATGGAGATGTTCACGCCGCCTTTTTCGAGCACGGTGTTCTGCAGTGCGGCGGCCGCCTCGGACACGGTGGGGTGGGGGACGGCGAAGACGCAGGAGAGACCGCGGCCTCCTTGCGCGCGCACCCAGGAGTCTCGCTTGAATGGAGGCGCATTCGGGTCGACTTTCTCGAGCGCGGTCACTATCTCGTCCTGCAATTTTGAGATGTACTCCTCGACTCGCTGTCTCATCGGTGTGGTGGAGGTCGACGCCATGGCTGGTGATGCGGAGAGATTTTCAGTGTTGCGCGGATAAATGTCGAGTTGGATGGCCTCGATTTGCGAGCTGGATGGGTCGAATTGTTTTCGAGGCGCGGCGAGGCGGCGGAAGCGAATCGTGCCACCGCGGATCGAGGCAGCATCAACTTCACGGTCACCTGACCTGCGTTATACGCGTCGCGTCGGGCGACCCGCCTTACGGTTGAAGCGCAACAGCGTCACAAATGAAGACATGTGTCAATTATCTGGGCGAGGTTCTTTGTAGTCATTCTAACACTATGCCTTACATGTAGATCTAAACTACTTTACATATATACTACTCGGGCACACCGTGAGCTATGATCGTCGCAGTCAATAAAAGGTATGAAGTCGTAATGATAGCTGTACTTGCGTGAAGTAATGCATGAGACGAGAAGGGAATAACGATACATCATTGCAAAAACGTCATCATAATCCAAGGCGAACGAAGTCAAACACGAGCACTTAATCTGCGGTCTATTTTGAGCCTTGCCAATAGCATGAAGAGAGATCCCGTGAGAACCGTCGCGCCGCTTAGGACGATCAGGCCAGTGTAGGAGCCGTGCGCGTGCTTCACGAGTGCTCCAGCGGCGGGACCACCTCCTAATGATCTGCGGCGACGTCAGTGACTCGTGGCGCTTGGATGACTCACAAACTCACGGAAAAGAGATAATTGTGTATAGCATTCCGACGCGTGTCCCAACCGACTGTATTTCAGATATTTGCGCCACACAAGAGATGATGAGGGCGTTGAATCCACCGGAGAAGAAACCAAAGAGGGCTGCGTATACGACAATCGAGGCTAGGTCCTTGCACGACGTCCACAGTGCCAGCGTGAGCAATCCTGATAGGAACACGCAAGGCACGATGATGTTGAATCGCCCGACAGTGTCGGACAACAGCGAAGGGAGCAGGCGCCCAGGAACGCTCCCGGCGTTCAAGATCGCCAACACGTAAAAGGCCGTAGTGGTCGGAACAGAATGAGAGATGGAGTAGTCGACGATGTAGAAGTTCGGCATGAACAATCCTTTAGACACATCATCAGCGCAAATCCCGCCAAGGCGTCCGATCAGAGAGAGTGCACCTACCAAACGATATGAAGATGCTTCCGACAGCAACGATGGTGAATCGGACATCTCGGAACGATTCAATGTCAAACCAGGCTCGCTTCCGTGGCCCGGGAGGGAGGCGGCTCCTCACTGTGACCAGCGCTACGGTGCTGAGCGCCAGACAGATGAATGCGGATATTCGCACTGCCCAGCCAAAACCGACCAAGGAGAATAGCCGGCGGTACATGATCGGATATATCACGCCGCCTGGGAGACAGCCTCGTCCGTAAATCACTCGGGACGCGTCAGATAGTGCAGCGTACCTATTCCAGAGCCTGTCATGGCTATGCCAATCGCGGTCGCTCTGTACCTCTTGAAATGCGTTGCGATGGCAGAGAGGGACGGGTAGAAGCTGCGGAGATGTCTATTGTCAGGTTGATGTCTGCCAGACGCGGAGTGATTTCCACACGTACACCATTCCAATTCCTAACCCGGTTAGAATTCCTTGGCACAGGACGTACTCATAATAGGAGGTACAAATGCTCGTAATCATCATACTGAAGATGAGGACGAGTGTGCCTGGTATCATGAGAAACCGGGGACCACGCTCATCGGTTATTCGACCAATGAAGCCACCCTGCGACAATTTCCACGATTAAATCCAATCCCGTTACGAATTCTCAGAGAGGCACCGCTTACCGAAAAGAAGAACACCCATAATTGCAAGGAACCAATCCAAGAGATGGTGAAAGCCGGGTATGCTTGCAATTGATGCTCTGCGTACCACGATTGGAACGTGCCAAACGCGTTCAGCTGGCCGAAGGAGCAATACAGCGATAGGAATGCCCCCAGTACTGTGAGCCACGCCTGAATCCCGCCGTCCGGAAATTCGTCTTCTGCACGATCATCATGCGGCACCAAAGTGCGAGGAGACGAAGGTGCATAAGAATCGTCAACTGTCTCGTGAGTGTAGGACGTCGCGAGGCTCTGCCGTGGTTTCTCTGCATCAGCCATGGGGACAGGACCCAAACGAGGTGGCGGATAGCAGAGGAGTCGGCAGGGCTGGGGTGGAAGGGAAGTTTCATGCTGACAGGGCCCACCTTATAATTGTTGTCTCGCGTTGACAGCAAGGCCGCCCGCAGCGGGACTCTGGATGGCTCACCACACGGCTATGGAGAGTGCCTTCTTGGGACCCGGACACTCGGGCCCGTCCGTGACTCGGGCTCCCAGCATTCGGTTAAGCCTTATGCCCACAACGACGTGGATGCGAACATGTCGGGCCCGCCTCTGTCGGTGCGCGCGACGTTGCGACGTGGGATAACATGCCGTACAGGTCCTCCCGACGGCTGTGCGGCTCGGAGAGCCTCGTTGCGATCGCTTAGAGACAAGCATGCGCGTTTCGCCCCCAAAGGAAAATAAGGTGTCGATTTTGACATGCAAGAGCGGCGTTGACGCCAATACGGCGCTGATACACCTGTCAAATGTCCGGTCGGACGGATATGATTGATGGGCATCCTTGATAGGGGTGTGGATTATGCTCACCTGGCCTAGGTGGCGATGCAAGCACGCAGCATTGCATGCTAGCGAATGCACCTAACAGCCAGCATCGGCGTGAGCAAAGCGAGGAGACTTAGAGGAGACTAGGCCTACACAAGCTTATAACACTGGTACAAACCTGCCAGACATCGCATTGTGTTTGTTCCACCCGGCGCTGTATAGTAACGCTGGTAAATGATGGCGAATGTCGACCTTACGGATAGCTTTGTCCTGCTAGGGAAGGCTATTTGTCCGCCGGCGACTTGGTAAGACGTGATGCCGCGCGCGCAGTTGATCGGGAGAAGAACAGAAATGGAGGTAGGATCGCGACTGATCAATTATCTTCCCAACTTGCCGCGCTGAGTCATCAGCGGTGGCCACTACACGGAGGCGACTACACAATTAGAAAATAATGGAGCTATGATTCTCGTTTGACGTGTGCTCGCGCTCCATGGTCTCCTCAGGCGCGAAGGCGATATATTACAATCTGCACATAGCAATTGCTAGATCTGGGTGTGATAGTACATGCATGAACACACCTGCAAGTTGTGTTGGAGTGAAGATCACCTCGGATTATGAGCATCGTTGCTACTGAGACTGCCGCTTCGAATGACATTTTCTATGTTGACCTAGTAGTAGATCTAGATGGAACACACTTTGACCTGTTCCGAGGGCATCATGTGCAAAACGATCGTTTTATGCTCTTTAGGAGAGTATCGATGTGTATAAAACATCTCCGAGAGGCGGCGTCTCAGAGAATTGTGCAGTCGATGATACGAAGAAAAAAAGCTGCCCCAGTGAGGCTCGAACTCACGACCTTCCGATGTCATGCGGTAGAGTCTTGAGGCTCTGCATTAACAGTCGGACGCTGTGACCAACTCAGCCATGGGGCAAGTAATGAACTTTTAGAGCTTAATATATATATTGTCAAATTCTGAAGGACTCCGAGTTGCTTCAGACGTGCTACGGACGCGCAGCATATATACTCGGCAAAAAGAAACGTTAGATTGACGATTGACTGAAAGGAAAAGTGTACTCGCTTTCAACATAAACTTTCTACACCAGAACTACCGGCTGGTGGACGCCGGCAGTGCGCGAAGCTTACCATGAAACTCCGAGCATGAATGAGTGAGATAGCTGGTAGGTAGCCTGCTGATACAAGTTGTTATAAGCGAACTTGGGTCAAATGTCAAAATCGGGTAGAGGCGGATGTCTATTTGTTCCGAACAAACAAAGGTGTGCTTCTCGCCGCAGACGTGCACGACGACGTTCTGCAAGGCTCACACTCCACTCCCGTCTCCTCGTCGCCGACATGCATCCCTCTCTCGCCCGCCGATACTTGAGTAACCTGGTTCCGCCCAAAGTCGCGACGCCCAGTATCCTGGTGAGGAATGGTTTCCGATCAACGAATGGACGTTGTGTGCTCAGGCAATACGCGACAGTCGTCCGGCTCTGGCGCAGGATTGGGCCCGCTCGTCAACTTCTACTCCAAGCTGCCCAAGGGCCCCGCGCCCGTGTCTGCCTTCGGCGGCGTCAAGCAGCGTTATTTCAACGGCAAGAACGCGTCTGCGGCACCGATTCTCTGGATCATCCTTGGAGGCATGGCATTTGGGTACACCATCGACTATCAGAGTGCGTGCGATACGTGTATAGACACCGTGCGAATGACTGAACGCGCTTGTTACTTGTGCAGTGCACCTAAGTAAGCACGCAATGCATTCTCTGTGTTCGTTCACTTTTTTCATGATCGATTGTTGCAGAGCATCAGAAGAAGCACGCTCACTGATCGTTGGATGGCGGTCGAGACGTTTAGATGGCTGTAGCTGGCACGCCGAACCTTGTCTATATTATCGCAATGAACTCTGCAATCTTCACGTCGTGCATTGGTTCGTCTGCTCAAGGTGCTCGTCCCCCGCTCTATCAGCGACGGCATGCCGTGCCTATCGTGTTGCAGCTTATCTGAGGAGAGCGTTCTCCCTCATTGGCGTTGTGAATGCCGCTCACGAGCAGCGTCCAATCATCGCGCTTAATTGAACCAGCCGGCGTTCGCATTGGGATCGTCCACTTCTCGTGTGATAGTATCTGTGCCTTCTCGTGCTTGAGATACGCCATGACGTACAACAAGCTCTTTGCCTATCTTGACGTGAAAAGGGCGAGCTTGAAACGCTGTAAGTACCTGATTTCTATACTTGTCGCCATTCCGACCCGATCTTGCTTCAGATCTTCTCCGCTGTCACCATCTCGCAATTTTTCGTTTGGGATTGCCGCGCAACACAAGGACTTCTCACAGTGAGTTTCCTATGAAACCATACTTGTCAGTCATGACTCCCTGTATGTGTGATGCATCAGCACATTCTCAAACGATAGGGACAAGGGGCCGTCGGCACCCCGTCTCGTTGTACGAAGAGGGCATACTGGCAGCAGCGAGCTATTGATCCCTAGCTCTGTTAGCCCAGTCGGTGCACCTTGGGCTGCAAGGAAGAGCATTGTTCCCTTGTTTCACGCTACTGACTCTGCGTGAGATTGAATCTAGACGCGATTCATTAGCCAAAGCAGGAAATGAAACTGGCGTTGTCGTGTAAATGTCGTTGAAGGCCCATTAAGAGCGCCACAAGGCGTGCGTACAGACCCAGTGCAGCCGATTATTCATCTACTACATCAGCTCACAGACGTTTCAGAGCCAAGTGGTATAGCATGGCGCCTGCCCCGTGTCCGGTCGACCGGTCAACGTTTCAACGTTGCGTCGATTTACATTGATTGACCTGGTGTTATATCGCAGAGACCGTGCTCATCGGACGTGACAGGTAATATGCGGATGGCAAGCTATCACGCGTGCGGTGAGCCACACGCACTAAATCACGGCATTCCCGACATATGCGTCATTGTCTATCCTCGGGGTTATGCGTGTGTCGTTATTCGGCACAAGTGCCGATGCTATCTTCCCGGAAAGGAGTTGACCGTGATGACGTCTAACCTCGGGGATGCCGTGGGCACGGCACAAACGATGGGCCGAAGCTGTTTGCATTGCGACTAATGATACAATGGTGCAATAATAGAGGTCAACTTCCAGGTTGCTAATGACATGCGAACAGCTCAGGTCCATGCGAGATCCAGGGGAGGGAAAGAAACGTCAGGTCTGCAGAGTGCGTGCGGCCTTTGCTCGACATTGGAAGCATTCGTCCTTGACGACGTCGATGTCTTTTTGGACGTCAGGTCCGAAGTTCTGGATGACGGGAGAAGGGGGGAACCCGATGAGAACTGGCGCGGAAGGCGATGCGATGCGGAATTTACTTTGATGCATGCAGGATCTCGGCAACCCTTGGGGTGCAAGATGCTCCGCTCACACTGGCTCGAGTTGCAGTCCATGATGGCAACGACGAGATGACGCTGGAAATGCTGTAAGGACAGGAGCACCGCTGATCAGCTGACCTGTGGCGTGAACGTTTACGAGGGAGAGGAGGCCATTACCCCACACTTCGACCACCGCGTTCCCTCTCTGTGCAGACAGTTCAGCGGCGGAGCATGAGCATAAGGACGTGGGTAGACGTACGCGATTCGTCGACACATTGTGCGGGTATACTTGTGCGGAGATGGGACGGACTAAGGGAGAGGAAGATGTTCGTCGCGGTCGCACGGGAGTGGCGAGGTGGGAAGGGGGGATAGTAATGGGCTGGCTTCCTCGTCTTATATTGGCCTTCCAAGAAGCGCTGGGCTAATTTGCTCAGTGGCAGCATGATCAGAAACCACACGAGCGGGGTATGATTCAAGCACGCTGATCTAGCGGTACGCTCGGCTCGTGAGATTCCTCCGTCCCTCCGTCCCCATGTCCGCAATCCGTTACCGTCAATGAGATTATGAGAACCACGTCCAAGAATTCTGCAGCACGCCATCATGCGATAGAACCTTCTGTTCCTCTATCGCCCGCTGTTGCAGCTGTGGACGGTTCTTCTTCTTTCCCCCATCTGAATACGCGGAGACGCGGCATTACTACTACTGGCAGTGGCTTCTCCAGATAGCACATTCGTCGGATAACGCGTATGGCTCGACATGTCTGGGATGTCACCTCCTGGTACACGATTGCGGCACATTGCGTGCAGCTGGCGAAGCCAAAACAGCTTCGGATGACTCCACTTCGAGGTGACTATGAATACGACGACCCCTAGCACCAGCTCAAAGACTTGACTCATGCGCATCGCCGCGCCCGTCCTTGTCCATCACATTTCGGGAAATTATATCGCGAGCCTCATGCTGGCACCTCCCTCTTGAGAGTGTGTGAAGGTCCTTGTGGCTCACACGGATCGTGGTGTTGTCAACAACCGCACTGTGCCTGAACGCACACATCATTTATTCGCGGCTCATCGCCCATCCGCTCGATCACCCAAATTTTCTGCTTCGATGGTCGGCAATTCGAGGTCGCTATCTGAGATTTTCCGGAGTCCTAGGGTGCGCTGGTGCTATGACGCGAGCTTCGTCAGATTGCAGAGCGAGCGAGTGGCCCCGGGCGCGGACTACGCCTGAGGCTCACACGTTCGCTCGCGGCTCCGTACATATCTTAACCCACAGTCGGCGGCGGGACGATGAGGTACCCGTGTGTGTTCGATAAGCATGTGAGCATCAAGGGAACGTCCGACATCGATGCCCGCTGGACATGTACAAATCTGGAGTTCAGCACGCATCGATCTCTGAGCGTCGGGTTCGGCTCCTGGTCTGGGCGATATGATGGCCGCGTATCGGAGCAAGCTCACGGGAAGGTTTGGGACGTCGCCTTAAACATTCAGGCCTCCCCCCTTAGTCGCCGCGACGGCCGGTGCATATACGCGCCGCGCCGCGCATGGAGATACTTGCATACGCACTTACCCTGACTGAACAGTTTTCTCTTCCAGATACACAGAAACGATGCTGCCTGTAGCTTGCAAAGACCGACTCAAATATGTCGCATGGCCATGCCAATGCGAGTCGATACAGCACAGGAGGCTATCAATTGCATGCGCGCTGGTGTTGAAGGACCATGGAAAGTAGGATCGGCTCTCGTAAGGGCCGGGGCAGAGGATTCCTTACCTCCGAGAGAAAGGAAAGGAAGAGCACTTCGTATTCGAGGCGTACCGTAGTAGAGGGTCTGACTTGTCATGGTAGCTCCAGTGCCTGACTTAGTCAAATCGGAGCGCCAGGTCGATGTATAAAAACTTAACCCACGTTCTACCTCCGATGGTCAGCTGCCTTGCAGCGCCTGCCGTGCATGATCCGCGTTTGAATGGGGGAGAGCATCGGATCCTACCACTAGATGTTATCCACCACTTCGATCGAGAGAAAGCATGGCGAAAGTAAATAGGTGAGCTGCTGCTATGCACATGCTTCGCCAGCAGGATGCAAATCATTTCCGAGGCTCCTCGCCCACATGTACCACCACGAGCTTCCTGGTCAGCAGGTTGAACACCATCCCGAATATGAGTGCCACAAGAGTACAGCTCATCATGATGACATTGTACGGCATGCTGAAATCTGGGGTGGCGAGGTCGACCAGGAGGATGGGCGTGTAAATCCGCGTCGAACGCTTGGGAACGGCCAAGCTGCTGTCCAGGGCTCCGCTGGACTTGTTCCCAAAGGAGAATGGTACAAACACGGCCGGAGGAAGGTCCCAGCCGCGCTGCGCGTCTGGCGGATGCTCCGTGTAGCGCAGGAACGGCTTCGACACGTCCATCGTGAGCTGCAGCGTGCTCTTGGGCGGCAGCGTCAGCACGACTTGCATCAGAGAAGGTCGGGAGTGCGGGACGGGAGCTATGTACGAGACAATCGCTGCAAGATCGTCTATAAGATCCGGACAGGGCGAGATGTTAGAGATCCACGAGATTGACAAAGGAAGCGGCATCCCCGGAGCACGTACCGCGCGAGACGCCGTCGCACTCCACATGCAAGGTGTGCAGGTAGAATTGCAGAAGCCAAGGCATGGCCTCGAGGTAGCTTGTCTTGACTTCGGTGGGAAGATTGTTTTTGACCACGAGGGAGAGTTGGGCTTCGTACTGTGTAGATGCTTTTAAGGTACGACGGATGGACAAAGGTAATAGTGACGGGGTGTCCCGGGACAAAGCTACGAGCATCCATTAGCCGGGGATTCACGGGCTGCATGTATGAAACTAACGATATTGAAAAGATGTCTCTTCAGGCCATTGCATGCTGACATCGAGAGGCCCTATGGCAAATGGATCGATGAGCATTCACAAGAGGAGAAAGACTCCAAGACGGATTGCTGACCTCGGATGTCAAATGTAGCAAACTCATCGTCCATCGAGGTCGGCACGGGAACTATTGTATAGGACTGTTCCACCGGTAGCTTCACTCGTACAAGACTTGATCTCGCAACCGGACATGCTTGGTCGATGGCACGATCAAATACAGACCGGAAGGACCAATCTGCGAAAGGAGTCGCTCGAACGTTTACAGAGATGAGATGAAGTCCACCACTGACCACGACGCCTGTCGTAAGACAGACGGACAGGATCCAAAATAGCCTGGAATGTTAGCCGGACCTCTACGCCCGCATCTTGACGATACAAGACATGAACACCAAGGCCATGCCAGTCCGCATCGAACAGCCGGTGTGGATTCAACAATGCCGCGATGCCTGAGAGCGACTTGCAAGGCAGAAGCTTGAGAAACGGCGTCAAGTTCTCAGTGCAGACGTGCTCTGAAGGCAGGGTTGCATGGCGAAGCTGGTGAGGATATGTCCAATTAGGTAGCGAGCCCTCCGGTTGGAAAGTAATGACAGGCGAGGTGGTGCGCTGCTCATCTAGCGAACCCAGAGAAGCGCAGAATAGACCAGCCAATGCATTTCGCAGGCCCTGCCATCTTTGATCAACGCTGAATTCTGTCAGATGCTAATCGGCACGTAACATTTGCAGAGAAGCCGCTCACCTCATGGCCGCGCCGTCTCCCATCCATGCCCACAGCTCTGCTCCGGTACTGACTCCGGGTTCTTCGGGGTAACCCCATCGGTCATAGCCCCAGTTTCCCGCATTCAAAGTGAGGTGAAGCTCAGTCACAGCATATTCGCGCAGTATCTGACCAAGAGCGAGAGGAAACAGGGTATAGTGCTGTGCTACCGCGAAGTTCATCGCTCGTGACGGATTGAAGGGCAGCATTTGACTCACACTCGTCGTCAGTCGAAAGACTGTCCGGTTCTCTGGGAGTAGCGTCTCCTAAGAGGGTCGTGAACAAGAAATGGGCGGCCAGCTTGCCATCACGGAGTGGTCGCAGAGTCAATTGCTCTTGGAATTGTTCTGCTGATAGTACCTCGGAGGGAAGCAAACTCAAAACCAGAAAAAGGTTACCAAGCCATCTGGCCCGCATCGTGCAGCCCTGCCTGCATGAACCGCACAGAATAAGCTGAAGTCAGACGGAAACTTGGAGTTGTGGCCACGACATGAAGAGCCACAGGCGCGCTTTAGCTTAGTCAGCGTCGCAGTTGCCATTTTAGAATTGAGCGCCTGTTTGAGCCCGCAGCTTGCACCGTTTGCTCACTAGTCCACTGCATCAGCTATATCATTTTAAGGTATTTCAAGGCTAGTGGACCGGTAGGACCAAGGTATGCCTTTTCGTTCGCTTGAACCAAATATCGCGCAGCGCTGAGTTCTCCGTCATCTTCAATCTCCAGCCACAACCCGTTTGGGCAGACAAATATTCTTCTGTCTGATTTTCACGGACCAATCTGTGCTGGGCATACATCAGGATAGCCCAAAGACATGTGAGTAACTTGACTATTTGAAATGTCGCGTTAGCTTAGCGACGTTAACGCAACCTCCACCCCAGAACCTTAGCAGAAGCGTGTGCGTGCAACATTTCATGGATGCATCAGCACCTGGACCACACACTGACGTGAGAACAACGGTCATGCGTACAGCACCATCACTTGTTTCTTATGAGCCTTCTCGCAGCGCGAGAGTTCACGGCCGCCGTGCACGATGTGTCTGGGTCATCGTCTCGCGCAGCACGGCGCGTGGTGTTGAATGCCGACCTGCTGAAAGCTGCGAAAGTCTGTGCCGGCGATGTCCTCGCAATTGAAAGCGTTGCGTCAGACCACAAGGTGAGGCAGATGTTCGGGTTCCTTTATGTGCAGCTGATCACCATTCGACACGCTAACCAAAGCCATCCTGCATTCACAGACCTTCGCAGTAGGCATTGCATGGCCCTCATATGAGATATCACAGGACTGTAAGTAACATGCGTGTATACACCAGGTGACGACGTCTTATCGTCGTCATGCAGCCGTGCTAGCGTCGTCTTCCCTGCTTCTGACCGCCCATGTACCAGAAGGGTCAAAGGTCAAGGTCATCCCACTGAACAGTAGGAAGCTCCCGTCGCATTTGCCGCCCGTACGATCGGCCCAGGCCGCTCAGGCCGTTCATGTGCGAGAACAAGGAAGCCGACGGGCGAAAGCTCCATCTGCGAAGCAGGCTCAGCCCAGCAACACGAAGCGTCGCGACTGGCTGGCCCTTTTGATCCGAGAAGCACTTGGTTCGTTTTCTAATCCTCCGTGATCTCGCAAGAAGTCTCGGCGGGCCCCGTCAGTCAATGTGCTGATCAACTTCTCTTCTCGCTACAGTGGATTTGAGGTATCTGACGCCCACGCAGACGGTAGACATCGTCTATGAAGGTAACACCCGGCGGTTCTGCGTGTCCTCCGTGTCCCCGGGCCGTGGGGCGAGTGCGGGGGAAGAGGATGAATTGGCAGGAAGCCTGCGGTCGATGTCCTTGGACGCTTCGAAGCTGTGGATCGTGGACTGGGAGACGGAAGTATATTTGGATCGGCATTCGTCCGAGACGGGGCCGGAAGGCTCGGCCAATAAGGTCAGTTACATATTCGTACGTTTCATTTGTGCTACTGAATGGCAGCCCAGCTGGCCACGCACGGCGTGGAAAGTGCCACTGGAACAGATGCATACGCCGCCGTCGGAGGATTGGACAAGCAGATTGCGCAAATCCGCGACCTTATCGAGATTCCGCTCACTCGTCCCGAGCTGTTTCGCCACTTTGGTACGTAACTCGTCATTGCATTGCGACGTTGGCTCACGACTCGTCATCCCGTGACTTTCCTTGAACCACTCAGGTCTCAAACCTCCACGTGGCATCCTTCTGCATGGGCCACCCGGGACCGGCAAGACGCATCTCGCACGCGCCATCGCGGCCTCCACGCACTCCTCCGTACTCGTCGTCAACGGGCCCGAGCTCTCCTCCGCGTACCACGGCGAAACGGAGTCTAAATTGCGCGACGTCTTCGCTGAGGCGCGCGCGCGTAGCCCGTGTATCGTCGTGCTCGACGAGGTCGACGCGCTTTGTCCGCGTCGGGATGACGGGCCCGGCGGAGAGGTCGAGAAGCGCGTCGTCGCGCAGCTGCTTACCATCATGGACGGCATGGGAGACGGCGCAAAGAGCACGGACGAGCGCGTCGTGGTCGTCGCCACTACCAACCGGCCGAACGCCATTGATCCTGCATTGCGGCGTCCCGGTCGATTTGACAGGGAGATCGAAATAGGTATAGCAAATTGTGCTGTTGAGGACAATCTCACCTGATTGTGTCTATGCAGGCATACCCGATGCCGAGGCCCGCTTCTCGATACTCAATGTGCTTCTTGCAAAGACGCCCCACTCGATATCGCAGACCGATCTCCGCTCTGTCGCTGCCCGCGCCCACGGGTACGTCGGCGCGGACCTGAGCGCCGTCGTGCGCGAAGCAGGCACTATCGCCATCAAGCGCTGGCTCGCAGCCCAACCTCCTTCATCCGACCCATCCGTCGTTAGCGCTGCGCCACAGCTAATCCTATCGGACCTCCTTACCTCCCTGCCAACAGTACGGCCATCTGCGCTGCGCTCGCTTTTCCTCGACACGGCGCCCGTGCACTGGTCCGACATCGGTGGACAGGCGACGACGATCCAGAAGCTGCGCGAGTGCGTCGAGTGGCCACTTCTCCATCCTGAGGCGTTCGAGCGACTTGGGGTGCGTGCGCCCAAGGGCGTGCTCCTGTACGGTCCGCCGGGGTGTAGCAAGACGCTGCTTGTACGCGCATGTGCGACGGAGAGTGGCGTGAACTTCCTGGCTGTGAAGGGGCCCGAGGTAATCCGTATAAAACTATAGTGGGTCCAGCCACTGACACACAATTCGTGATAGCTGTTGAACAAGTACGTAGGCGAGTCTGAGCGAGCGGTTCGCGAGATCTTCAGCAAGGCCCGTGCTGCTGCGCCATCCATCGTCTTCTTCGTGAGTATTTGTGTCTAGACTGTCATCACGGCTGGCGCTGAGACTTGTCTATATTCTAGGACGAGATTGACGCATTGGCGACATCACGCTCATCCTCGGACAGTTCAGGCGGAGTCCATGAGGGTGTCTTGACCAGCCTCCTCAACGAGATGGACGGTGTGCAGGAGCTCGTGGGTGTGACAATCGTTGCGGCAACCAACAGACCAGAAGCGATAGTATGCATTCACTTTTCCTGCGGGTCGGTCGCTCGAACATATGCTGATGTCACTTTCCATAGGATTCGGCCCTCATGCGTCCTGGCCGCCTGGACCGCATCCTCTATGTCGGTCCGCCTGACCAACAAGGCCGAGAAGACATTTTGCATATCCGCACGCGCAAGATGAGCATCGAGCCTGGCATTGACTTTGCCGAGATTGCTAAGATGGTATGGATGTGCCCTGGAGCTCCTCCGACGTGGGACTAACAGTCACTTCCATCCCAGACTGAAGGCTATTCTGGCGCTGAGATGGCCGCGCTGTGCCAGGAAGCGGCGCTGCTGGAGATGAAGAGAGACATCAATGCCCCACATGTACGGCATATGTGCAGTCCGAGGTGTAGCGACTCACTTCCCTTTCTCCTCAGGTGCTGTACGATGCGTTTGTGTCGGCCGCTCGTGCGATGAAGAAGCAAATTACACCAGAAGTAGTGGCGAGGTACGAAACGTGGAGAGACCAAAACGGCGCGACAGAAGCATAGGATGTCTTTGCGGGTGTAAGCAATGATCCAGACGCAACAAATATGAGTACTTCCACGCCGCCCGCCCGTCTTTCTCCGCGCTGCCGAAAGGGCCCGCAAATCCGTATGTAGCATCCAAGGAAAGATTCTGGCTGAAGAGGCCGAGTGCAGCAGTGAGAAGCCCAGCAAGGAGGTAGCAGGGTGGTGATGGACGGAATCTATGAATAATTAAACAAAGGCTCAATATGTGTGACTCGCTGGATCGAAAAGACCTGCCTTGGCTGCGGCGATGAGATCAGCGCGCGCGAGCATGAATTATTGAAAGCTGGCGTGCAAGTTCTCGTAGTAACCTATGCTTCTCACATTGTCATGTGACTGACTCGCTGTGGGACGACCCGTGTGACATTGAGGCTGCCAGTGTGTAGCCTTTGCACGAGAACACTGTCTAGCCAACATATCCGTCTTCGCTATACACAACATAGTCGTGGACTATTCATCATGCCGATCCATAAGGAAATTGAGATCATGATCAACGGCGAATTTGGCGAGCCTTTCTGTGAATTTCCGGCTCAGGACACAGGCTGTTCCAATTCATCAAAGGGCCCTTCTCCATCTGTGACATGCATGATTGGATGTTTCCCTGGCCAAGTAAGTAACTAGTACTGACTGTGTCTGAATTGAACATGATGCTCATTATTGCTGTAATTGAACTTGCAGAAGTTCAGTTTTAAAGTCTTGAATCACAGTGTCAAAGCTATTGTTGTGCAACCACGTATTGATGGAATACTTCTATCCGAGTTTGCAGTTTCACAGGGTCAATCCTGTCTCGATATTGGTTATGTGGAATCTCTGGGCTCCATACTCAACGATGCTGTGCGTCCATACCAGTTTGCAAGCATACAAAAATGGCGTAAGTTATATACCGTAACTTGAATCATGAATTGATCTCATATTTCTGCATAGGAACCATGTCCAAAACTGAAGATCACTTTATGGGCAAATTGATCTTCACTGTCTTCTTTGTGGAAGATTTCGAGGATGCAGCCCAAGACATCCATAATGGCTACAAGAAGTTGTCATTGAAGGCAAGATCAGTACATGAAGATGATCTTAATAATGGATTTCAGGTCATGTATGGCACCATGGCAGTTGTTCTCTCCAAGTATTGACTAACTTGCAATCATACAATCAAGTCTCAAGCCCACACCAATAACTGTAGCATCAATTCCATCCCACAAACGAGTGTTGACATATAAGAAGATGCGAGATGAAGATCCACTGATATTTTGCTTCAAATTTTGTCACAAAGGTAGAGCTTCTGAACTTTTGAATTTATCTGCCCTTACATGAATTTTTTGCTGTGCTGTTATAGGCAACCTGCCAGTGGACAAGACGACACAACAGCAAGAGGATCAGGACAACAGAACAAACACACAGGCCATTGTACAAACCAACCTGGTTTCCGAGCAAGATGAGCAGCCGAATGATGGTGCTCATCCGGTAATAGGTGGCACAGATGCAGACGTGCCTAAAGTAGCCATTCTCAACTCAACAAAGGAATGGGATGGTGAATCAGATATGGAAGATATGCTTCCTGGTGGTTCGTTCCATTGTTCAAGTCAGGACTGTCCATTGGCTTACGTAGACATTGTATTATTTTATAGAGGCTGAGAACGATGACGATGACATGCTCGGTGAAGGCTCAACTGAGATCCGAGCCTCGGAACCTCCATTGACAGATAATGAATGTATGTCCCTGGTTGCTTTATAATTTTCATTGCTGTATGGCTAATTTTTTTCTTCACTTCGGATGCCGCTTGTAGTATCTGAGCCTTCGTCCCCAGCACCCTCCGATAATGACTTACCAGAAGACACATCTTCAATACTTTCTGACCTGCCATCCGAAAGGCAGGATGTGGTGCCAGAGGAAGGTTCACCAGCTAGTGACATGCAGCAAATGGATTCCGAGCCTGGCACAGCTGCTCCTGAGGGATCGGAAGAGCGACATTCATCGCGTGACAGTGACGTCCAAGCCAGCGCCACAAGCTCTCCTGTGCCCATTAGAGGCTCCATCGGCAAAAGGTGCATTAGTATATAAATGCCGGTGAGACTATATATACCACACAGGACTTGGGATTGTAGATAAACGTAGAAATATGAATATATGTGCTTCTATACTCTCGTAGGTCCTATGAGAGATTTCAAACGACCGGCGGTCTTTTGTGCTCTTTTAAAGCTCACACAGATCCTGCGAGCAATTAAATATATATATATTCATAGATAAATCCCACCCCGGTCTGGAGAGTCGTTCGCAACTGCTTACAGTCATTGAGAAGCTTGCGAGGGGAACGACATATTTTTCTGTACACTGCACGAGATGAAGACATTGATTATTACTGCACTATGGGCACCCAATTCAAGCAGGCTGCGAAAAAACGGCTCGACATCAGGTCCGCAAAATGGAGACCGAGACGAACATATATACTTCAAAGCATTAGAGCGCAGCATAGCCCCATAAACTGTACTCATCGTCGACATCTTCTCCGTCTTCAGGACCCAAGTCCCCCTCCTCACCGGCCCGAATATTGTCACCTGCATTCGGCTCGCACTGCTCTTCGCCGTCATCATCCTCTGATGTGCCGTCCGAGGCATAATCGACATCTTGCTCTTCATTGGCCATATTTTCTTCGTCTTCACTGTCAGCTGCGCTTTTCTCTTCATCTCTGCCATCGCTTTCTGGCATGTCCTCACGGTTCGCCACCGTTGGCTCCTGTGTAGGGTCATCAACCGTCTTCTCCGCCATGTGTTCTTGCATGAGGCGTTCGAACAGGTCAGCAGCATCCTCATCGTGAATACCTGTGTCAGCACCACGGTGTCCGATGCCGCCACCGAAGTAGCGCATGAACATGTCCCGATCGACAAAACTGCAGCATGGCTAAGTCAGTTTGTCAGATGACGATCCCGCTAAATACTCACATATTCACGTAGTAATAAACATAGTCACTGTCCTCTTCCCTGGGCTGTCGCACGGCTGAACGTGGCAGGAGGTCCATGGTACGGCCATGAGCAAATGCGGGGATTAGATGTGCAGCACGCAACACCTCATCCGGGTTCACAAATGCGAAAGCATGCGAATCTTTGTCAGGAACAAATCCAATGCGGGGTAGCCGTAGTGTATCGAAACTCGCCGTTGACACGCCTTCTTCTCGTCCAAACCAGCGAACCCACAAGACATCGATGCGCTGAGGCTCAGACGACTTCGACCAGATGCCAGAGTGCTTCACCATGACATGGAAGATCCCAACCACTCGGCCATACCAGTATGGATGCGACTCAGCTTCAATACCATCTTCATGAGAAAGTAGCATGATATCAGCATGAGAGCGTGGATTGATTGAATCTTGAGCCCGTCGCATGTCGTAGGTCGTATAGTTAATGCGTACGACTTTGTGGAAATAAATCCGATTGTCGACAATGCGCATTGTGTCAAGGTCCTCTGGGGAAAACTCGGTCTCATCACCGTCATACGCCATCATCCTAAGCCGTGCAAGCAAGTGGGTCTTGAGGTTCAGCAAGAAGTTCTGAAACAAGATCAGGTTAAATTCAGCTAGTGCAAGGGCGGCGCTGCGGCGTACCTTAACAGCAGGATCACTTTGCTGCTCTCTCAGCCAGCAATGGATGTTTTCAGAATGTGGTGCCCTTTCAGAGATATGATAATGGTCCTCCATATGTGTAGATGCAGGAAGTGGGTCCAATGTAGTGAACGTCAGAGCAGCCGCTCCGCTTCATTCACTAACGTCCTGAGGTCGCAGATTTGAGTCAGAGTCTGTAGCAGCCCGCTTGTCTCGATGGTTTTGAACACATCGATGAATATCACGTATGATGGCAGCACGTCGTTCATGCTTCGCGATTTGCCCGGTATAGTGGAATTTGTTCGTTCTTGGCCAGAATGCTTTGACTACACGATGTTCGAGTTCGCCCTAGCTTATATTAGCCTATGACAAACCAATACAGTGCCAATCTTACCGTTTGCATCGTGTAATTGTCAGTAGGACCATAGGTTTCAATCGCGGCAGCATAGTCACCCAAAGAATGCCACTTGTACGTCACAAGATTGAATTCTTTTTTCTTTCTTGTACTGCCAGACGCTGGACCTGTATCCTTCTTCTTACCTTTACTACTGTGTTTATTCGTCATGTTCTCGCCTTGCTTGAATTTTCGTGCAGCCGTCCGTCGACCTCGTGCAGCTTCTTCCTTGGGAAGCTCATACGTTTCATAATCTTCGCACGTCGTAGTCTTGAAATGGCGCACAACTGCGCCGAGAACCTTCGTTGTTTTTCGCAATGCGACGATGGTGTCTGTTGTATGTAGACGAAGCTTGGCGAGGGCCTGCCAGGTTGCCAGAATAAATAGCATGTCGAGGACAAGTTCGTTATGTTCGTCAGGCAGCAGGTGATCAAAGACCGGGATCACACACTATCGCAGTAGTTGCAGAATGATATTAATGAGCAATCAAAAATTCAGAAATACCTGAAGAATGTCTTCGTAATCTCGTGCTGCGAGCTTTTTGAGTGCTGAGACATTGGTGTCAAATCGGCGTATTGTATCGCGGCCAAAAGTAGGCACTTTGCGAAATCTGGTTGTGGTCGGTCAATCAGACCCACTAAAGGAAATGTACATAGAGTGCATCGTACCTGCTATTCAACTTCTGAATGCGATCCTGGCCTTCTGCATGCAATACTCGAAGAAGGTGTACGAAGACAGCCTTCCACACACCTAATTCAAACTCGTGCAGGAGGTCCGGAACGAACAGTGAGTATACGTTGAAGCTGAACTTGGCGAGACGCATCGAGAATGCACTCTGATGATCAAGGTTGGCATGCAATAGGATGAGTAGGTTAATAAGACATACCCTTGTAGGAACAAGGGATTGTACATCTAGTATCTTCGCGATCTTCTTGCTGCCTAGGCTGATTCCTTTCTCGAATACCCATGCCCTTGTGCGCTTGATTGCGTTCTGGATAGCAGAAGTGTCCGTGCGACTCTTGCTGCGACGTGCAGAATCTGCGGGTGTGCCCATCTTCGGGATGTCAGACTTCTCAATCAGACAGCGTGGGCATGGACATCGTGCGAGATAACGGATGCATGCGAGTAAAATCCTATTATTGGAGCTAATTAGCATAATATTCTCAGAATGATTGCAGCGCTTACTTTTCAGGATAATCTGCCGAGTATGTAAAGAACCGGGGAAATAATCTACGAAGAATGCCATCTCTGCATTTGAGTAGCAAGCCATGCTCATATGCATGCATGAACTCTGGGTCGAGAACCAGGACCCAGATGGCTTGCATGAGTTCACGTTTGCAGAAACGAAGGACATCGGCAGTCGCTGATGTGCCGTACAACTTCTCATAGACGTCCTGAATGAAATCAGGCAGCTATGCAAGCATATTTCAATTTTAAAAATGCGAAACACATATAATTGTAACCACGTACCGATGGCAGATATGCCAGGTGATGTGCACAGAACGACGATGGCTTACAGCGGACGTACTTCGAGATAAAGCCGAAGAACAGGTAGACAGGCCAGAGTGACGCATTTCCGAAGTCAGCAAGGTGAGTCGAATCAGACCACAGCATAAGAGGTACAATTGAGACCTCAGTTTCCGGAGGATCGTCAGGATTGCGTGGCTGAGCACAGATTGTTTTGTATTCGTCAAGCATGGCATCGGAATTGTACAGCTCTGTGAAGACGCGCACATCCTCATATTCGGATTCAGGTGCAAGAAAGGAATCTTCTAGCATTGGAGTGTTACTGCTGCCATCGTCTGAGGAATCCGGTCGTGGGCGCCGCCAGTAAAGCATGAAGGGATGCCAGTGATAAAAGCTAGCATCATCATCCATGCATACGGACTTGATGATCTCCAGAAGACTTCTATGGTACACGTCTGGAACATTGAGCATTGGAGCGTCAGCCTCGGATGGAAATTCCTCTCTCTCTTTCGGAAGAGGTATCTTGACTGATGCCTTCTTCCAACCGTCCGCTGGTTTGAATATGCCGTTGGCGTCAGCAGTAGTCACAGCTTCAACATGCTTCCACTCGCTTGCGATGCGCACTCCCTTCAGCTCGTTTGCGTCAAAATCTGGCTCGGTAATGATGTCGATAAGGCGTTGCATCTCCGCCTCTGATTTCTGATTCGAGCCGGTGTATTGCCAATGTAAGAGGTGGAATATGGAGCCATTCTTGAATGGATGATGGATGCTATCGATGGTCTGCTGAACCGCAGTGCATGCACGTTGCAGAGCTGCACGTCCAAATTTCTGTAGCGATGGCACAGATGCCTGCTCATGCACAAATTGCTCAGCAGACAGCACAGGGGAGTCAGTGAGATTGTCGACATTAGGGACATTTGGTGGGATGAACGTTGGCTTGTATAGATAACGTCGAAAGATACCAAAGCGGTCAGGCTGAGTGTCAAAATGTAGAGGATCTGACAAGGGCTCCGCAGGCATAGAATTAACAGCTTGTAGGGCAGGAGGAATAGCTTGTGGAATATGTAGCGAGAGGCCTTCAGCTGTAGTAGGAACAAAGTCACGTAGAGAACGGGGCAGGTGTCTTCTTCGGCCACTACGACTGACGGAATAGGTTACAGATGATCCCTGAGTAAATTCTGGCATATCTTCAGGGGGTTTGTCCTAGGTTGCTATTAGCTGGTTAAATGATGAGAGAATTCATGCGGCGTACCTCATGCAGACTCTGCCGCAATTCTCCTTGTACCTCATGCAAACTCTCTCGCAATTCTCCTCTCTCATCTTCGAGTACCTGTCCCTCCCTTCGTGATAGCTTCGCAGATATTCCCTTCTGGTCTATCTGCTGTTGTTTAGCAAGAGCCGCCTCCAACCCAGAGTATCGCCGCTTGCAGTATGTGGCATGTATCTTCAGTGCACGGTCTGTAGAGAAGTTGGCGCGATTGCAATTTCGACAGTACAGAGTAGCCATTGAAGCAAGAAGATGAAATGTAATCCAGAGAATCAGACGCATAAAGAATATATGAGTCTAGTGAGGGTCGAGAGATGATACTCATAAATGCAGACGCGACGTGGCCAGAGACGTTGTGTCATGTGACCGCATATACTCTGCAAAATTAGAGGCTTATGCGAAAACATTGTTCACGTAGGTATTATCAGGCATACTTTTCGCATAAAACAGTAGTGTAGCAACATTACTGGACAGATACAATGGAACTGAAACTCACAATTCAGACTTCGTCTAAGTCTGAGACATAATCCAGGAGGCCATACACTTCTTGCAACCTCGCCACTCTATCACGTACGCTCTGCTCCCACGTCTTTCTATCCAACAACTCCATGATGCCAGAGTCCATTTTCACTGTCGCTACAGAGTATTGATGCCGACGTTTCTGCTGGTTGCCAGGAGAAAATGCCGGTGACGGACTTATGGTGGCAGTCATCATACGGCGTGGCTCAGGATTGTCGTAGGTATGTATACTGGCGAAGAATGATGGATTCATGAGTGCGTCTCGTGTGCGTTTGCAAAACAGTGCAGCATTGATGCCACACGTGTCCTCGAGAGGTATGTAGAATGCCCTAAGATAATCAGCATTGTTCGAGAGTTGAAAGCAAAAAAAGATGTACTGGGGGCCGGTCAAAAAGTTCTCTGGGATGAATTTGTATCCTACATTCACAGCATCTTTCTCCATTTCATCTACTGCTGCAACAGCGTCGAGCAGCTCATGCGCAATGGCATCTAAGTTGTGACACAGCTTGTTGTCATCGACATCGTCTTTTGCATGCAATAAGAGGGTTTGTAGCAATGCAGTCGAGACTCCAGATACACGAAGAAGAGTTCGAGAGACAGAGATAATCCGCGTGTGTGCAAGCCGGGTGTTTGGGTCCGTGGTTGTTCGCTTGCGGCTGAGAACATTGAGAAGTGCAGAGATATTAGAAGAGAGCTGTTGAAGGTGATCTAAGACATCCGGAACAGTGCTTATGTAGCGTCCGGTCTCATGATCAAGTCCAGAAAGGTGCCATCCATGTCCAGATGGCATGATGGGAGGAGCAATAAGTGCAAGACAAAGTCAGCGACAGACTTCGTGCGCATTGACGCGCCAGTCATGTGACCGTACACCTGCCTCATTTGGTGATTTTCAGCGTTGGCGCCGACGCAATCTTCATTCCTCGTCATCATCACTCACCGCCGTCTGTCTTTGCTTCCTCCTACACTCACATAGGCTCTCCGATGGGAAAGACCAACACTCGCAAGAAAGATGCTTCAATGGCTGGGACTCGACCTCCAAAGCGTCTGCGTATTTTGAGTTCGTCACAGGTGGAACCTGTGCTGCCTCCTCCTCTACCACCACCTCAGCAAGCACCTCTGCCATCGCCATCACCACCATTGGCATCACCATCACCATCACCAGTCCCCGCATCACCCATAAGGCCTGTTTGTTTTACAGATTCCATTGACACCGGCAATGGAAATTTTGTAGAGGCGGCACAAGCTTTGGCTGACTTTGAAGCTGACGAGACTCAAAATGACACTCTCATTCAGCAGATGCAATATCACAAAACTTGCGATGTATCAAGGCGAGTTGTTAATCACACTCGGGGATATAATTTTCACTGATATCGCTCACGCAAAAGTCACATTCTGGACATCATCAAAGATGGCGCTCGTTGGCTGTCTCGAGGAGTGTCGCCCTTCATCAACATCGAGCAAGTATTCGAGATTGGGATATCATTCGAAGGGTCACCCGAAAGTGAATGGAATCTCAGCGAGTTCGAAAACCTGTGAGTTTTATTTTGCTTTTCGCGCATATATGCGCGTACTGAATGTTCTACTGGTTTGCACGACATAGGAACATTGACGACATCCGTCAACAACTTCAGCTCTATCGTGCAACGATCAAAGCGGTCCCATGCCTGAAGACGCAGCTTACACGTTTTAAGTCGAAGCCCGAAGGTATCATTACGTTGGCCAGTTTTGTAAGTTTTTTCATTGTATATTATTTGAAAAATCTATCCATGAAATCAGATTGACAGACATATGCGACACGCTCGAAGTGATGATATACAGAAGCTCAAGTCTCTATGTCTCAACTTCGTCCATGCTATTGAGCGCGAAGATCTCAAGATACCAGCGATACCTCCGAAGACGCAGAAGGGGCTTAGAGGGTTTGAGCACCTAGCAACAGGCCGCCTTCTTGTTCCTCGCGTCATGCGAGATGAATTTGATCGCGACCCTGAAGAGTAAGCACTGCAGGATATCATCTCCTCACTATGTCGTCAATATAAATCTAATGTCTTAGATTTTGTCGTGCTGTGCGAGCGGGAGAAATCGCTATTGACGAGGAGGACTTTCCATCGTTTATGTATCCCGAGCAGGACTATGATGAGCTCGATCCCGTCAAAAATCTGATGTGCGCTCCTATCCTTTTTACGGTGGGTGTCCTTCAATCCTTGTTATGATCGCTCATTCTTGCATTTCTACCTCAATAGCTTGCCAAAGTACTCTATTTTGGCCCTGCTTCAGCCGAGAGCGCCACACCCAGCAATGCTAAGCCGAGAGGTGGCCGTCCTCCTCTCAATAAACAGTACAAGCTCGATCATTGCACGCCTCAGATGTTGGCATACCTCTGCCTCTTGGTAAGTGCACATTGGTCGAATGTATATCATATTGATGAAATGCGCAGGTGCGCTTCGCGTTCTGTGCGTGCTCAACGTGGGATGAAGGCACCGACAATGCATTCTTCGGACCGGCTTTTTACAACAATTGCCTCGAGTTGCTCAACAACCCGAAGATCGGAGGTCCGATACTGGAAATTTGGAACCGGTACGTGATTCGGACTAGCGGGCACACATATTAATTGGTTGTTCACAGGGAATTGTTTGGGAAACCAGTCCGAGAATTCGCGAGTAACGGTAAACGCGTAAGACACCGCTCGGGCCCATCTCAAATGGACATCATCAGGCAGAAGAATGCTGCGGCAGAAAGCGGTTGCTCCTAATCTTACCTGCGAATGCTACACCGTCTCGTCATCGCACTTGCTCTCTACGTCTGCTCTGAGTCCTCGGTCTCGCCTGCTCTTTTCGACTCTCGCCTACATGTCTCGGTCTCGTTCTTGCAACCGCTGCTTTTTATGCATCTCGCTTCATTCGCTCGGTCTTGTCGCCTTCGCCAAAAGTGCTAGCCTCATCCGGATTTTTGATATTCTCGCTCGTACAGCTCACTGTTATTGTGCTCATCCTCGTCGCTCGCGTTTCTTGCTCTTGTCGCTCGCTGCTGTGACTCGTGATCTTAGACTTTGTACCCGCGTGATCGGCTGCTCTTCGTCTCGCATTCGCAGTTTACGGTACTGTATAGAAATGGGTATCCTTATCGGCTGTATTCACAATATGTTGTTGCGGTTTCAAATGGATTGAAGTGGTTTTAAATGACTCAGAATGCGACCTAAGATTGAATAATGGCTCATAAGGCCGGGGATGTATTGAGAAGGGCTCACCGGCCTTGGGACAAATTGCAAAGACTACCTAGATGCTGAGACTAGTTTACAATCGGACGCAAAATCTTTGACCTGTTTACAAGTGTTCATAACACCGTCGACTGATTTACAATATCACACAAGTCGTGTTACGGGTTTAGAATCACACATAAGACTTGCGAGTGTTTTACAATCTCTCAAAGGACTTGGGTGGTCTTTTGAGGATTCGCAATCTCTTATGGATCCATTATATACATAGATATACGGTCGCAAGACTTGCGAAGTAAGCAAGTCTTGGGAGGTTTATATACATATATATGTTTATGTATTCATCTGCAGCTTTTGCCGATGTCAGGCAGTGCTGAAGCAGCATCTTACATCGACGTCAATCTCCTAAGCTCTCCTCCAGACATCAAATGTGACTTCAAGGATGACGACATCCAGATCCTTGGTCTGGTGGACCAGGAGGTAGCTTTTACTGCTCCTAATATTATGATCATTGCATCTCACGCAGTGTTCATTTCAAAGGAGCAATTGAAGCTCAAGATGGAGATTGCCAATGCCACAGAAGGCTCACTGGCTAGTGACGGGCAGCAAATGAATTCCGAGTCTGGCACAGCTGAGGCTCCCGAGGGACCGGAAGAGCGACATTCATCGCATGGCAGCGACGTCCAAGCCGGCGACGCAAGCTCTCACGCATCCACTAGAGGCTCAGGCAGCGCCGAAGCAGCGTCTTACATCGACGTTGACCTCCTGGATTCTCCTGCGGCCCAGCCGGATGTCAAGAGTGAGTACGACAATGATGACATCCAGATCCTCGGTGTGACGGACCAGGAGGTAGGTTTTCCTGTTCTTAATACTACAATCATTGATTCTCACAGAGTCACATTTAAAAGGGGCAGCTGGAGCTCAAGATGGAGATCGCCGATGCCATGGTTAAGCGTCTGGAAGACAGGCTCAAGTTCAAGGACGACATTGCGAAAGCGAAGCTCGAGCAGCTAGAGGAGCGGCTCAAGGTTGAAGAGCATATCGCGAAAGCCAAGCTCGAACACCTGGAGGAACGTCTACAGCTCCAGGATGAGATTTCTCAAAGCAAGTTGGATCGCCTGGAGATGCAACTTGCGGTGCGAGGTCAGGAGAAACGGCCGGTGAAACGCCAGCCGACGCCAGAAGCTTCTTCGTCTGGACGGAAGAGGTTGCGCTTGAAATGAGCTACAAAGGAATCTCGTTCTACTTTCCATCTGCCGCCTGCTACGTTTCTGAATTGATCACCGTTTTCGCATTGCAGGCTCGGTTGTTGAAGGCATGGCAGCCTCATAGCCTACGAAATCTCATCCCTCATCCGTTTGCACCTGATGTCCACTAGCACCATTGAAATGGGTTTCGTGCTGAGCTAATGAATTGGAATGTATATATGTAGTCTCCATAGCAGAAGGATATCGTAATCGAAAAGCCGATCATATCACTGACATAGTTATGAATGCATACTACTACCGGCACAGTAGGTTTGTCGTGCTCCGATTTATGATGTCGCCCGTTATGATCTTCTGCAGGATCATACCATCTTCTGCAGGAAAAACAAGGCTAGTTCTGGAGCCTGACCCACCCAGAATCCCAGTACCGCTCGTGTTCGTCTTCGAGTCCAAAGAGAACACATTGCCCACAGGCATACTTAGCCGCCGGACCCATCTTTTCAGCTTCTCCGCTCGCAGATTGATGGGCGGTTGAAGTGGCCGTGCGTCGGCCACGCTGAGAGCGCACTACTGAGATTTGTACTTCGACGCGGAGCAAGCCTCACAGCCGCAGTAGGGCGCATGGTCCGTCAAGCAGAATAGCGGGGACGAAGGCTGGCTGGATGACTGTGAACTCGACGTGGGCGCGAGATCGGCAGCGGCTGGAATTCGTCGTGCTGACAGTATACCGCGGCCGTGAGAGTGCTTTGGAAGGAGACGAGTCCAGCTGGGGATGCTTGGTCAGTCTGTCGAGCATACCGCCCCGCGAAGCATCGCTGCCGTAGCCGCTATCCGGGCTGCGAGCTTGGAGCAGTCGAGCGCGCTCGATCTCGCGCTCCTTCATGCGCCACTCGATTTCCTCGATGCGTCGTCTCCTGATCGCGACATCGTCCGCGATGCGGACACGAACCGCTTGGCAGCGCTCGGTGGGACGCTCGACTCGAGCGGAGGTATCTTGCGCGTCATGCCTGCGGAGGCTTGGCGTCGATTCTGTGTGGCCGGGGGGGACGTTGAAGCACCTGCGGCTCTCCTATTTAGTAGCCAAGCTAGAGCCACTCGTCGACACCCGTGGCGCTTCCCTTCGCGGGGACGTGGGTTCCACCTAGAAGCGCAAACGAGGTAGCATCGCTTTCATGCTCCTTCAATATAATGAACAACGTACTTGACGTGAGAGACGCGACCACACTCGCGCTCTCTTTCTCGTGTCACTTCTCTTTCGTTGGCGCGATGGGACCGTCCAGATTCTTGACATTTAGGGCTGGCGAGGTTCGACAGCCTTCTTGATCCCGAAGTCGACTTCTTGGTTGCCTTCATCCATCTCTTCCTGTAAAGAGTCGTGCTCCATAGCCGTGCTGAGTATCCATATTAATGATGCGGGATTTCAGACCTTTCTGAGCTCCTGGTCAGCAACAGCCGGCTCGGAGCACGCGAAGTAATCAGCCTTTTCCAAATCATATTTCTTCTCCTCTTGCGGAACATCTACATCCTCTCTCTTGGCCTCAGCGTTCTCTGCATTGCATGCAGCGTTGATATCACCCGTGACCGCCGCCTCCTCCTCGCTCCGCGTTCTCACCGCTAATTTCTCTTTGCGCACCTCAAGGCTGCTCTTTTACCGGTCGTGAACAGCTGTGCGGCGTAGCGAATTAGACTCGCCACGGGGGTTAGCTGACAGAGACACGCACGGAGAGCAGTAGTCGCTGCAACCTTGTTTGTCACAGCAACCGCCGTCCGCGCATTGTCCGCAGACAACTCTGCACGTCGAGCGATCGCAGCTTGTGATCGACTTGTCATGGAATGCACCGTGACTTTTCCCGCCAGCAAACCACAGCACCAATTCCAGCTATTTCCTCTCCGTAGGAATGTTAGCATGTGACTGGCATTGTCACGATCGCGACTCGCGCGTTCCTCGCGGTACCCTTGCAGTCACTCCCCCATCGTCCATCCATCAGCCCACCAGAGAGTACCGCTTGGATCCTTCTCCTGTCCTATACCCACCTGCGTGACCCGTATGTGTGGCCCCAGCGACTCTTTTGTCCTCCTCTGACACGCGCGTACATAACATCCGCGATACCAATCTCCTAGCTCTGCGTATCGATCTCTGATCAGGACTGCCGTACACTATGCCGACCAGCATCGAAAAAGCCATCTCTACCGTCCTCCAGCAGGGCGAGCCCCTCGCCGTAGCGAACGTCCTCGTCGCATACCTCAAAATCCTCGGCTACATGGCCCCCGACGACAAGGAGCTCTCCGTCCCGCACGAGGCTCTCGTCGCGTTCGAACACGCGCTCGACAAGGAGCCCGCCTTGTCGCTCAGGCGCCAGGCCTCAAAGTGCTCCGTCCTCTGCCAGCGCATGTACACTGCCGAGATCACCCAGCTGCGGAAGGAATACTGGAGGGAGAGGTTGGGCTTCGTCGCTGCGGCGCGCTGCACATGCCCGACCTGCGGGAATACGGTCGCGTACCGCAAGGAGGAGTTCGAGGATACGGAAGAAGAGGTCATCACCCCACCAACGCGGATCAAAGCTTCTCGTCGTGAGTCGTGGCATGGTTTGAGTCTGAAAAGGCGGCCTTCTGACCAGTTTCGCGACCGCAGGGAAGGTCAAGGCAAGACGTCTCGCCAAGAGACTTCGAGATGCACGGAATATCGCCCCAATCGACCCTTACGGCCCATCGACTAGCGCCCTTGTCCTTTGATTCTTTTCACGGATGTGGATATCTCGTCTTTCTTCCTTCTCTTTGTATCGCATATGATCTGCTTTTGTAGGAAGGTTGTATACCACAACGGCTTGTGTTTTCTCACCGTGAGCCCATCATCTGGTCCTGGGAGGCATCTTCACCACATCATTGAGCTCTTTATCTCTTTAGTGCAATACATCTGTTTCAACCGACTAGTTATTGTGCGCGAGATGACAAGCAAAGCTTCGCACGAGGTCTAGGTCCACCTCACTTTCCATCTATGTGTCACTTTCGAGATCAACGCCTCGTATTCGAAAGTTCATATACGGCTCGTTCTGCATATGTCCTCCTGAACAGACCCCGTTCAGTTCAACTATGCGCCACAATCGCGTAGGTGGCGTGGGAAAACAATGAAGTAGGTTCCTCACCTCACGATTACGTTAACGCATGGCAAACCATCACCCACCATTATGGCCGCATCTGACCAAGTGTTGGTATCAGCCATAACATATCGGCGCGGTGAGATTGGCCGCTCCGCCATACACGTTCCCATCTATCCGACAACACAATATACCGGCTCTGCGAGTTGTTTGCGGATACGGTGAGGCAGCCACTTGATGCTGTCGGTCTCTGGACGGTTTGTATGCCCTGTCTCGTATCGCGTCGCTACATTAAAACGCAAACCCGATAGCCTCGCAGCTTTCTGGCATCAAATGGACGGGAGGATTTGCTCAGTCGTCTTCAAGCACACGGAGGCCACTTGGACGGATTCTGCGATGATCTTAATGAGGATCGCTGGGTCTTGATACCAGTTGGTGAGGCGCTGGGCGTGTCCGACGCACGTACCGCTACGCGGACAGCGCTCGTGGCTGAGATCTTCCCGCCTGCAAAACGGCCGCTCTCACCTGCGGGTCCTGACGGACCTGAACGCAGTACGTCTCTGCTTGCCCTCGCGCACGTCACACCTGCTGAATATCGGTTACGACACAGAGAGGGTTTCCCGTATGAACGCCCTGCGCGACTTGGAGGCACCGTCTTATGCGGCGCGAAATGCACTGCTATTCGATAGGCAGGTCCGAGATAATGGTGGCGCTATCTGGAATGGTCGCCCCTTGGGTCTGCTGGAGGCACCCATTCGCATCTACCATCCTGCCTTTGCCCGCATCCTCAGCTGCATGGCCGCCCCTCTCGAGGACCACCGTTTCTCATCCGAAGAACTTGATACCGCGTCTTTTCTGATCAACGCTTTGGCGCCATATTACAGGGACGAGGACGAGCGGATTGTGGCAATCAAAGGCTACTTCGAGTCTGCTGTTCGTCGCAGCGATGTCCTTACGGAAAGAATATACAGGCTTGGAACTGTGTTCACCGCCGGGCCCCAAGGCCCTCCTGCTGCTGGCAGAAGTGAAGAACGGCATAGGTGAAGGTGATCGCGACGCAGTGATGCTCGCCGCTTATGAGTATGTCGCTCTTGCGGTGTCGGACGAGGTAAGTAACGTGTACTACAGCACTTGTGCGGATGGACGTCCATACTGACGGTGTCGTCCAGCTTCAAGCGCCGAGAGAGAAGTCGTGCCTGCCTGCTCTTATCCTCGCAATCGTCGGCGAACACGTCGTCATATATGGAGCCGTCCTCCTAGATGGAAAACCAGTGGTGCAACGACTAACTAGCCTTGTCACTTTAGGTGCAACCGAGAACATTCGCACACATCCTCTCACCGGCAATCCCGATAGAATTGAATGTGGACGTTCCCGTATTGACGAAGGGACTCTTCATGCCGCTCGGGTACTCCGCGCTCTCCGGGACGGCGTTGAGGCACTTGAGCGGTATTACTCTGCGTCGGCTTCGGCTCCCCTCCCGCCCCCAGGCACTCTCCGATGCCATCCCTACCTCACCACGCTCACCTCCGCTGAACACGGGACACTGGCCCTCCAGTACACCGCACGTCTGGCGGAATTCGACGCTTCCAGGGCGGTCTTCAAGGCGCGCATGACGGTCGGAGAGGCGGGCGAAAAAGTCGACGTCGCGGTCAAGTTCACGCATTCGTATCACCGGAGCGCACACGCGTTGCTCGCGGGCCTGTCTCCGCCGCTCGCGCCGAGGCTGTGGCACTGCGCGCGCGCGGAGGACGTCGGGATGTGCGTCGTCGTGATGGACTTTATCGACTGCGCGGACAAGTGGCGGGCACGAGGGACCCAGGACGACGAGTACGTCGGGACGCTGCGGGCTGCGATTGGGGCGCTGCATGAGAGGGACTGGGTGTATGGGGATCTGCGGTTGTCGAATGTATTGCCCGCCGAGGACGGGATCAAGTTGATCGATTTTGGGTGGTGCGGGAGTGTTGGGGAGGCGCGGTACCCGAGCGACGTCAACCTCAACCCCGGCGTTATCGGGTGGCACCACGGGGTGCAGCGAGGAGGCCTGATTGAGAAAGAGCACGACAGGCACATGTTCAAGGTTGTCACAGGACGGGAGTTCTAACTGCCATCCTCTTGCCTGTTGGGCCGTGTCCTGGCTGTCTGCGTAGTATTGTGTCATACGAGCGGAGGAGGCTTATACGAAGATCACTGATTCCTTCTCACTCTTTGTGGCTCCTGAAGTTGTCGTGCTGCCGGGGAAAACGAGGAAATTGAATGAGATTAGGAGGCGATAGTGCACAACCCAATGGATAATTGAGTTGAACAGACGGAAAACGGGTATCAAGGTATGTGCTAGAGATACATACATGTTCGACAAAACCATCTCCGACACGCTCATGGTGTGAAGACCAACCTCTCGCCGTCCATGTCCTTCTCGCCCCAAACCCGCTCAATCTCGCTCAGCTTCTCAATCCGGATTTTCGGCGGCTCGACCTCTCCCAGCATGGTCAGCATTTCCGGGAGTTCCCTGCTCAGCTCTTCGAAGCTCCACGCTCCGGGACCTGCCCCGCGGATCGTTAGGTTCTTGCTCCTAAGCGCGGCGCCTGGGAGCGCAATATCCGGACCAGCGACCGTTCCAATTTGAACGTATTGCATGGGGCGCCGCTGACGCGGGAGGCTCGAGAGGAGGTGCGCGGCGATGGGGCCATAGAGGTAGTCGAGGATCACGTCGACTTCGCCCAGCTGTGAGAAGTCGGTGGAGATGATGGGTTCTAAGAGGGCAAGCGTTGAGTCGAGGTTGGGGACAGCGGAGAGCTTGGTGGCGTTGCGAGCAACTCCGATGATTCTGCAGTGGAGTGCGGTGCTGGTAAGTGAATGCTCGCGCCATCTGTATTAGAGTTAGAACGCACCTCTTAGCACCGAGCTTCCTCGCCAACGCAGCAGCGATAGTTCCGCTTGTGCTCGTCGCGCCCACGATCAGCACCGTCCAACCGTCCTTTGGCAGCTGCTGCATGTCTACTCTCGTTTTCAGAGCCATCCAGCTCGACATGGCCGGATTGACCATCGCGGCGATGGCCTCCGGCTTGACACCCATAGGGAGATCGAAAACCCAGGGCTTTGGGACATTGACCAACTCTGCGAAGGATCCCCCGCCCGTTCTGAGGGTGATGAAGTAGACCGTCTTGCCTTCTGGTAATATCGTCCCGACGCCATCTACGCCGACGGTATGCGGGAGAGCGCCTGAAGTGTAGTGCTTCCCGGCAGCGCGGGAGCGTACAAGCTGATGTACTCCTGTTGCAAGAACGCGAATGCGGACGATTTCCGAATTCTCAGACGGAGTAGGAGGCGCAGGAATGGTGGTGTAAGTGGGAGGGGCTCCCCAGGAGGTCACTTGGGCGCTGTGAATTGTCGACATGTTAGATCATGAGGAGCCGTGTCACTGGTCCGTAAGGTTGTCAACATTGACCTGCTTACGTTGCCGTGCGGCTTTTGGGCTCATATACCTCGATGTCAAATTCTGTTCTGCCACGATATTCATCTGATGTACATGTGAAGCTGTTGATTACCATGATATGCGATTTTTGAACTCGTTCAGGACCATTTCGACTTCGCCGCCAACTTCAGAGACACATTTAATAGGCATGAAAATTGCGGTGATTAAGAGTATTTCGTTCTTAAATCGACTCATGATAGTGACGCCTTGTTGCCCTGGACACCGCAGTACTACGTAGTTTGAAGAAGCTCTCAATATGTGGTACACATCTGACAGTCTTGCCTCTGGCTTTTCAAAAGGGAATGCTCTGACCTGATGGTCGCTCCGTCACGGTCAGCCTGCAATCATCCGTTGTACTATGTGCTGCATGAATGTGCACAATCGACAGGTTCCCGATGGGAAAAAATCATGGTACGCAGACAAGGACGTCCCTCCATGTTCTTTGAGCTCAAGTGCAAGGATAGACCACAACTCACTAAGCCTTGGTCCGGGGTCAAGGACAAACGTTATTTGACAACCCCGTGTTTTGATGCGGACTGCACGGAGGATGATGTGAGTGACGATCATCATCTGTCGGGTAATTCGGATATTAATATCATTCCACTTCAGCAGCGCCCTGAACTTATATGACAGCCGGAGCAGAAGCATGCTCAGCCTCTCCAGAGTAGGGATTGTATCATGCTCATCTGTCGACTGGCACAGATGGTAACTACCGCATCTCACCGATGCTTCTCGCTGCTTAGTATAAGGGCACCCGTCACATTCTGCACGCGGGAGCACCCCGAGCATTATGCCACTGTCGCTATCTGACCAGCACGCTTTGCTGATAGCTAAATACCTCTCAGGTTCGTGCTCGCATCTTCTTATGGGCTGTTCGAGTGGCTGACACGTTCCTTTGCAGCAAGCGTGCTTGTTGTCTCTCTGTGGGATCACATTCTGAGCCTCGATCGGGAGATCCGCTGGGTATGGCGTGGGCCTTGGTCTCCTTCGCAGATACTGCTTTTGTTCAATCGCTATGGCGGAGACGCGAGTATGATTTTCATTGCAGTCGGTGAGAGCTTTGGCACATATTGTGATAAGTTGCAAAAATGACGCGGGTCATGGAAGCCATCGCACGGATGGGAACTTTGTACATGACGAACGAAGTGAGTCCACGATTTGAGCAGCGCATGTTGCAAACAGCTGACACTGTATCCTATCTGGCAGACGTGAGTCGAACCTCAACATAGTCTCCATGGATCTGATTAACCAAGATACAAGCTGTCAAGCTCTGACAGTCGTCACGAGCGTATATTGTATCATCAACAGCGCGTCCTCTCAATGTCTGTTGTCTTCGTGTCAGCCAATGTCTTGGTTCACTGAGTTGCATATCTTACAGTTGCACTCCTCCTGACGCTCTGTGAACTTTGGAGCAAACGAACGAGTCTCAAGCGTGCACTGACGATAGGATTCTCCGTCTGTTTCGCACTGTCTTTCGCGTTCGCCATAGTCTGCGATCATCAATCTTTCGGTATGGTCCAAATGCCTCTTCGTAACAGAAGACGGACTTACAAAGGGCAGACGCACTTGCTCGAACCTCCTCTCACTCATGTTTCCTATTCTCTTCTGGGAAGCCTGCTTACGCGCTCGGCATGTGGGGTGGATTGGTCAGGTCTCTAGTAATGGTGTCTCTACCCGAACTAACATGCCGTGCTGTCATTGCTTCCAGATGCTGTTTGACGTGTATACGATTGCACTGATGCTGTTCAACGCATTGCAAACGCCCCGTCATCACGATGCCGAGATTCTATCAAGCCTTATTCGAGACGGCGCTGTCTATTTCTTGGTAAGGCGCAACTAGGATATATAATGTCTGCTCTGACCATGGCTCAACTGCACTAGGCATGTTCCGGTAAGCTTATGCACTGATCACACTACCTTGCACAATTCAACAATCGCGGTCCCTTCCCAGGACTTCGACTGTTGCAACTCATCTCTTGCGTCTTATCGGTATGTATTTAAAGCGCCTCTCAGGAACTGTATTTTGCGCTCTAATCTAGTAAAGGGTAACGGCATTGCTCTCATATCAGTGTACGCACTGCATAACAATATTGTCGTGAGCATGACATAACTGACACTACCATTCACAGGCTTGCCTGGGCAATCGACAATGCTCTGAGCTTTCGGTTCTTCCTTGAAGTCAAGGCCGCAAAGGCCGCGCAAGCCTGCGCAGACTCGAATGATGACATCGGACAATCGTCGTTCTACGTCTATAGAGAAGTACGGATGGACCTCATTTGAGTACTTTTCGTATACGGCTATCGGCTAAATCTGATTTAATTTTGCTGTCGAGTTACTCCTTGGCGCACCTTCGATGGCTTTGCACTTATATTCTACTTTCAGAATGTGAACAGCTCCTGCAGTGCCACTTTCAGCGATCACCTCGTGTGATTTGTTATCCTCGTCGGTGAAAGCGCTACTGTCTGTTAAATCAACATATCTGAGCCAGATGATTAGTTCTTGCGTCATCCACTGTATGATTCACACACAGCGTCGTTCATCCTGGAGTTCCCTTTGCCAAAATGGCACATGGGCTTATACGTCAGAGGTAGGGTTCATTCCTGAGACGATGCATTCTGAGTACGTCTGATGCACGTATCGCTCAGATCATTCCACGATATCATGATGCAGATGCATTCGCTCGACTAACAGCAATATCTGCTTACTGTTCGACAGATCATCACAAGCGCATCGCTCATTTGGACAGGAGATGCGTTGATCAAGGCCTATGTATTCCGAGGTAAAGCGCTAAGGACGTGCTTCCACAATTGACCAACTCGAAATTGAGCATCACTTGGACTCCACGTTTGCTACACGGTTGTTCTCGTGTATTCCCCTCATTGATATGTTGTCCTCAGCCTCCGTAAATTCTGCCCTCGCTACACAAATGTCTCTCAGGTATACATATCACTCCTTCTTGTCATGGGTTTCATGAGGCGGAGGAAGCTGAGCACAGGTAATAACACAACTCGAGAAACACCCAGATCGAATTCGAAGGCTAGTTGGCATATATAGAAGAAGCACGAGTAACTATGAACATGAAGACGCACACTCGATTGCCCAAAAGAAGCGATATTCGTACAGTCAAAATTCCAACAACGCAGAATACAGCGAGACGATTGACTGACACCTCAAATGAACCGCCTGAACGCTTCGTAGTATGACAATATACGCTGCCTGTTGTTCAAAGGCCTCATACCTTCGCTGTAGCGGCGAGCGGGTCTCGGCACTTCGGGGAGATGTGCGTATACGACGGTTTCCTCCGCTGGATACTGTCCAAGCTGAACTGCTTTGACAAGAGCGGCTGTTACCGGGATCTTGTAGAAAATAGGCATAGTGCCCTTCATAGTGATCCCGGGGAGAACCTTCCTCTCCAAGGGGGCTTGCCCGAGCGCGCGGACGCGAGTGTCGTTATTGGCGCGGAAGGCAGCGATTGCCTCTGCGATGAGCTGAGTCTCTGGATCAGAGCCGTCCAGATATCGTTTGTCCTCCTGAACGAGAAGCAAGATGTCGAGATTGTTCAGAATGCAAACGTCTGTCTTGACATGTCTGTCCTCGCCACAGATGAACAGAGAAATAGCCTTCCTGGTTAGCGCGACCCTGCCTCTACCAGCGTACCCTAGCATACGGAAGAGATTGACAGCAAAGTCGTCTACGGCAGACTCTTCGCCTGCAGGAGAGGTCGTCGCGAGGTCTAGAGTGCGGAGGAGCGTGTACACCTCGTCATTACTAGCCTCGTCTGGGTTGCTTAGAGTGAGGAGTTCATGATATAAGTTGTCGACCAAAGGAAGTGGAAGGCTAGCCGACTGGAAGAAAGTCGTCGCGTCTTGATACTCGACTCGAATATTGTAGGCGAGAGTATCATTCTGCGTCCAGTCTGCGGATAAGGTTTGCCATCTGGGAATATGAGCATATGCAGTCACAACCAGTAGATACAGCATCACTTACGGTCATGCAGCTGTCGCTCAGCACTCCTTTTCTGAGCTTGTCTCGAGCACATGATAGCAAGGCGTCACATCATCGTGCTGTTTATATTTCTGCCATTGCCAAAGCCTGTGGTTGTACAGCGCGGCATCCACTGGAGTGCTGGAAATGCCACCTCCTTTAAGTTATTCGGCTGAACGTTGTCACGAGGTGATATGCTTTCTTGTTATCGAGCGCCGAGCTCCTAGGCAGCTAGAAATTGGGCAATACGATTCTTGCCATACAAGCATTTAAGAACGGCATCTGAATCTGTCTAACCCCCCACACCCACCTCCTTGATTCTATACTTCTCAGGACAATATGTACTACGCCGGTTATCGTCGCGGTCGCGGAGGTTACATTGGAGGTGACGGTCGCCCTCGTCCCACTACCATTGCCACAAATGGCCTTCCCCCCGACAGAGAGCTCGACGACGGGCTCGAGAAAAAGCCGATCAAGACATTGTCGAAGCCGACGGACTCGTCGGGCAAGGACATTGTCATCAAGCAGCTCGAGTATCTCGGCTCGTACAACTGGACTAACGAGACAAAGCCGACGATACTCGTTCCCGGTCAGTGCTATTCAGACGTCACACTGCTCAGTTGTACTCATCAATGGTCAATGCACTTAGGGTCTCCCGCACAGTGGCGGGACAGATGTCTTCCGTACCGAGTCCAGCCTGACAGTGGCATCAAGTTTGTTGATCAGAACGGATATCGCATGCCATCCTCCACGTTGTATCCTCTGTTCCGTGCAGTGGATATAATGACGGAGGAGAATGGGAACAGCATCGACTGGAGATCAGTCGACTTTATCACCGACCGCAATGGCCTCCGTAAGCTTCTCCGTTGGATCAATGACACTGATGGCTCTGCCAAGGAGTTCAGGATCGACACACAACTGGCCGGAACCCGCACCGTTCTGTTGAACCGCTGGGAGAAACGCACGCGTGAGGCGGGCAACCCGCAGTGGACGACATACGGCTTCAGTTTCGAGCGGGCGAGCACGAATAAGGTCAAGGGATGTGAGCGAGGCACTGGTCACCATCGCGTCGTCAAATACGTCAGTATATAAATTGTATCAAGATGAAATTATGCTCATATTTGTGCAGGATTTTGATGGCCTTACACTAGTCGTCCGCTTTGAGGTCGATGCCTTCATCGCAACCTCGCCCTCGCGCGGAGTCGTTTCGTCTTCCTCCAATATCGACTCGCTTTCCGACATGTTATCTGGCCTGAACGTAGCGACTGCGACGTCCGACTCGATGGTAGATAGCACTGCGTCCACCGCTGAGCTCGACGTGATTCGCACTGGCTCAGAGGTGCCGCATAGCTCTCTGATCGAGATGACCACTCGGTCGCGAAGGAATGCCGAGAACTACGATTGGGGTGACGCGTACCCACAGTTATACCTGTCCCAAACCCGCAACCACTACCTTGCGGTGCACAACCGCGGAGAATTCGAGACGATCACCAAACGCGCGGTTGACGATGCGGAGATGAAGCGCTTTGATAGAAGTGCCCAGAATGGGTTCAAGAAGTTGCGTCGCGTCTTGGAGACTATTCAGGAGTTGGTTGTTGAACATGGGCAGCGAGGACGTCTCAGCTTGGTCCACCGCGATGGGCAACTGCAAGTGTTTGATAGAATCAAACGCGACGGTTGCCTTCCGGAAGACATGCTGAGGTGTTTCGAGGATTGAGGGCGCCGACAGAATACATCGTCGATGTTATGGGAACCTGACTGTCGGGAGAGCGTTCTGTCATAGGCTTGGGACTGTATTATTACGTGTTTGGGAGCTCAGTTGCACCACACTGCGTTCTTCTGTGACTAGTATGTATTTTGGTGAAGCAACTTACATATCTTCAGAATGAGGTATGGATTGTTCAGCTGGCATGTGGCGATAATCAAACCTTCACCGAGTATCGACGACGATGCTCTCGTTTAAGACAAGTCCCGAGGTCACAGCGTTAGATGGCTAGATAGAATAACACCGGAGGATCCGTTTGGTCGTCCGTCGCTTCATCTCTGTCAACGAACGACATGGCCCGCAGAAGATATCCTCGCCAAAGCGGGCGGAAGCCTGACGTTGACACTTCGTTCACCGAAGGTCTAGTATCAATGATCTTGAAGACGGTGCTGAAGCCAGACGAAGAGCTGATGGAGGAAGCAGACATTGCAATCAGCAACCTGGAGTATCTCGGCTCGTTCAACTGGTTGGCATCCGAAGAACCAACCATTGCGGTTCCCGGTCAGCTTCATCTACCTTATCCATCCTTATTGAAAGTCGACTGACGATCGAATAGGTTGTCCGCCTGTGTGGCGCAGACGTGACGTGCCTTTCTGCATCCCACCCGACAGCGAGACTCAGGCCCCGCATCGAGACGGCAACAGGCTACCGTCAAACCCCATCTTGCCGTGGTTGACAGCAGTAGACATCATGACAGAAGAAAACGGGACTCACGTCGACTGGCCTAGCGTCGCCTTCCTCACAGACCGTAACAGCTTGAGAAAGCTGACGCGATGGCTCCAAGGGGAAACGTTCGATTTCCGGATTGATACGCAACTAATCGGGAATCAGACTGTTGTCTTGAAGAACTGGGAAAAGAGAAACTTACGCGTACTTCCTGGGACATATGGAATGAATTTTGAAAAGGAATGCACCATCCCAAGCGAGGGGTTGGAGGAAAGCGTCAGACATCATAGAATTGTGCAATATGCGAGTGCTTCTTGCTACGCAGTTATGCAGCAATCTCACCTTACGAATAGACATTTGGGGGTCTCAGAATGGTCGTCTGCTTTCAAGTTTCCGCTTATGCCGAATCCCAGAAGGACAACATCAATTCTGTCCCGTCGGGAGAGGTCGGTATTCACACGAAGCACGTCAGTCTTGGGCTGTGCTCATCAATTTGCAGGATGGTGCAAAATGTGACGCTGATGGCACACCAGAACGAGACACGCTCTCCGAAATGCTATCACAACTGAGGCTCTCGACCAGCGCTCAGTCAAGTTTCACAGTTGACAGAGATCCATCGACTGCTGAGCTAAAGGTGATCCGTGCGGGAAGGGAGGTTCCACACGAATCTCTTATAGAAATCAAAACGACGGTGAAAGATTACTTCCAAGTCGCCGACGCGTACCTTCAGTTGTTCTTGTCCCAGACGCCGCACGTGTACGTTGGCCACCATCGACACGGGACGTTCAACAAGATTACTGAACGCCATTTGGACTCGCTGGGGGAGAGCACTCGACGCCGCATCAAACAACTAAGATGCGCTCTTCAAGATATCCAGACACTTGTAGTGGGTCAAGGGCCGGATGTGAGGTTGAGTCTGGTGCAGAGCAAGGGAGTGCTGTTGGTTTTCCAGAGACGAAGCGAGGAGGGATGTTTGCCAGAGAACATGGTGCGACGCTTCTCAACTTGTAACTGATAGAATTTGGTATCCGGAGAGCATTGCAATTTGTGCATGATCGTGCGGAATTTAACCAAGCTATGAAATATTGAGGATCCAGAGCCTTGCAGTCAGAGTCTGACAAGAGAAATACCGTTCGTGAACTCCATGAATATTAAATATTAGCATGCTGCCTCCGCAATTTGGAGCCACGCAAACGGGTACACCTTGACGTTCATGAAAGGCGTGAAAATGATCAAAACTCTGAATGGTTCTCTTGTACAACATGGTGACAATGAAAACATATATACTTGCCTAGCTTCTATTTCTTTGAAATTTCTCTCGCTACGTCCGCTTGCCAACAATGACTCGCGAAATTGGCGCCCATGAACAATGTAACGGCCACTTCCCCCATATGGCAGGCGGTGGCCTTGGATCCAACAACCATCACCAACTCTGGGCGACTTAATCCAGTTGAATCGGATTCTGCTACAAACAGAAGTCTCTATGAGTTGATGATAAGAATACTTGATTCTCGAGCCGCGAAACGTGTGAACCAAGCGTCGCACGATGATAACCAACGGCAACTCTAGGAGCTACAGTCTAACTTCAATCTCGCAGTTTCGCACTGTGTTATACTACGACAGCGTGGACTGACAGGGTTGACAGAAGACATTTGGCGCGTTTGGATGAGGTATTGGCCGGGCTGATTTCACTGTATCCAGATTCAAAAACCTCACACGTGGTAGATGTCCAGGTCATCCATTGAACCACTAATCAGTACTATTGGTCAATGTCACGGTCGGACACATTTCTTGAACATCTCAGTACTAGGATAAGCACGATTGAAGTCTTTGTAGAAGCACAGTTCTCCCCGACCCGTCTTGAACGAGAAGCCTTTTTGAAACCGATATCGCCCAATGGCCGCGCTGCAAGTGGACACGAACAGATGGCTTAAGCTCGTTCCCAGCAAAAACAAATTTTCCCTCACTCAATTGTGCATGCTGACCCCTGCTAGCCTAATGCAAGTCCGCATCTGGGACCACGGTGACCATCAACCGGGAATCGTGCGAATTGTTTCAGGCTTCGGTTCCGCGTCTATACGTGTTCTGCATCTCAAACAGCTCCTATAGAAGCGTGTGACAGCACCGCGTCGGCGGGGATTCCCAAGCATAGAAGCCATGATTTTCCATTGCTCGACTCTAGTGAAATCGGCGAGTGGTACGACCTCTTTTCATCCCGAGCTCACCAATGCTAAAACACTCTGTCTAGCCTGTCATGGAATTGTTATCCATGTTCTTGCGCTGAAAGCCCTTGATTGGAATATCATGAGATTCGACGGCTTCAACTTATCGCTGCCAGAGATCTAACTCCGTACTCTCATGGCGCATCTGCGGTTCGCGTTCCCCCGGTTGCGCCGGCGGAAAAGCAGAGAGTCTGTTGCTACTTGCACCTAGAGGGCTTCTGCTTCAGAAGTTAGGAGTCACGTCGCCCTGCAAGGTGAATGGCGGTACCAACGATACACTCCGAGACTCTTGGGATTGGCTTAAATGGTGCGCACTTGACCTGCATCGACTCGTACGAAGAGCAGCTGATCATGATCATTCAACGAAGATATCCCCCAAGCCCCCCATGTTGGGCATAGTCTAGATGTTGAATAGTAGCTCCTTTCCGGTCTGCTACGACAGAATGCCTCTTCATAACTTCGGCTATTCAGTTTTTCCATCTCTCTCGTTTCATCGCACGGCGAAATGATGCTCTTTGCATCGTAGCCGCATTCTGATAGGTGTGTCGGTTCCCTTATTTGCAGGAATGCTCATTTCAACTTACTTCGCAGAAGACCATCGACACAGCTACTAGACAGCAACAGTCTAAGAGCCTGAAACCTAAATCTGCTCTATCCTATCTCCGTCCTCTACTACCGACTATCGAAACGCTACCGGGAATCTGCCTCTTTTAATCTACTAGCCATCGACATATCCCCGTGCAAGCCGCCGAACCTAGTCCACTGCGGTATTTGACGCTGTACACGAGCATGCGTATGCGAGCGTATAGGTTTTCCCGAGCTTGGGGTGTGAGTGTCCCCGGGATTTCTGAGGGACCCATTTTGCACCCGTGTCTGGGTATCCGCGTCCCTGATTCGCAAGCTTGGATGCCCGCTGCGCATAGAAGAAGTGCTAATGCTAATAGGCACAAAGAGATAGGTAAATAGGCAGGTTGACGGTGCCGCCACCTAAGCAGATTAACTAAAGGTCTGGGTATTGGATTGTCCCGGAGGTTGCGGGGCGGAGGGCTAACATCCAGCGTCGGAAATCTTCTGCGACTGCAGGATCCGATGGTCCTCTAGATGCATCTCGACGACCTGACAGTGGAGATGCGTCTTCCATGAGAGCGGATTGAATCTGAGCGATCAATTGTGAGTGAGTCATTCTTGTGCATGCATTGCACTGACGCCAAAACTTCAATCCCTCCTGAGTAATCTCATGCAACCAGAATGTCTGCATCTGACTAAAACAACGCAAATGGTCACTTCAACGGTTACAGCGGGATCGCGTGATACAGAAATAAGTAGCATTGTTATCCTTAACCGTCCGCGTAAACGCTTACGAGTCGCTCCAACTGGGTGGTGACCAAGACCACTGAATGCACTCCCCACACATCTGATCCAGGCACCGCAGCACGAAGCACGGTACATTCAATTCTGCTTATTGACCAACTCCCGTATGTGTGTGCCTTGGTGGCGCAAGAAATTTTGTCTTCTGCCGGCTGCCGGGCGTGGTCGGTATGTATGTGGCTGGCAGAGCTCCTAGGCTCGTTCACGCATGCAGGTGTACGTGCTGTGGGGTGACGACAAGTCGACATCACGCGTCACAAACCTCGGACAAGCCATTCAAGGGCCCTTCGCTAGGCTCAGAACGAGCGGTTGGCGTATTCCCTGCGACGCAATAGGCAACGGTCGAGGGAATGCGTACGGTTATGTGCCCTAGAACCGGCCACGCATAGACCCTCGTTACAAAGCGAGTCAGACGACTATCAGCCGGCCACATGTCCGAACTGTAGTCGATATCCACGCGCTCCGGTCGGTGCCGTTGAGTTCGGGGAATCACATCACACAAGTACTGTAATAGCTATACGCACATCGCGCACCTCTATTGATACACACCTGCCTGCAGTGACGAGCCCGGTTATTCTATGAATCGTGAACCATGCATGCAACGAATCAGAGATGAGTGCGAAGCGAAGAAAAGCGACCGCCATTCAGTCAGCGAAATTATACAGCATATTTGGATGATGGTCTACAATATACACATGTGCACTAGTCCTTCTTCAACTCTCGTTTGATAACGAACATCCGGTCGCCCTCTGCCTTTGTTGTGATTTCCGCGAGGCCACTAATGCTTGCGAGCTCTTGTGCGCTGCGGCCCTTGGCGAGGACGACGTACATCTCGAGGCCGTCACCGACCTCGATATGTCGCTCTGTCGCGCTCGTGAACGAGTCGATGACGATGGCAAGGACGTCCGGTAGCGGAAGGTGTGCGGGATGCGTCGTCCCGGGAGCAGCGAGCTGATTCTTAAAGTAGATCTGCACGTAAATTGTATGTTATTAGCGAACGTGGGACTGGCGAGTATATATAGCCCAGGGGAAAGGCGTCTCCGATTCCCTCCTACGAGAAGGTACACACACCTGGTTGTCTAGAAACGGCTGGACCAGTGACTGTGCAGCGCCCGCGGCTCGACACGCTTCGCGTTCGTATGAGCCTACGGGATCGAAGGAATAGACTGCACCTGAGCCTGGGGATGCATGTTAAATTAAGCATGAGGGCACGCGACAGAGCAGCGAGCACGAACCGTCCTCTTCGATGCCTCCGAGAATATTGTAAACATAGTAAGGGAAGAAACGGCGAGCGTAGAGCATGGTCTGGATGAGCCGAGCGATGGCGCGGAGGGGCATGTCTTTTGCATGGGCGTGGCGGTACCACTGAGCAGGATGTTAGATGAGCGAACTGAGACGCAAACAGCGAGCACGCACCTCAAGCCTTTGCTTGACCTGCTTTACGAACATGTTCCCGTCTGCCGCAAAGCCATTCACGGCGAGGACCGCGCGGTCGGTTCTGTGCGTACGTCAGCTCGCACGGCGTAGCACGCTCGGACCTCCACACCACGCACAGTCTGAAAACTTTCGGCGCATAGCGCGTCTGGATGCTGTACCCCTCGCTCTGGCGAGTGTCTCCTGCGATGACGGTGAAGTCCTTGCCGGCAATGGCGAGGATGGTGCCGCCGTTCTCGGTGTAGGGATTGAACTGGCGCTGCTGGGGGGTTGCGTACGAGCCGTCAGGCATGGTGATGGTCTGTGCGCTGGGCCAAACTCTGGCTAAATGTCTGGGAAAGGGTGGTGATCGTCGAAAAGAATTGACGACGGAACCGGGAGAGCAGGTGTGCAGGAAAGAGACGAGGAGCGAAGGCGTATATACCTTCAGGTGATGAGGCCGCGTCAGATGGGCGCCTGCGCGGGTCGAAGGGCAATAATTCCGAGATTACAGCACTTAGCATCAAACTTGCCGCTAAAATCTCGCTTTTTCTCCAGAGGACTGCAATGCAAATGACAAGCGAGGATAACTCTCTCTTTGCTGGCCACTCGAGCCTGAGTAGATACTGCGTACCAAACGGCACGACCACGTGATCATGCGCCCACGACGGCGTGAAATTATCATGTTTGTGTGTGTGGAAGACTCAGGATCTGCTCCGAACCGCTATCTACGACGGCGAACAAACGTCTGCTTTCCGAATGGACAAAGGCCGCTGCTGTCGCTGATGCCCCTTGCCTCGACGACCGACGATTATCCGCACGAACCCGGCTTTTTGTCCGCTGTTTCTCCAATGCACGCTAAACGAATCCATCCTAGCTTAGTCTGATGGATGGGCAGTTGTTGATGCCTATGTAGCACGCATCGCGTGAGAGACGACCTCTCGGGTACGCCACAAGCTAATCTGAGCAAATTCTATGGCTCATTGGAGCATGCAGCCGGCTTCTGTACACTCGCTATCTTGCGGTGGAGATGAAAGCATTAGGTTTGTGATATCTAGGACGTGCCGGGGAATGTCCGTATCAACTGTCGGCCCGCGCACAGCTCGACACGGTGGACAACGGTTGTCCATTCCCCTTAAACCACTCGACAGGCTGGGTGTTACTCACCAGAAGCCTCGACATTACGTTCGCCGCCGCTCGGGTGCTCTAATTTCGGAAGTTAACCGCGACAGTCCAGCACGCCTGAGCACATCATCTCAGGAATGCTTGAACGCAATGAAGAACGCAACGAAGATTGCACTATCGGCTCTGAAACCTGCCCAATGACAGCTCTTCTCATTTTCCTGTCTCCGACGAATGCTTCTATCTGTCTTCGCACAGATCGCAAGTTCGCTGCATCGCGCCCGTTTTAAAATTATGTCCTGGCGCGGGACATATATCTGTCGGTGGCGGATCTATCGCGACGAAGGCCTGCTCGTGTTGTACGAATTTCCTTTCGTTGCATGCCTGGCCTACCACGCTCCCACCCGCCCATCTGCTTCGTTCGGGCACTGCACGCCCCCGGGTCTGTTCGCAGGAGCCCAAGCTCCAGACCCTCCTTCGACGCGCGCGAGGCAGCCTACTCATCCGCAGCTGTATTCATCTCCGCAGTTGTTCCGAGCGAGCTGTTCTATCTGCATCCTTGACGGCATGGTGGTATGTAGAATGCCGATCGCTGCCCTCGTCTGCAGGCGTACGTTTCAAGCGTCCCGGGGATCTCATCTCGAGCAATTGTCGGCCCCGAGTCGTGCAAGAGCCCTTCTCCCGCTGGCTTCGCTGGCCTGGGCTGGACGACGGTCTCCTCGATCTCTGGGTATCATTGGCCTACGAATGCCTCTGGCATGACATCACTTCTTCGTGGCTCCCGATGCTGATCCCAACAGACACATTGAGCAGTGACGCTGGCTCTGCGGCAATTCGACGCCTCGATGAGCGCGCTGATTCGCCGGGCTGCCCTATCTGGCCCCGAGGTTCCCGCCAAGATATGCCCGAGACTGTGGCGGGAAGGTGAGTATTCAAACTATCCTTGCTCGTTCGGAGATACCTCACTCTGACAATTCTTGTTTGACATACAATACCCTATCTAAGCTTCTGCTCCTTGTACCGTCAGGGTACCTGAAGTCCCAACAATCTCGGATGTTTGAGAACTGCGACCGTTTCGATTTTCGAAATCTTCGCTCCCCATTTTATATTGGTCACGACTGCGTTTTGCTAGGTCTTCGTATACAATATAGATAACCCGGACCCATCGTGTTTCGCCGGGTATCATAAGTTGACACCCAGACTGCAGTCTTGTGGCCTGTCAACAGCCTACTGCAGCTTGCGAACAAACCCCTGGCACTGATATTCGAGCCCTGGCTCCTGGTCCCTGGCGTCATCAACACCGCCATTCATACATACTATGTGCCGAGCAGAAGCAATGGAGCCGCAGGCAGCTTATCGTAGCCGTGCTTTGATGTACAAATGCAGGAAGTCATGGGTACAAACCTCGAACGGGCTTCTTCAAACACCGAACCGCGCAAGCATGTTCTCAGGCAGGCAACTGTCCTGACTGATGCGCTCGTACACCGCCAGCTGTCCTGCCAAGCAAACCAAGCTGAGCCGCATGCTCTGCCCATGCTCGACGACCAGCTCCTGCACGGCTTCCAGTGCGGCCCTCAATCTCCTGAACTTGTCCCGCGTGGTCGCCTCAATGGGGACCAATTCTGCATCGTTAATTCGGCGTTTGGTGATGGTGTGGAACTCTCCATTTTCATGCACCGCCAGGATGTGATGCGGGTCCTGCGACAAAAGCAACTGAGAATACGCCTCATCCCAGGTGTATGCTTGCGCTTTCTTGGTTATCCGAGTGATCATCTCGACTAGAGAGCCCTGCGGCACCTCCGAGCCCGCGCGAATGACGTCGAGCTCGGCAGTAGAAGCAGCAGTATCTATATTCGAGACTGGTCTCTTGGATCTGCGATTGTTCAAGGTGGAGGGCACGCCCGGCGTGGCGTCGACGGGGAGGTAGGCATCAACTTGTGCACGCACAACCATGGTGAGCCCTTCAAAATCCTGCATCGCACCGTGGATTGAGCGCCGACATGGCAGCGAACAAACAGCCGGCACTTACATATTTGATGACGCGATAATGAGAGGCACCGGCCTCACATCCTCGCGCTTTCACCGTGCTCGCCCGCTCAAAGTTATGATAATACGTTCCGTAAATGCGCTGCGCCGTCGTCCTTTCCCAGCGGTTCATCAGGACGGTGCGGTTTCCCGCTAGCTGCATATCGATTCTGAACTGCTCCGCAGACCCGCTCGCCCATCGCAGAATTTTGCGCAAGCAGTTTCGGTCGGTGATAAAGTCGACTGATGGCCAGTCGACGGGGCCTCCGTTGCGGTCCTCCGCCATAATATCCGCTGCGCGAAAGAGCGGATACAGTGGGGAGGACGGCATGCGGAATCCGTGTTCGTCCATGAACATGAGTCCCTTGTCGACATGCACTTTGAATGGCACAGGTTTGTTACGCCATTCCGGAGCCGACCCTATGAACCCGATGCAACGACGGCACTGATATATCAGGCACAGCCGGACCGCAAACGGCACTGGTACATACCAGGAACTAGAATGGTGGGCTTGGTACTATCGGTCCAGTTGTAGGAGGCCACGTACTCGACTTGAGTTATCCTTGCCTCCTTCCACAGTGCGGGTACGGCCGGTCTTTGGACGACTTGCAGAGGAGTTTCGACAAGCCCATCCACCAGGCTTCTGGTCGGAGGGCGTTGGCCAGCATTTGTTGACGGTGGTTGCCCACCGCCTCTCGCGGCGTAACGTCCACGTCCCCGCTGATTGCTTCGGTCCATCATGAGGTCGTTGCCTGAATGTCGGCCAAAGATTGTAGGGAGACGGGACTCTGAAGAGCATTAAGCCCAAATCTTCCTCTTATATATCTCGTCCTGTCAGAACGAGAGAAGCAAGCCTCGTGTTATCAACGTTTTCCCTTGTATTGGATATGCAATATACCTAGTTGCATTAAGTCAGAATCTAACCCATTCGTACGCATAGGATGAGAACGTGGTTCAGGTGCGGTTTACAATATACGCCAATACTGAGCATTGACAATTACCCTCCAGATGGCTCCGATGAGCATATCGACAAGAACTACTAAATGGGTTTCAAATGAGGGTCAATCACAATCAGTCTCACAGACAACAAGATACAGCGACACCACATTCATATGGCCTTCTCGCCGTCATCGATCATTCCTCAAAACGCCTCAGTAGAGCCTCCGGTAGGCAGCTTTCCCTCGACATTCTCGATATTACCCGCAATTCCCCATCAACGTAGACCAAGCTCAGCCGGCCTTCCTTTCCGTGCGCTACAGCTAGCCTCTGAATCTCCTGTAAAGCGACGCTCAGCTTCCTGAAAACCCGTTGCGCCTGTGCTTCGACTGACGTCTCGTGGTTGTTCATGCCACGTTTGATGACGTCCTCTGACTTACGAGCCTGGTCCATGCGAACGATCTCCGGCTTGGAAAATTCGCGCTTTCCGATTGTCTCGACAATTCCGAGGGTATGCAGTGCGAGGTGGTGATAGGGTGTCTGTGATAGGTAGAGCTCTTGATACCCCTCAGCCCAATTGTAGGGATGCACGGATGTCCGCCGACGCGTGGTCACCTCCAAGACGGAGCTCTGCGGCACGTTCAGACCACCATGGATTATATCTAGCTCAGCAGTAGACGACTGATAGGAGATGTCCGAGGATGACCAGTCATCAGATATCGGCGATGGAGTGTCTTCCCAGGGTGAAGGTCGGATAAAGGCATCGACTTCGAAGCGCACTACCATGGTCAGGCCGTCAAAATTCTATGACAGTCGATCAGTGCGTCTATGACCGGTGCAAATAGTGAAGCACGAACGTATTTCACGATGCGATAGTGGTCGGTAGCGTTTTTACATTCTGGAACCCCCCTCGTACAATGCGCGTTCACGCTCGCACCGTTGCTGCGACGGTCCTTGTCCATCTTTTCTATGGTACATGGGTCCCAGCGGTTGAGCAGCACCGTTCTATTTCCGGCCGATTGCATATCAATCCTGAACGTCTTGTCGGAGCTACCGTCATCCCTGATCCAATGCAAGAGTCTTCGCAAATTGCTTCGGTCCGTTATAAAGTCTACTTTCGCCCAATCGACATGGTTCCCCTTCTCCTCGGTCATGATGTTCACCGATCGCAACAGGGGATACAGTGTGCAGGACGGCATTCTGTATCCGTTCTGATCGATGAACCTCATTCCGCCTTTGAGTGTGAATTTGTCGAGGGGCGCTTTGAGCGGAAGCCTTGTGTCTAACCACACAGGGGGTGATCCTGGAACATAAGTCCATGGACATATATATATAAGGCTAACCAGAGTTTCGAATGACGCCAGCACTGACCAGGAACGACGATAGTAGGCTTCGTCCTATCAATCCAGTTATACGACCCGAGATACTCAACGTCTTGTTCGATCATAATGTCTTGTCCCCGCACTTCACCAGGCCTTTGGAGCGTCTTCATGAAGGTGTCAGCGAGACCATCCATAATCGCTCGCGGAGGTGGAAGTTCCCTCGCGATGGCCGAGCCTTGTACGTCCTCTCTGGCGTGACTACCGCGACCGCGATGGCTCCCTCTGCCTCGTATGAGATCCTGGCGTTGCACCCCGCTCAGCCTTGGTACCGTTTGCGTGGAGGTGTCAGCTCGGGAGGCACTGCTTCCGGCTTGGCCACGGCGACCGCGACCACCACCTCGACCTCGACCTCCGACTGGCATTTTGTATTCTAATATCGTTGTCTCGAGTGCGCGATAGAGAATGTTGAATGGCTGATGCTTAGGGGTACTATGTGAGAGGGGAGGGGGAGGGGACACTGTTAGATGAACGTGGCGATAGATAGCATATACTCAGCTCTTGTTCGGTCGAAGAAGACATTCCGTCGATTCGATGAATTTCCTGACACGCACGAGGCTTCTTGGTGCTTGTACGGTCAGCTGGCGCACACATTAAGACAACAACTTACCAAGGTGGACTCAGGCTGTCGAGCGCTTGAGTCCAGTTCCGTGTACAGATCTCACGCAGTTTCCCTAAAAATGCGCGATTGAGCCTCGTCGTTGACATGGACAAGCAGTATAGCTAAGCTACGTGCGGCATCTACAACGACATGTACGATTGCATCTCAAAAATGTTCATCCCACGCTATCAAGCATTCTTAGGAGATCGGCGGTGATCCATTTCTCTCCCAATAATGCACTCGTGCCTAGCAGTCTACGTCTGTGTCAGTAGAGACGTGTCTGAGCCTGAAGAGCTGCACTGCCCTGTCATGGCAATGCTTGTGGTGGGATAGGCTGAACGTGGAACGTCCTGGTCCCGGAGTCCGAATGGGATCCGGGAGCCTGGTGTGTGCCCGGAGGAGATCGCAAGGAACACCCGCCCGGCACGCATTGCGTGACAGAACAGAACAAGGCAAGAAAAAACACAACAACAGGAGATGGGTGGGTGGGTCGAAAGAGTGTCCGAGCTCGTGTTGCGAGCGAGGGAAGATGATGGTGGTCGCAGGACGAGGTACTCTTGACGCTTCGTCACGCGTCTCGTCCTGCGACATGCTGTCACGAGTCCTAGGATTCGATGGGACATGTCACGATCGAATCCGCGTATTGAGAGCCTCTGGACATGCACGAAAGCTTAATATGCATTCAAATTCACGCACACTTACACGACGGCACAGTATCAAAATATTACAAATCTGTAGGTTGACATAAACCAGATCAGCGAAGAACGGTATAAACTGCATGAGTCCGAACCAAGAAGCATCGTCCACGCCAGATTCACGCCTGCACCTGCACCCATTAATCTCACACACCAACAACGCAGCATTTCCACACTTAAAATCCGCCTTTACCCTGTACCCGTGCGATACTCCCCTGTATGCCCCTGATCACGCCGCGAACGCCCTTCGTCAAGCCCGTCGAGTCCGGCAGTTCAACTCCCTGAGCATCACGGTACACGCCGTCGAGCCCGACGCGATGCAGATGCGTGTTCTGCACGCGGTCCACCGCGTCCAGCCATTCGGCACAGATATGCGGGCTGTCTATCATCACGTTCACCTCTTGGCTATGGTACCAGGATTGAACGTCTGCAAATACAAAGCCCATGGCATCAGTAAAAGATAGAGGAAGAACGAAGGCGGAGTCGAATATACCTTGATTCCCGTTGCCCATGATACCTACGGTGTCGTCGACAACCATGAGCTTGACCTACAAGGTGCCTCTGGGTCAACATTATCCTGCATATAGCGAACCAGTGTACCAACTCACATGGCAATTCCGCTGCTGCAGGTGTGCATTTATTGGCTTGACTTGATCCCTCGCTAGAACAACCGTCATAAGCGTTCTCGAAACCAGATTAGGCGATGCATACCCGTGTACCAATAATACTTCAACCTCTCCTTCTCCTCCTCTGCCAACTGTGCGTACATTTCCCTTACGACTACCTCGTTCGCGCCTCCTTGATAAGGCAAGACCTCACCGCCATCGTTGAATCCGACATCCACGTATAGAATAACTTCGATGCCTCTTCTCACTGCGCTCAACACACCCTCGACGACGGGCGGCGCACTGAACGTTGGCGTCTGGATGAACACACGCTTTTGAGCATGTTTCAGCGCGGCGAGCCATGCGGATGCCTGCGGGTTCAGCAACTCGCGCTCATCGTTGCCTGGCCTGCCGTATGGCGGGCGGTTCACGAGCGCCATGGGCACCTCGGCATGCGGGGCATGCAGGATGTGCGGGGTATACTCCTCGTCGGTGATCGGGTCGTACGTAACCGTCGCGAGCATCGACTGGTCTCCGGCGTCTATGCCAAGCTGTCAGGGTCACTCTGCAGCAACAATCGGCCGATATACACGCACTGATGTGGTCGGTGATAGTCTGGTATTTCCCAGATATGAACGGCTTGACCTCCCCAGGCTCGCCCTTGTTCTCCTCCGATGTCGCCGCCTCGTCCTGGTCGTGCGCGACCTTCCCCTCCGCAACCATTTGTTTATATATTTCCTCACCTTTCTTCCCATCCAGCAGGTGCGTCGTCGCATACTCGTTCTCCATGCCGAACTTATACCCTTCCTCGGGAGTAGTGCACGGACGCCCGAGCAGCGGCAGCGGCGGGTGCATCACCCTGTGCCAGCTCACGAGCGCCATGTCGTACATGCTGTCGACGATGGGACCCTCGAGATGGCACATCATCTCGAAGTTTGGCCGGTCCTGGATATTGTTCGAGCACAGGAGCGCCATCTTGCGATCAACAATCATAAACTTGCTGTGGAACGTCCCCAGCACTGGTCTGTGCAAGTCATCAGCCAAGACAAACGCCCGACTTTGAGGGCACCCACTGATGAAAGTTCACGAGCTCAAAGTCCACCCACGGCATCTCGCTCCGCCGGGGCAGCTTCACCTCATCTTTCACCCACTCATCCTCCTTCACGTAGAGGTGGCTTTCCGTGAGCATCTTTAAGTTCGCACGATCGTACATCATCTTCACGACAACCTTCTTCCCGCGTACTTCTGCACGCCGCGAGAGCTCGATGAACCCAGCACAGATTTTACTCGCGGACTTTGATGCTTGCCAGAAATTGGTAGCGAGGAACACCTCATGCTCGGCCTTGATGATGCAATCGTAGTGGTGTTGGATAATGTCTGGGATCCTGTGGTTCGGAATATTGAAGTTAGCTGCTGTACGCAAATTATGCAATGTTAAAGAGAGGAGACACAGCATGTCCTTTGTTGTATTGCAATGAGATTATTCAAGTCAAACTTCTCCTGACATACCTCCTCTATTGCGTACGTGACCAATTGGTGCGTATGCGTGCGAATATATCCATTAATGTAACAAGATCACCCGCATATATGCAGCGTTGGGAAGATATATACGTTGGTGCCCTCGCACTCCGGGTGTATAACCCAAGAGGTTCTAGAATGGATACTTACACAGAGATGATGGTGAATGACACTGCACCCCTTGAGCCCAGCAGAGGTGGGGAGACGGACCCTGCCCATGGATCGACGTCGAGCGTCTTCAGCACGTCATGGTAGATCTGCGAAATCGTGGTTTTTGAAACATTGAACTCGGAGAGCAAGCCAAGCCCGCGCACCTTCAAGAACAAATCACTTGGCCTCGCACCGAACTCGCCACACTCCGCTGCCCGATCGAGGTCCTCTTTGGATGGCTCGTCCTCTCTCGTCACCTTTCTGCTCTCTTCGGGCGTCTTGCCCGTCTTGAGCATGCTCTTCGCTGTGGCGAAGATACCGCCCGTCGTGCCGGGCTCATGTACCCCATGGTGGTGCGCCTCGTACACCTTCTTGACCAGCTCGCCAGGCGACGAGTCGGGCGACGCCGCATAGGCCGCGGTGAGTGTCTTTTCGGAGTGAGTTAGGTTGTATACGCGTTCCGAGACCATGGTTGAGGAAATGAGAGATAAGTGGGAGCTCTCGGGATTATTGTTGTGCTCATTTTAGGCTCCCTGTGATGACGAATGATCAGCGCCAGGGGGCGATTTGGGCGCTCATGCGCGCAGCCGTCGAAAGTTCCGACTCCGCTGAGGTCTGACGCTTTCGCTGTTTCAGAGTATCAGCTACTACAATCCATCTATTCGACGCAGAGCATATTAAAGGAGATCAATTCAATTGTAGGTGATGCTTGAGTTGTGGTGAAAAAGCACTACACTCAGATTGAGGTTTTGGTTATGAGTGATCGAATTCGAAATATGGATATAGATAGCTCAATGACGGGAGAAATGACAGGCGCCCAAACTTGAGCGCTAGAGACATGCGTGCGAATGTATCACATAGATCTATTGCAACAGTGAGAGGGGCTATTAGCATCCTCAGCACGGATAGTCATCGAAGACGTCAAAATCAAAGTCGTAGCTTTTGGACGGGCTCACTATGCGCTGAGGCGAATGAGACGTAGCAGCCTTTTCGAGCTCCTGGAACAAGGGCAATGTATACACTGTACAGCACGAAGTTATCAACGCTCACAGGGCTGCAGAGTGTTGACAGAAGAAATAACCGAGGTATGTTGAAGCTGCGAAGACGAGTAGATAGCATTGCACGTTGTCCGATTTAAGCTTTGATGGATAAGTGTATATACTCACTTGCTGATGCTGATGTTGCGCACCTTTATCGGCCATCGCTTCGAGTGCCTGCCAAGTCGGAGACGGATCAGCCGTGAGCGCGTCATCGAGCTCGTATCTCTCGAATGCGATCGGCCTGCGAACAGGAAGGCAATATCGGCATCCCTAGTAAGTGACAACTTCACTGCTATAGATGCGAAGCACAACTTGCCAGTGGATGAGATACAGATCAAGATAGTCGACACCAAGTGCTTTCAATGTCGCATCAAGTGCAGGCTCCACATCCTTCGGTGCATGAACCTGTTCCCACAGCTGTACATATTTTTGTCTGTTATATAGGAGCTGCACAGGGTGGATAAGCTTTGAGGTAAGTAGCTCCTCACGAGAAATCTCACTCTCCTTGATTGCCTTCCAAACCTCCTCTTCGTTCTGTGTGAGAACTCATCCTAGGTCAAATATGTAGGACGACAATGAATCGAAGATACCCACGCCATATCTCCATGTCCCGTCGCTATGCTTACACCCAGCATTCAACGCAGCTTTCACGGCGTCTCTCACATCGCCAGGCTCCGCTTGCCAGACGCCTATAGTCCCAGATCTTGACTCAGCGCGGATATATAAAGCTTAGAGGACACAGTACCGAGAGTAATGGAAGGAATCTTGTCGCACGAAGGAAGTGTACAATGAGCAGGAAGTTGCACGATGTGCTTATGCGACCCTAAACAGTTTTGTATGCCACGATGTAGGTCGCTTGGGAAGATCAGATTGATAGCAATCCCAGCAACGACCACTAAGGCAACGCTTTTTGCAACGCACGACAACGCCGCTCGCGTTTTGCTGATGCAGCTCACACTCTTCCTCGTACTGAACTCCTCCGCTACTTCGTCGCGCTCAATGGCGTAAAGATCACAGGAAAGCCTGTAAATACCATCATTCGACGCGTCCACTCGTTCAACATGGTGAATCGCACCGTTTCTCGACATCATGGTGACCCTGAAAGGTAGATGGAATCTAGAAAGATAGGAGGATAATCAAGCCACGAGTCTATGAGGGCCAACCTGAAAGATATGCAGAATGTCGGATGCTTGGCGATATTGACTACCGATCAGACAAACAACGCGATACCGTGCCACCAGGAAGCATTCAGATAAACGCGACGTACTGATATGTATACCGGGATATACGTGTACATGAAACGGAAACTCCGCCACATCCTCTGTGCAACACGCGAATGATAAATAGTTTGACTGTATGCGCATGTCTCTGTAATCTTCGATTGGTGAAATTCAGTGTGTATGTGTGTGAATCCTCCAGACTAAGAATAGCCTTGATTCCACATTTAGTGTAATTTTGGGTGAGTTGCTTCGCACCTGCAATAAAACCTTTGTAAAACCTTTCCGTTTGCCTTTAAGCTATCGCTCAAAGAAACCACATGGATCCCAGTTTGTATGACGGCCAACAAAGGCTACAGACGGAACTTGAACTCAAAGGGTGACAAGCTTGGCGCCACTTGTCGCAACTCGAGCGGCTGAGGCAGCCTCTGCCGCCCGGCATTTGATCCCAGAAAGTTTCCCAGCATCACAAACTCAGATCGTTCGCGACTGCGGAATTCGGCCGTTCACGACGCCGGCAACGACCAGAAGCATACGAGTGGAGACGAGAAAGCGAGAAAGAGCGAGCCGCATGGCCCAGCATCGGAATCCATCGATGCCAAATAGACCCAAACACGTTCTCACCGTGACCTCCACCGTCGTCGTTGTCTCCGCCATCCTGTCCGACCACTTCCCGCCCCTCGTCGACAACCACGACAACAATGCTCGGGCGTCTTTTCTCCCTTCTTGCTGTTGCTACGGCAAGCGTTCTTGCGCAAGACATCGTCTTTGACTCCGCACATAACGCAACCGTCATCTATGGAACTTGGAGCTCTGGTAGCATGGGCGTGGTTACGGGCTCGGTGTGTGCTCAATCCATTGCACCCTCACTAACGGTCATTCATGCCTGATGCGTGCTGCAGGGCTTTGCAGACCCCGCGAAGGAGTCATTTACATACCCAAATACGACTGGAATCTCATATTCATTGTGAGTACAACTGTCGCATGTCCCACACAGGTCGTGACATCCGCCGGATGAGTCCCTGTCATTCTGTCAGATTAAGAAGTGCTAGGAAGCAGGAGGGCACAGCTATCGAGCATTGCAATGCCTCAACTTGGCAGCCGTGAATAGTCTGAGTGATGGTGGCACATTTTTTTGTAATTGGGCCGGTAGATGAACGGTTGCTACCGTCAGATCTTCTATGGACCCGAAGGCTTGGATGATTGGAGGCGTCACAGAGGGTCGATTTGACGAACACCTTCATGCACAGACCGCTATTTTTGCAACAATTCTATGGCACGATGGTTGCTGCAACGCACTGTAACAGCATGTGCCTTGGAGCTCTGCCCGTTGGGCGATTTCGAGTGTTTGCCGCTCGCCGCATCTCATTCTTGGCTATCTGTAGCAAAGCTGCTCAGCTCCGTGAAACTGTCTGCTAACGACCCCCCTGCTACAGTACGGAGGACGGATACTACGAGATTGCGCGATATCGGTATAACAGCAATGGTGAGTTTAAATACTCGTCTCCACCTTAATGCATACCCTAATGGTTGCGCATACAGGATCACAACCATCGTGCATCACCGGCGTAATGAACTGGGTCCATGGGACGTACGACCTACTTTCGAACGGATCGATCGTTACGTACCCCTTCGGTGACGGGTACCAGCAGATCCAGGACGGCTGCGCGGCGACGACCGATTTCATCGAGGACTACAATGACACGGAGCTGTACCAGTCATGGGAGATCTTCCTCGACTCGACGCTCGGGTACCAGCTGCAGCTGTACCAGTACGATGGCTCGCCACTTGCGCAGCAGAACTTGTACTCGACAACGCCAAACATGCTCCCGACACGCAGCCTCCGGAACACCACAACCAGCGCATCTTCTGAACTCGTCATTAACGCGCGCTCCGAGCTTGCGACGAGTGCTGGCGCGCGGACACAAGGGTGGAGCGCCGCGACGACTGTCGCTATCGCTGCGGGTCTGGCATCGCTCGTCCTCTGATTCGCCCCGACGCCGATATGCTTGCGGAACTCGCTTGTAGCCTTCCTTTGTCATATTCACGTTTCTTTGCTCTCGCACGCATCTTCTCGCCTGCTGCGCCGCCAGCGGACGTTGACCACTTACGCGACACTACGATACCCGTTGACTGTTTCGTGCGTACGCTCGTTTGATTGCCATGGACTTGCACGTCTACGTATTATAGTGCGCGTACGGCCGTTCTGGTTAGCAGGCGGCCCCACATATTAGATGGAATACTATGATCTGTCGCAAGCGTTGTACTTATTTTCTACGACGATTGCGCATGCGAGCTGCATCTATTGTGGAGATGCGTTGCTGCGAGACGCTGTTCCCGGTAACGCCTAGTGGTACTTTCTCCCTATGTGACCTTGAAGTTCACGATGCAGCTCAAACTGTAATTCATGTACGCATACACACCACACGGGGACGATTGCGCAAAATAAAGCTCCAAACTACAGTGAATGACATCGATTGCGGGACAGACTGAAGACATGATGGTGTAAATACTACAAATATTGGGCCCATCGCCCGAAGCTACAATACAGATATACACGCTGTTACGTGACGACCAGATTGGACAAGAGGTAACTGCTATGCATGTGCAAAGAAAACCAGCGACCCAAGCCCAATTTACAAAAGGCGAGGTAATACAATCGCATAAGATAGACAAGGATGAACCACGTACTCATAAAAATAGGGATATCGATAGGGATATCGTTCCACCCATTGCGACGATGCTTGCGGACAGGGTAAATAGATGCGCGTATCATGAGATCGTGATCCACGTATGACAGAGGGGAAACGGGGTAGGTATACAAGCCTTGATGGCATTTTAAAATTGGCTTCGCAACGATCAATCGAAGGCTAAATCGACGCTCTGACTGCGGCCAGAGCGACTCTTGCGGGAGATTGGCTTTGGAGTCGAGGCAGAGGAGTACTCGGAGGAATGAGAGGAGGGGGGATAGGATGAGCGCCATGACGTCGAACGCGCTGCTGCAGGCGGCATACTGCCCGCCCGCAACTTCCGCCGGCGATCATCCAGAGAACGACTTCGATGTCTAGCAGATGGACGCGAGAACGTGGAACGGTGCTCCACGTTCAATCCCTCGTCCCACTGCGTGTCTTCGTCTTCGACGATGGACTCGGCATCGATCTCCGCTAGTACAGCATCCTGCATGCCATTGAAGGCTTCTCCGCCCTGACCCGAAACATCTATTGCATCGGTATTCTTGTCCCAAGGGTGCATGGAATGATATTCAAGCTCAGACTGATCTCTCGGAGTGAGCAGCGCCTCTAATGGACTCACAGAGCGCGAGTCAGGTGCATGTTGCTGGGACGACCACGGTAGCTTCATCTGCGAAGATCGGCCACGCCTCCGTTCGGACTCTTGCGAGCTGCTTGGGGTCATCAAGACGGCAGAATCATTTGGGCTAGAAGACGAGTCAGAAGAAGTGGAATTGGTGCGCAAGATGGCATTTGTGAGTGCAGAGAATGAGGGTTCCGTGGGGCGAGGGTGAGGATGGGGGTGAGGATGGATATGATGATGAATTTCATATGGATGATGTGGGTGGCGGGAAGAGCTCCGGCTGCGGCGGGGTCTCACAGACAAGGAACGATTGCCGGAGCAAGTCGCAAGAGAGGACGAGCGAACGCTCTCTGCATCATCAATCGCTGCCGTATCTAGCTGCACGCCTGGTCGAGACCTGGATCGCGAACTCGATGCCACGCGAGGAGGTGTGCATCTAGATTCAGGAGGCGTTGCGCTATCGCCCTCTTCACCCCAGCCAATCCCCCATGCTACTTCGTCCACCATTGCAATGGTCCATCGGCTTGGCACCGAGCGTTCCAAGCATCCCTGCAAGACGCTCTCTGCGCCACGGCCAATGCCTTTCGGCATGTCAAATACACCTATGTGAGGGAATGTAAGTTGAATGTGGATGACATGGTACATTAAAAGGCCAGTTTACTCACCGTGGAGGATTTTCATCTGTAGACGTGGGTCATAGGAGTCCACAAACGGTAATCGCCCGGTCAAGAGCGCGTACAACATCACCCCCAGCGCCCAGATGTCCTGTGCAGGATTAGGTGAACGCGGTGCCGAAGACGATGGAAGCAGTAACTCAGGCGCCGCATAGGGTAATGAACCTGGGTTGTAGTCATAGTTCGAGGGCGTAGACTCGACGCTCGAAGATATGGGCAGTGGGCTAGAATTGCGATGGCGAGAACCACCCTCATGGCGAATCATGGATAGGTGTGACGACAGATGGCCTTGCTTTCTGTGCGGTATTCTCGAATGCGCACCCAGGCGTGTCTTGTGTACTTTGTGCACATTACTCTGGGTTTGTTCTTCGTGAATTTCGCCAATCTTGCGTGCCATTCCAAAATCAGAGATTCTACAAACACCCATCTCATCTACAAGCACGTTCTCGAGCTTCATGTCCCCGTGAACAATCCCCGCCACCTCATGCAGATACCGAAGTCCCCGTACAACTTGTCTGAACATCATCCCCGCCTCGTCTTGTGGTAGAGCCGGACGCCCATCGCGTTTGAGGATGTCAAACAAGCTGCCCGCCGGACAGTAAAGGGTGAAGAAGTAATCTGCATTTGGTGTCCTATAGACAGAAAACAGCGGAAGAATGTGCTCGTGGCTGAGTGTGCTCCATACCGCTGCTTCACGGTCAAGGCGCTTGCGAGCCAACACAGCATCAGCTTGCTTATCAAGATCCGACCGTCTCACGATTTTGACAGCGACAGTGCCCCCTTGCGAAGACGTCGCTTGACGGATTACGGAGGACCCACCGACTGCAATTACGGGTCCCAGCTGGTAGCCAGAGATGATGTCTCCTTCGGAATCCGAGCGAGAAGCCGCTTCGGACAAGGTCGGGCTAAATGAAGACAGAAAAATGGCCGCAGGTGACATAGATTGATCTTGAGAAAGATCACCTTGTGAGAGAGAGGGAGCGAGAGAGGACGACAACAACACTGCACCTTCTACAGGTTCAAGCCTAGAAGCGAACTTTCCATTGAGATGGCTCGAAATGGCCTCCAACTGAAGAGACAACTGCTGTTCGTGCTCTAGACCCTTGGTCAGCGCATCCTCGTCGCAATCTCTGTTGTCGAGGGTGGAATTGGGACGCATGGTTGCAACGGTCTCATCATAATCGGGTATCGGTACTCCGTGTTGCGTTGATTCAGATGCAGCAGATAGCATTCAAAGAGCAGATGCGTTTTAGGGATGGATTGAGCGAGAAGAGGGATATATATGCGCGATCGGATGCGGATACGACCACGGAATGAGAAGTACGGGTGATGGTAAGGGGGAAAGCGGAGCAAGGGACGAGGAGCCCCGCAGCGCTTAGCAATATTAGTGCCTGCTTACGTAATGTAACCAATTTTAGCAGGTGTAGAGTTAGCGCTGAAGTCATTCAACGGCTGCTCCTGCGCAGCGCATGCAGTAATCACGTTCGAATTTGCGTCTGTATCCCACAAAACACTTGTGATAGAAACACTTCCCTCGAGTAAAGCCTTGAGTGTATTTATGTCGTCATTTTTTTTTGTTTTTTTTTTGGGGGGGGACTCTTTTTCGTCACTACCTAGTACCGGAGTCACATGTCAAATATCTAACGGGTAATATTGAGGTGACAGATACAAGTAGTTGGATGGCTACACGGTAGGCAAAAAACAGAGGAATAGGAGAACGTCGAGTTTTTGAGATTTCGTTCGAAACCATGCGAGGTTGAAGAGCGAGAGATATCCGACGATACTGGATCTTCAAGGTGCCCTAATGATGGCTTATATTCCCTTCAGACTCAGCCGAAAAACCCCTATGATCATCGTGCCATCGATTGACTGGGACAACTTATAAGTGTACCATCTTCCGTTTGGGCTGTAACGGTACTCCTGGGTCACGTCAAAACGGCCTGCAGCCAGACTGAATCAACATGAGCCGGAGTTGCTGGATTGTGGCCATCCGAGAAGCGGCCACCGGCAGATACAGCTTCTCTCTAATCACACTCTCAAGCAGCCTCGTATATGATCAAACTCGTCACAATACGGGCAAGCCAGTTTGGGCGGCTAGAGTTGCAAGCCAAGCCACATTTCGGATCGCGATCGATACAAAGCTTGAGTTTCAATAGTTTTTCACTGTCATTGCAGTGCTAGAATAACAGCAGTTCGTCATGGAGGTCTCTTTTGTTCGAAGAGTACTTGACGATGATTTATCGAGAACGCACCAATATTATCCACGCAAGATTGCTGCTTGTTATTCTATAGATCATATCAGTCCTGACATCTAACGTTATACATGCTCCGGGGAGAAATTCGCTGCATTACAAACGACGGAAGCATGATGAGGCCCGGCTTCGATAAGAACAATCTGGGCTAGCTTACTGTCATCATCAGCGATCCTTCAAATATTCAAGCACCTCTAAAATGCGCAGATTATGGCTGCTTTCTACCGTTCCGCGTGCCAAAAGGTCTGCGCCACACAGTAAAGGGCGTAAATGCACCGTGAAGACCGCCACATACCACTATCGGTGGTAGTCCGTGCAATCGCAAAGTAGTGCGGCGACCATCCGCTAAATGTCAATGGCACACTTTTGTGTCCCTCTTCAGGCTTCCATCCGAGAGCCTCTGCGAGGGGCTGCTCGACATACAGTGTCTCGTTGTCGAGCACCACTTTGAACTCTCGACGGTTCTTAGGACCCCCGGTGGACAGAAGCCGTCTCCCGGTCGCATTTAACCGGGAGTATGCGATGCGCGGTAACCCAGGCGGAAACATGAAGATAGAGCAGCAACGTCCGAGGTGGCGGCGAAAGGGAAGCATTGAGGCCGCTGAGTTTGAATGCTGCAGCTGGAGTGTGGCGGAGGTGGCGGCGAGAACGGTCGAAGTGCGTTAGTAGGATTGAAATATTGATCTTTCCCCCTTCACTCAGGAATTAGACGAGGCGGAGCCCGAAGCAGCGCTCAGATCTTTCTGCGTTGCGATAGATCCTGAGGACTACTGCTATCAGTGACATGTCAGCCCACGCAGCCCGTCTCGCTCGTTTGTTTACACCAGAGTACGCTTGTCGTATCAATGCTCAAATTGTGCATCCGGCGAAGTCAGGCGTGGTGAAGCCGAACGAGCTGGAATCAGCCTTCTCACGGCCGCTGGACGTCTCTATCTACAAGCCTAACCAACCTGCCACGTATCTGGCAGCCACGCTGTCTTACGGAATCATAAAAGGTGCGTATTTGACCGTTCTTTGATGATGCTTTGATCACGCAAACGTACATCAGCAAAAGTGTCGATTTCGCGTGAGGCCCTCGCAAGCGCTGGCGACCCTCATAAGCGCGCGCAAGCCTTGCGGGTTACTTGCAAGGGGACTGCAAGGCTTGTTCGGACATTGCGAGAGGGCCACAAGCCTGGCGAAAAATCGCCAGGCTTGTGCAACACTTGCGCTACCCGAGCGAGCCTTGTTTTATCTTATAAGGGTCATATATGTCTGCCGAGGCTCTTGTAGGGTTGGCCATCGGTCTCGGAGGGACTCCGAGCTAGAAATTATTGATACACTCTGAGGCCCTTCTACCGGCAAGCAAAGCTTGCGATTAACGAGTTGGGGAATGATCAGGAGGTCCACGAATGATGTTATAAATTACTATAGATCAATATACATTTGTATCTGTCCTCTCACAAAGCAGCCAGGCAGAGGGGTCAAGGAATAGCCTTGTTGGCCATGCAGCTCAGCAAGTACCAATCCAGACCCGCATTTGTGAAGCATTCTAAGGTTGATATTGTCAGCGTGAAGTTCAGGACCAGGACGAGGAAGAGGAACGAGAGCCGGGCCGAACGCTTGCTTACTAAGCAGGCGGGCGAAGAAGAGACGCGCTCATCTGACATACGCGCTGTGTCTCTTCTCCCCGCCATGATCTCACTACCCGCTTGCCTCGCAGAGTCTTTGTTTCGAGCTGTTCTTCACTGTGTTTTTATCGTTACTCATTTCATTACACCCATACCATACCTGAGAGTACCTCGACCCAGGAACAAGGCTGCAGGGCACTGGAGGGAAGTCCGCTCAAGGCTGCGCTCCAGCAGCAACTATTGAATGCGTAAATGAGGAGCGCGCTACACTCAACGCATCCAGGGCGAACGGGCATGCGCTTGGCGGTGAGACTGTTTAGGAAGATGAGTATTCCTTCAACTATGAGGGCAACGAACTTCTTGCCGGCACCGAGTTGACAGAGAATGCCGCTGAGACCCCTACCGTGAACCTTGCTAATGCAGCCCGGCTTACGGGATTTATTCGTGGCATGTTTTTCAATCCTTGCGAGAGGCTTTCTTGAAGGTCATGCGGGTGCTTACCAGCGTGCATATACCCACTTAAGAAGTCAAGCACATGTCGAGCTCGTCGAGCAGGAGCTTTTTCTCCATGGCACGAGCGTTCTTCCGAATTAGTTGGGGATCCTGGCTTGAAGATCCAACCGACCTCCCTCAAACTCGCTTCGACGCCAATCCATATCCTACTTACAACCGCAACGTCCGAAGAATGCCCCCGCGCTGGCAACGACCGCACCCACGCTGGTGACGAATGCTCTCGTTCGGCGTCGAACGCCACACGCCGTTTCGCGACAGCAAACGGCTTACGCTCTCCGAGCCGTCCTGTCTTATATGCGCATGGACGGGCTACCGACATTATATATGCATGCATACAGTCATCCGCAGTGGCTGACCGTCCTTATGCGTCCTTGTCGACGGGTGCCTGCTCATTAATGCTGGCCACCAAACTCGTGCATCCTTTGGAACCTCACCAGCCATTGAGGTGTGCATCATCGGCCCAAAGGAAACCCTCACTGGTGTTGTTTTTCTGTGAGTCCACCGGGCCTTCACCGGACATCCGGCATGCATGCATTCGTGAATGTATCTTGATGCCATACAATGCAGCTGCTTTCTGGACTGTTCTGCGACATCATTCCCTTCTTGACCCATCGTTGAGAATGTCAGCCCGCCCAGCAAAGTTCTGTCGTGCAGAACTCTTGCTGCAAAGACGAGGCAGCCCAGGTCGCCGAAGTTGTGAGTCCTTCATCTACGGAAAATATCAGAACATTTTGCTTGTTGTTTAAACTTCATCCATTGATGCGTTTCTCTACCTCGTTCATCGGATCGTCTCTTCATATCATCCGTTAGAGCGTTTTCTCTCACTCGTTCGTTGGGAGCAGGCCATCCCTTTCATATCATGGAGTGCACATCCATCCCGCGTTATCTATCGGAGCATTTTTCCATGTCGTCCGTTCACAGGCGCGTACTTTCGGGATCATAGGAGCATTTCTCCTCCCGTCACTGGCATACCTTCCACATTGTCTGTTTGCAGGCACATACCTTCGGGATTGTCGGAGCATTTCTCCTCCCATTTCTCAGCGTATGTTCAGCGTCATCTACTCAGAGGTGCGTGCCCTCGGAATCGCCGAGGCGTTTCTTCTCCCGTTTACGCATATGTTCTGTGTCGTCCGTTTATAGGCGCGTGCCTTGGGATCGTCGGAGCGTTTCTCCTCCCACTTTCAGCGTGTGCTCTGCATCGTCCCTTCATAGACGCATGCCTTTGGGGTCATCAGAGCTCGTCCAGCACTTGATGATGTGTCTCTCGTGTATTATTATTGTACCATGTATTGCCTGCTACTAGTAAACAGTAATATACAAATACTATTAACAACGGCCTTGTGAGCCTGAGAATTGTAATATAAGGCTTTGCAAGCCTGGCCATTCTCGCAAGCCTCGCAGTAACCTCGCAAACCTCGCTGTAACCTTGCAATGCCATGCAACAAATCGAGGTCGAAAACCTGCGGCTGGCAAGTGAGGTACAAGCCTTGTAGGGTTTGCGAGGTCTGGCAGACCATGCGAGGCCTTGCAAGGGCCTCGCGCGATTTTGACACTTTTGCTGATGTATGTGGATAGGACATCCATTCTTAGATGGGAACAAACGGACCGGTATAATACGTTATGCCTGTGGAATGTGTGATGCTGATTTGTTCAACAGCTTTATTCCTTGCCAACGAGTATCTTCGAGCTCAAGGCCTCCCAGGCTTAGCTGATGCTGTGCATGAAGGTCTCGCCAAGATTGCCGATCAGCACATCAATGTCGCCGCAGGGAAGGTGGATGTGGAGGGCCTAGCGAAGGCGATAGGCTCACGCGGATGATAGCGGCCCATAATCGTATTGTATCTATTGAATGTACAGGCATTTAACGTAAAACTTGAAGTGTGGTTGAGATAAGTGTGAAATCTGCTTTTGTTCGCGTCTCTTGATTAAGTGCGCCACTTACCGCAATGCCGCCATAAACTGCTAATGCACATCAATATGTCAAGCAGCCAACGGTTAAATCATCGAAGCCAGCGCCTCGCATGAGACGAATCGACTGTCGTTCTAGGTGCCACTCCGCGCCTGTGATTGCCGCTCGAGTCAGACCCCCCACAGGAAGAAGAGTTACCCTGCACAACGTGCAGAATGAGAACCGCAGCGGTAGACTTGATCATCGCCAGTCAAGTGAACACCAATGTATTGAAGCACTCGCCTCCTCCTCTGAAGATGAGAGCAATGCACCAGGACTCGACATGTCAGAACTTTCTGGAAGATCGAGAACTGGCCACCGTGTCAGCAGTTTTCAAGCGGGCATCCCGTCAAACGTCGACGCTGCAATTGATCAAACAAAAGGATGCGCAGTAAAGTACTTAGCATACATACAGCCAACCTACGTGGCCAACTCCTCGGCTGCTTCTGTAGAGTCCATCGATACGTCTTCCAGCTCGTCACTTGCACCCACTACCGTTTCCGCACCGAGTCTGGCTTCTCTTCTCGCTGCCGCCTTCGCCTGTAGCTCCTCAACCTCTGTGGCGAGCTTCGCCTATGGAGATATCTATGAAGTCCATAAACAAGCCAGTAAAGGCAGCACTCACAGCTTTCTCATCCAGTGCGGTTTTATCAAAGATGGAGAACGGCGGAGGAGGAGCCTCGAATTTCTTTCTCTGGCCTGATTTCAGCGCGATCAGTTTCAATACGCAGAAATAGCTGATGGAAGCGCTCTCACCGAATGCAGCAAACATAAACACCTCATTCATAAATTCGTGATTCCGCCGGTATCGTGTTAGTGCAAGTGTCCTCGTCGAGATCATGTCAGATTCGTCCGCAGAGTCATCCTCTTCTAGCCGTTGCTGACTCTGCACATGACGCTGCACACGAAGGTTAGTCATCACATAGGACAAGTGAGCAATGACTTACATTCATACTTGCACTACGCTCCCTTGCCCTCCGCTCTAGCGCATCCATATTGCTATTCTGCTGGGCGAGCAGCGACTGTGGGTTGCCTATGATGCCCGCTCCGAATCCCATGCCCATCATGGAAGGTGGATGCCGGTCGCTCACGGATGGGTGTGCATTCGGGAGTACCTTCTGTCCCACCCTGTCCCCTCCGACGAAGACCGCCGGTTCATTGGTGATCGGTCTAAGCGGGTACGAACGAACGGGCTGATTAAGATTAGGCATGATTGCTGCCTCGCTTTCAATACAAGAGCACGAGATGAAGAATGAAGTGAGACCACGTACGCATCGCCTGGCCGCGAGTGTAGTGGATGAGGACCAGCCCGGGGTTAGCGCCCTTGTTCATGCGGTATCGCCGTCTCACGCGCCACGCCGAGTTGTCTTGTCCTGGAACAAAGCCGAACTTTATCTCCATAACCTCCAGTTCCTACCCAGACATTACGGTCAGAGAATGATGGCCTGAACGGACCTGCTAATTCTCACCCGACCTGCGCCGGCTTGTAGCACCGCTTTCTGCTCGTTATCCTGGTAGCGTACGCCGTCAATAGGAAAGGGCAGCTGTGGCGTAATGAACACAAGAAATATCTGCCCTTCTGCACTGACGGTGAGATTGAGCGTCGAGCTCCGAGTGACGTACACACCTGAAGGTTTGTCGATGTAACCCCAGACAAATGGGGTGTGTGTCGCCAGCTGAGCGGCACGAAGAAGCATGTGCACGGCAGTCTCATATGTAATGTTTGGCTGAGGGCTTATAGAGTCAGGATACTTGAGACAAAGGCCTTCGGTCTGAGTTTGCGTAGACATATCCTGAACGAAAAGATATGGAACACAGCCTTGAATTTTATATGTACAATCGAAGGTCTTTGATCACCGATGCCAGTAGACAGACAATCTGGCAAGGCCTTTGATGATGCTGTGATAATTTTTGGTAAATGAGAGAGAAGGATCGGGCCCAGGATGAAAGACGCGTGCCACAGACGCGGCAGTGCTGGGAGTTTGTTTGCACTTGTTAAAATCAGAAGCCTCCGCCTGCCTAAAATAGAATAGGCAGGCTGTACCCGTAAAATCATCCGAATTACTTTCGAAATCAAAAATATTCGCTGTTCGACATACTGACCATGCCTCTCTCGTACAGGTGTTTGTGTCAGTTCCGGATCACGGGTCGCTCAGGCTCGCAAATCTCAACCATCACGTAGTCACAATACTTCTCGGCAATGTTGACGTATACCGAAGATCGCTATTGAATGTAGCGGGTTTGGAGACAAAAGCACCGTGTTGAGTATACCTCCCACATAACGTCGCAGCGGGTCGATCCTTCCCATCGCTGGTGATTGCAAACCGTCGCTTCGACTTCGCCGAAGTCCCATTAGTGCATTGCCCTCCCTATCGCGGAGAGTGCCGCTTTGTGAGTGTCTTTTAACCGATGAATCTCAGTCAATGCTAGTTACGATCATGGGAATTGCTGTCATTACTGCTCACCGTATACCCGCTTTGACGTAAGCCCAATTTACGTACGAGCCAATCAGCGAGCACGGAACTGTGCTGGACATCGCATGTGAGCACCTGTAATCAGTGAAATCAGCAACGCTCATTCTCCATAGATAACCTCGAAGCTGCATTGCGGCGGCGACCTGCCGGAGCGCGCTTGTGATTGTTATCCCTTCCGTTGTGGCGTTGAACTGATGTATTCAACTTCAAACTCATCAGATTGCACACAGAAATTGGAGGCGACACATATGTGAGGCAGGAAAGGAAGTATATTAGTACAAGACGAGAAAATTGAAGCAACTATCGGTCGTACATCGTTGATGGAAATATACGATCTTTCACTCGACTTCCATAGCGTGATCCGTCGCACGCTTCTACGCTCGGGCCGTGGCGTAATGTGAGTGTACGTTAGTCGCTTAGAAGCCAAAAATGGAGTCTTGTGGTTGCATAAAGGCTCCACCAACGCCATCACGCCTCTTGGCCAGCCCCGTACTCCATATCGTCTTGACGTACCTGCTGTCCATTCATGACTCATTCGCTTGTCGTTCAGCTCGTGGCCATCGCGGCCGTGCTGTTACTGTGGAAAATATGGCGCTCCCACCATGTCTTGGACAATATCCCTGGCCCTCCGAGACAGTCCTGGTTTCACGGTGAGAGCAGGTCGCATATCAGCCCGCTGTCTTGGATCATAACCGTACGTCGCATTGCAGGAAATGTGCGGCAATTTGCCTCTCGCCATGCATCGGATTTCCAGCGGCACGTCGCATTCGCCTACGGATCAGTTGTGAGGCTCCACGGTGTTATGGGCGTGAGTAGATCGTAGTCCATTCGTTTTTCTGTGGAAATGACGGAGCAGATCATATCAGGCACCCATGCTGTATGTCTCGGACCCGAAGGCTCTTCACGCTGTCATCATGAAGGATGAACAGATATATCAGGAATCGGACACGTTTATTGTGTGCGTGTCAACGAGCTAGGCGTCATAATATAGTCTCATACCTGCGTTCAGGATGAACAACCTTATATTTGGTCCGGGACTATTGAGCACTCTCGGTGAGTCGTCATTGGTTTCCGTCGCGGAATCCAATTCCGATACTGGAGGCACCAGGCGAACATCACAGAAAGCAAAGGAAAATGTTGAACCCTGTGTTTTCTGTTGCACATATGCGCCGCATGTTGCCTCTCTTCTACCAAGTTGTATACAAGGTGCGGGTCGGCATGCTCTGCATATATGATAGGCACCTTCACAACAGCGAAACAGTTGCGAGATGCCATCCAGGTCCGGGTGGATGCTGGCGCGGAGGAAGTTGACGTCCTCAATTGGATGTCACGCGCTGGGCTTGAGATGATCGGACAGGGCGGTCTTGGCTACTCCTTCGATCCATTGACGGCAGACACCAATGACGATTACGGCGACGCTTTGAAGTCATTCAAGTGCGTATCCATTCTTTCGTGCTAATACCACCCGCAGCTTATTGTTATGGTTAGCACGCATGTGCAGGCTGTACAGGTGTGGCAACGCATTGCCCCGTACCTGATTCATCTAGGTCCGGCATGGCTCCGCGCTTGGCTTCTGGATAGACTGCCGGATCCGGACGTCCGCGGCCTCAAGAAGTTGGTCGACACGATGGATAGGAGATCCAGAGAAATTTACCAGGAGAAACAAACCGCTTTCCATCAAGGCGACGAGGTGCTCGTACAACGAGTCGGAGAAGGGAAAGACATTATGAGCATTCTCAGTTGGTTTTTGCATTGCTTCGATAGCTTGCTTGCTAATTTTCCATAGTGAGGGCAAACATGACTGCGGACGAGAGCGACAAATTGCCTGAATCGGAGCTCATTGCACAGATGTCGTAAGTCCTCAACGTGCCTCTGCCTGCTCCCTGCGTGATGGTAGGTTACGCGTGATAGGACGTTCATATTGGCAGGCATGGATACGACGTCCAACACTGTGTCTCGTATGCTACATCTGCTAGCAGAGAATCCTCAAGTGCAAGACAAGGTCCGTGAGGAGGTATTGGCTGCTGATGCAGCTAAGGGTATCTCATACGATGATCTGAACCGCCTACCTCTTCTCGATGCCGTATGCCGGGAGACTTTGCGCCTGTGAGTCACAAATCATTTGCACCATTGTCCCGTATTGTAAATGGGTTATTGGCCAGCTATCCGCCCGCCACCATTCTCTCACGTGTGTAAGTCGCGACAGCTGTCACCTACATCGTCTGCAGGAATACTGAAGATTATCGCCGCTCCTATTACAGGCCCAACCAAGACGTCATACTTCCTCTGTCGGAACCCATGGTCGGGAAGGACGGCAAGACCATGAGCGAGATACCCATTCCGAAGGGCACAGAGATCATCATCGGTGTGCTAGGCTCAAATGCCAACAAGGTTATGTGGGGGGAAGATTCCCTCGAGTGGAAACCACAACGTTGGCTCTCGGGCCCACCCAAAGGTGTCGCTGATGCTGGTATACCTGGCGCATACTCGCACCTGTACGCCGGATGAGCCTTTGATATGTGGACGTTTTATTGACATGGGTTTTGTAGGATGACGTTCATGGGAGGAAAACGGGCTTGCATGTACGGCTGTATCCCTTTCTTATTTTCGAGCTGGTTTTAATCCTGCTCCCCTCGCGCAGCGGCTTCAAGTTCTCAGAAATGGAAATGAGTACGTATTCTACGGTTTTCTGATTCTCGTGATGCTAACGTATACAGAGGTTCTACTGTCGGTCTTGCTTTCGACATTCGTGTTCGAGTCGACCGGAAAGCCTATTGAATGGAACGTTTCTGGCGTCTACTATCCGACTGTAGGGAAAGAGAGTAACACGCCATCTTTGCCTTTGAAGATACGCTTTTACAAGGGTGTCACAGCGTAGGTGCTCGGCGTGTGTACCTTCAAGTATCTAGGCGGATGCATTGGATCTCATGGAGACCCATCATGACGGCGCGTCGTAGCGAATCGGACAACCGTTCCAGCCCTGTAAACATGGTATTGTTTCTTATAGCGAGAACACTTTCATAAATACCCCCAGGTTTTGATGACAATCAAATGTTTTGTATCCAAATGGGCCGACTGGAAAGCGTCAGGATCTAGGAATATTCTCGTATCTTCTGGTGCTTCTGCTGCCTATCGGATGCTCACTTTGCTTGATAAGCACTAGTAGCGGAAATGGTCATAGAGCGGGCAAGGAGAAGCCTTGGGTATTGCTAACCCGGGTATGCGAAGAGCGCACCATCAAACACGTTCATATAGCTTAAACAATGCTTTAACGGGCCTTACTGGACAAACGCCTCTGTTCTTGCGCTAATGAGCCCACAATTTGTGTTTATTTGCTCGTATCAGGGTCAGAGGCCTCAGCCGTGCTGTTGAATGAGAAGCGCTGGAAGAATGCCCGGATTGAGCAATTTGAAAAAAGACTAGTACGATGCTACTTATCTTTGATCGGCTTCATCCCGTAGGTACGACAATAATGCAGGTCAGCTTACCATATTTTCTTCCGACCTCACTCGTTGGGCGTACTTTTTCAATGCTCTGCCGGATATATCCACCGTCGTGTTCTTTAAATCGATGTGACTGGGATGCGGAAGAAGTGCTCGACGCTGCCTGCAGGTGCATAACCATCAGACCTTTGGGTTCCTATGACTACAGATTGCCGCTTGAACTTGTGGAAGTCCCATCTGAAGACGAACTTTGTTGCATTAGTCATTAATCATTGTGAGCACTCTATCGCCCACATTGCTTCAGACGTACTCGGGTCTGATTCATGCAATATCCAGTTCAGCGGTAAGCTCGATTTACGTGCAGGCCAATGAATGAGCGTGGACATAAACAGTCACTGCTTCCCATCTGGCAGTAGAACCAATGGCACAAGACCATTCGCGTTTCCGTGTGGGCGTTTTAGAATCAAAGTCGAAGATCAAAAGCAATACCTCACTCCACCAAGACAGTCCGGGTATCAGCAGTGGGTTAAGAATGTGTTTGCTCGAGGTCACTAGAACGACCAGTACGTCACACGCGAATGGAAATTACTGGCTTCTGATATCGTCAATTACCACGAAGATCCCAAATGGAAGCCGTGTCCACAAGCTCAACAAAGCGACCTGTAATCGTCTCTCAGGATCGGGCCGTCTATTAATGCGCACGTACGTGTTGTGGCCCGGCACAGAAGGCATATAAGACCCCCCTGCGACGGTCGTGTGTACTTCTGAGTCTCCGCCACACCTACTGGTGTTCTGCTGTATCTGCCCTTCGCGCATGTTTTACCAGATCGTAGCTCAACTTCTGCTGGCGGCGGCGGCGGCGCTGGTGTTATTAAAGTCTTGGAGCTCCAAGCTCGTATTGGACAATATCCCTGGTCCTCCTAGGCAGTCATGGTTTCGAGGTGAGCATAGCTTCCAGGCTATCATATGCTCAGTGACAGTGCTGCGCTGGACATATGACATCCTGATAGGTAACCTGGAGCAGTTCTTCTCTCGCCATGGTATGGACTTTCGAAGACATGTCGCAACTGCCTACGGCTCAATTGTGAAGTTGCATGGTATTATGGGACTGCGTAGGTATTCTGCTCACTCTTTGGATTTTTTGCTTAATTGCGATAATTGTTTCAGGAGCGGATGTTGTATGTTGCAGATCCAAAGGCATTGCACCACATCCTGCTCAAGGATGAACAGATCTACCCAGAGTCGAACCAGACTATCGTGTGAGCATGGTTGGATTAGCTGGACTCGTCTGCTCTAACGTTTACCTTCAGGTTGAACAGCTTGCTATTGGGGCCCGGACTGCTGAGCACCCTAGGTGAGTATCCGCGGTGTTCTCAAGAGCCATTAAGTGTACAACTTTCCTGGGTTCAGGCGAGTTGCACAAGAGACAAAGGAGGATGCTGAACCCCGCATTCTCCGTCTCACACATTCGGAGCATGTTGCCGCTATTTTACGAGATAGTACATAAGGTACGCCTCGAGACGCCGGAAAGATCTAGTAATCGATGGTAATAAAGCGACAGCTGCGCAATGCCATCAAATCTGAAGTAGTCAACGGTGCGAAGGAAGTCGACATACTGAACTGGATGGGACGCGTGGGTCTTGAGCTGATTGGACAAGGTGGTTTTGGATATTCCTTCGACCCATTGGTTGCGGATGTTCAGGATGACTACGGATATGCGTTGAAGTCCTTCAGGTATGTCGTAAGCAGAATGCTCAACCGTTTGAAGCTGATAAGCTCGGTTAGTACTCATTTACAAGGGATATCGGCATGGCTGCGCCTTTTGCCGTACTTTGTGCACATTGGCCCACCATGCTTCCGCGCATGGGTGACGGAGATTTTCCCAAATCCAAATGTTCGAGGCCTCAAGGTCGTCATCGACACAATGGACCGGATGTCCAAAGAAATTTACCATGCAAAGCAAGCTGCAATTCAACAAGGCGACGAGGCAACGATACATCAAGTTGGAGAGGGGAAAGACATCATGAGCATTCTCAGTCGGTCTTGTCATACTTCACATGCGGTACACTCTGAAGTCGGTTACAGTGAAAGCTAATATGACGGCAGCGGAAAATGACAAGCTGCCGCAATCGCAGCTGATCGCGCAAATGTCGTGAGTCCTGTTTCTGGCCCTGATTCCCGTGCTCCGTTCACAATACCACACGGTAGGACGTTTACGATAGCCGGCATGGACACGACTTCAAATGCTCTTTCCCGCACCCTGCAATCGCTGGCAAAGCATCCTCATGTTCAGGATAAGCTTCGCGAAGAACTTCTGAAGTCCGGTGCTGCTGAAGGGATTCCATATGACGATTTGAACCGCTTGCCGTTACTGGATGCAGTATGCCGAGAGACGTTGCGCCTGTAAGTGCCGTGCAGTCGTGTTAATAATACGATGTTAAGCAGCTGATTATGTCCAGCTATCCGCCTGCTACTTTTGTTGCGCGAGCGTGAGTCGAAAGGCTGAAAGTATAGAATTCTGTATCTCATTTGACTCGGTCTGCAGGCCAGTCCAGGGCGTCGTTCTTCCTCTGTCAGAGCCGATCGTTGGAAACGATGGAAATACCATGAGCGAGGTTGCCATCCCGAAGGGCACGGATTTGATTATTAGTGTGCTTGGTTGCAATGCCAATAAGGCTTTGTGGGGCGAGGACTCGTTTGAGTGGAAGCCCGAGCGTTGGCTCTCTACTCTGCCCAAGGGCGTCATCGAAGCTGGTATACCTGGCGCTTATTCTAACCTGTGCGTCGAGCAAACTCAACTCCTGTGTCAGTCTCCCATTGACTCGATGATACGTAGGATGACATTCATGGGGGGAAAACGAGCATGCATGTGCGTATTTTGCCTTTCTCCTATGGAATGCATGTTGACATGAGTTTCCGAACAGCGGCTTCAAATTTTCCGAGATGGAGATGAGTGCGTGCTGATTACTTCCTGGTTTTTGTGCTATTAATATATGCTCTCCTACAGAGGTTGTATTGGCGGTTTTGCTTTCCATCTTCACATTTGAATTGACGGAGAAGCCGATCGAATGGAATGTGTCAGGCGTCTCCTATCCGACCGTTGGGAAACAGAGTAACAAGCCATCTCTGCCGTTGAGGGTCCGCTTATTCAATGACATGGCAGCGTAGCCCCTAGCAACGTTTAAGAGTAGATAAGTGCTCAACGCAGACACCTCTCCCCTTGCTTACTCATCTTTTGCAAAGCAGTTGTACGAGATCGCAGTGTGTGTTTTGTGTTCATGTACTTATGCCTAATTCGAGATGCTGATTCTCCAATCGCAATGACTGATTGAATGCATCGCAATATATTTTCTCTCGCATATGCAGATGCTATGTCTTTCCTCGGTCCTTGCTGCTGTAACAATGACTTCCTGTTGAGTTTCCCAGCCAGCCCGCTGCGCGACCAGGAGTTCGGGAGTCGCCCGCTCTCTAGAAGATGGCTCCACGGGGCCAAACCGATGGCCCGTCCCATTGTAGCCGCGCCCTATTATATACACGCGCGCTACTACTCTCCCACTGGCACGCCGGTGGCGCAGGTCGCACCGGGGCCTCTCGCATCTGCGCTCCGTGCCCAGATTCCAACACTTCCTTTATCTGCCCATGGCTCGCTCAACTAACACAGATCATTACGACGTCAGACTTAGCTCAGGATGCATTGCCTTCTATCGAATATGTCCATGATACTCTTCGGCTTTGTGATCGAAGAGGCCAATTGAGTCTGCCTCAACTCTCCACAGAGTAATTTCGCCTGTTGCACAACTATACAGTTGTGATCAACATGTCGCTGATGCGGCATTCTTTCCGCGGACGCTTCTCATACGTATCATTTTTGCGACGATTCTATCAGTCAGTATGCGTTGTGGGCCTTGTCTTGTGGAGGATTATCCTTAGTGTCCGAGCTGGCTCCCACCTCACTGCAATTGCGAGACGGAATTCGTCTTCGCCCGGCCGGCGTGATGTAACACAGCTCGAGGGCGGCTCACGCCATGGTATATCAAGCTCAACTATGTATGCTGACAGCTGGTAGAGGGCGGGGCATTGATATATCATACGCAAGACGGAACTCCTAAGCGGGTGGCCGGTGTGATAAAGTGGTAACATATTTAACGAGGCTATACTATAGTGACGGCGATGCATGTATCATGATCATGCCAGCTAGTACAGGTGGCAGGAGGCCAGTGTCTGTTAAAATAAAAGGGACTGCATACTATGTTGGACCTTGTACGTTCTTATCTTCGTGCCAAGACGATGCCGTTGCAAGCTAGATACTTTCACATTCGACATACAGACACTGATATTTACAAATTGGCAGAGATATACAAGAGCTTCGACAACAGCCGCATCCCAACTATGCATATAATCGGAAACACGCCGAGTTTGACGTTCACTAGTTACGAAGCACCTTACGTGCTGATAGAGACGCTGTAGCTGCTGACATAGAGCGTAGCAGTTCCGGTGAATGCCTCAGTGCCAGACTGGATGGCTTGCAGAACCTGATAAGAGACATTATTAGTATTCGATGACAAGACCGATGGATATGCCAACAATCTTCACGTACCTGAGTGTCAGAGACGCTTTCGTTCTCGATGAGGTAGTCTGCAAAGGATCCTGTGAGAAAATCATTGTACAACCGGCGTCGGCGCGTACCGAAGAACTCCAACAAGTCTGCGCTGAAACTGTTGATGTTACCGTCAGCGCTGACGAAGGAAAGCGTCGTCCAACCCGAGTTCGGGCCAGACCACAGGTCCCAAGTATATCCTGCAAGCGATATGCCGGACGTTGCCACCGAACCGACGGGTTGAATGCTGATAGTCGGACTGTGAGTACCAGCAAAAGTGACAGATCGCGCCGACTTGCCCTCCCTCTCCTGAAAGCCAGATCATGCTGTGATTTGTTGTGAAGTGAATAACTCGCTCTCATGGGGTGCAAAACGACCTACATCTCATAGTTAGACGTGCTCGATGCCGGATCTCCGGCGGCAGTTCCCGTCCATATATCGTATCTGTTGCTATAATCAGCAAGATTCACATCACATATGGACGGACATACGAAACATCGGCACGCAGGCCCGAGGACGAGGACTGGTATTCCCAGTCGTAGGTCGTGGGCGCGGAGGTGATCTCCGCCAGCTAGAGCAACACATCAGGCCCGGTCTACAACTTGGCAACAGCGCATCACAAACAGTCATGCCCTGAGCTGCCGTCTGGTAGACATTCGCGACTAGGCAAAGGCTTCAGCAAGCACGAGAATGAGTCAATGTAATTTCCCTACAGGCCTTGACGTCGTTCTCGTTGTCCGCCCAGGTATAGGTGGTCGACCAAGTAATGCTGTCACCGCTGGTGCTGACGAGCGTGGAATTCTGGGAACCGACACCGTTAGCTGCGAAGTGCATCGTAAGCACTCATTTGCAAGCTAGCGACGAAAGGCCAACCGGAGCCCCACTGGTCCTGGCAGAGCTGGTAGTCGCCGGACGTGTCACAAGTGTACTGTCCGGTGAGCGTCGTCTGTGCGGAAGCGCAGGCTACGAGAGCAGCGAAAACGAAGGAGACTGCAAGTTTCATCTTGGATGGTGCGAAGGGCACTGGGCTTGCGCTGAAGTGACCACACAGACGTCGTCTCTTTTATACCTAGGCACACGTTGCACTTTGATCACTACGAAAATGAACGGTGGGAAGAGCACAACATCGCCAGCAACGACAAAAGATGCAAGAACCCACGGCACAAAATTAAGCCTGGGTCACGCACCGTGTCATCATACACGAAGATCAATGGCTCGGACGAAACGAATCAGGCACGGAATTTCCATCGTCGAGAAGTTCGATCGTCAAGGGAATGGGGCCGGCCGATTGTATTGTATTCAATTAGCCTTCCGTCCTGTATTTCGGCTCGCGGTCAGGAAACCCGAAGAATTTCCGAGGGCATCTGTCGTAATGAATACACTATCCATCATGAATCGAGACCAGCCTTGAGGCGCGTGCGTCGCCAAATGCTAACGGGATGCGGATATCCTGTATTCGCGAAGCTTTTCCCTCGGCACCAAGGAATATTGCATGGTCCATACACCGAGATGAGGTAACATCGAACGTGCATAACCGCAGGTGATGCCAACGTGCGATATCTGGTGACTTCATGCGGCCTTATGACATGAACGTGAGCTTCCTCTTGCACCGCCTGCCGACAAACCACACGCACCGACATTATGTACCGAATGAAAACTTCCAGCGTGCAGTGCGAACACAGCGAAGCTCCAGAGTCTCGAATGTTCCAATACAGAGCCGACGGAATCTGAGAAATGCAGTGACCAACTGACCTTTCACAGCCTACAGTCTCTGGTTATAACGAAGGTATGATTGTCCCTCCGGAATGAACTGTGGATAAAAGTGAGCTAGCTTGATACACTTGACTTGTTCTCGAGCACATTCTCTGTATACGGCAAAATCGAAAGAATCGACAGGTCATCCTCATACGACCTCACTACATTTCATCTTCCAGATGATCCGACGGCGAATATGCATCTGCTGACCGCATGCCGAGGAGCTGACTCAACGAGGGTCGCGGGGTCAATGAACAACCATTAAAACATGTCCAGAGCCCTTCATCGATTTCCAATGTCGAATGAGGCCGACAGCAGGCTGGCTGCTTCTCAGCCCTCATAGACATGCAAACAGTGCAATCTGTAATATATGGAGCAGTTGAGCTGATCTCAAGACATAACGCACTTTGCTAATAGCCTCCTGCTGGAGCGATATAAATGGGAAACAGGATTCCAATGATGATGCAGATGCGTGAATAGTAGTGGATACCGTGAGCCCTGAGATTCTTCGGCGACAGTTAGCGGACACACTGTGGAAGACTCCCATGAAACGAGGGTGCAATGCAATGATTCGCTTACTGAAACCACACTTAACGGTCAGTAATCAGATACATCACGGAACGAGTTGCGCGAGGAATAGAGTGCAATATCTGAAGTCGGCTTAATCCTCAGCCTCTCTCCTTGCCCATCGAAAGAGTGTCTACGGAGAGCTTTCAGCGTCGCCTGTATGATGAGAAACTGACGGACATCGGTTGCGACAATCACGCACTTGGACTGACACAATCGCAGAGTCTCATGATCCAAGCGTCTCTGAGCACCGCTCCGAGTCAGCCACAGACTCCAGAGATAAAGCGTCAGTCACGTGACGGGAGTGGCATACCCAGGAGGGACCCCGGCACGTCCCGATCCGCTACTAGCAGCGGCCAATCGCAACATACCCTTTGATCATCATTCGCGACGATGTTGAGGGCATCATCGTCGACTCGTACGTCCCTATGTCTGCCTTGCGTGCTTCACCTAACGATAGGTTATGCGCCAGAGGTTGCGCGGCCCTTGCAGGTCAAGCTCAAACTGCGACGGTCGTTTGCGACAGTGCAGGACCCCCCAATCCGGCATTATGGCGGACTGAAGGACCAAGATCGCATATTCACAAATGCATACAGCAGACATGACCATGGGCTTCAGGGTGCCCAGGTGAGTATGTAGCAGTGTTCATGGTTTGCCTGGTCTAATGACTGCTCTTAGTCCCGTGGTGACTGGCATAGAACAAAAGATATCATTCTCAAGGGCGATTCGTGGATCATTGACACCATCAAGCACTCTGGTCTTAGGGGTCGTGGAGGTGCGGGTTTCCCAAGTGGGTTGAAGTGGAGTTTTATGAACAAGCCGGGATGGGAGAAGGACCCGAGGTCCGTTGATATCCCCTGTTCCGCGTTGTAGTTTCTTATTTTTTTCTTATTCCCTTTAGACCGCGCTATCTCGTCGTTAACGCGGACGAAGGAGAGCCGGGAACTTGCAAGGACCGTGAGATTCTGCGAGGTGACCCTCACAAGTTGGTTGAGGGATGTCTCGTAGCGGGCCGCGCCATGAACGCGACGTCCGCATACATCTATATCCGTGGAGAGTTCTTCCAGGAAGCGTCACACGTTCAGCAAGCAATCTCGGAAGCATACGCTGCGGGGCTTCTCGGCAAGGATGCGTGCGGCAGTGGATACTCATTTGATGTCTACCTCCACCGTGGCGCGGGCGCGTACATTTGCGGAGAGGAGACGGCGTTGATCGAGAGTCTCGAGGGAAAGCAGGGAAAGCCTCGCCTCAAGCCGCCGTTCCCTGCTGATGTTGGACTCTTCGGTTGCCCGACTACCGTGGCAAATGTCGAGACAGTTGCTGTCGCGCCGACCATCTGTAGGCGTGGGGCGGCCTGGTTCGCGTCGTTTGGACGGGAGCGCAACCAGGGCACGAAATTGTTCTGCATCAGCGGGCACGTGAACAACCCTTGTGTGGTGGAGGAGGAGATGAGCATTCCACTGAAGGAGCTCGTTGAGAAGCATTGCGGAGGGGTGCGCGGTGGGTGGGACAACTTGTTGGGCATCATTCCTGGCGGTAGCTCCGTGCCTGTGCTGCCCATCAAGAAGTGCGAGGAAGTTTTGTTAGTGCAGTACACTTCCATTCTCCGGAATTAGCTATTGACCTTGCTACTGCAGGATGGATTATGACTCCTTAAAGGATGCCCAGTCCGGTCTTGGTACGGGCGCCGTCATCGTCATGGACAAGAGCACCGATATTGTCAAGGCCATTGCACGTTTCTCTCACGTACGTGCTTTGCCTCCGATCGATGGCAACTTACTCATGGGATTCTTATTATTAGTTCTACAAGCATGAATCGTGCGGACAGTGCACACCTTGCAGAGAGGGCACCACCTGGATGATGAACATGATGGATCGATTTGTCGAGGGGCGCGGTCACCAGCGCGAGATTGACATGCTTCTCGAGCTCACGTGAGTCGATTATCTTTTCCGCAAGTTTCGACGGCGTTCTGACAGCGCCGGCGCACGCATAGCAAACAAGTCGAAGGCCGCACGATTTGTGCCCTTGGTGATGCCGCGGCCTGGCCGATCCAGGGCCTCATGCGTCACTTCCGCCCGGAGGTTGAGAAGCGCATTGCTGCATTCCGTGGAGAGCATGGGCCGGTTCTGTTCGGCGGTAGGCTCAAAAGCCAAACCGACCCGTCGCTCGCGCTTCCGGATAACCTGGGCGCCAACTTGCCAGAGTTGCCTGAGGTGGCCGCGCCAGGATCGTGAGTGTCTGCTCCGAGATTGTGAGGAACGTGGTGGGATGGAGTAAGGTTTGATAGGTGCTGACTGGCACGTGTGTCCTGGATGCTGTAAATGTGGCGGAGGATGCATACTTTTTCAACCATTTTTTTAATCAAACGTGAACATTCATTCATGTGCGCATCTAATCCTGTTGTGCTGATGTACGCGTTGGTTTGCATGCTGCCGCAAGATCCTGCTGAGTCACCCTACAGGCGGCGGCGTTGACCCAGTCCAGGGAGCTGTACTGGACATATTGGATGCGCGGATGAAGCATCCGTTGTTTATGTCACGACGGATCCATCGTTGGCACAACGAGTAGCCACAGGCGCTCCGTGCAGGATAGATGCCATTGTTCGCCCACACAGGTTGGCGCGATGCAGAAGAAAGGCATGAGTCGACAGCACCGCCCAGTACGGATGCCCATCTTCGGGGTGTGTCTCATTTCACACGCTCGTTATTCTCATCGCTTCCAGGACGCCTCTACTGAGAAATACTCGGCATTATGTGAGTTAGCCTATCATCATTGACCGTCTGAAAGGACTTCGAACTCGAACGGACCCTCGAAGCTTAATCGCAGCCTTTATACTCAAGCTCCAGACTCGGCATGCCATTCGCGACGTTCTTTCGTAACCTGAATTTTATGCGATGATGTCTCGTCTGGACAGCTTCAATCCAGAGCAACGAATAGTAAGCACCCCGTTGTCTGAATATAGAGCAGTCCATGAGCATTCCGCGATCAGGAGAAGCAGCAGGTTTGATATTGTACACAAGATGCGGACGCACGTTCACTGCAGCGGAAGATTTCTGAACGTCTGCTGGTCTGCATGAGGCGTCCTCATTCATCAGGTTCTTTGTGTTTGTGTAGGGATTGCCTGCGGGTGTGGTCTCCGCTGCCGGTCTCGCCCCCGAAGAATTTGGACACTGAAATCCCCGCCTATACGGTGGCTTTTGCATTGCTTCTCGATGGCGTGAAAGCGTATGTCACTGTTTCTTTTTTCTGCGACCCATCGGAATTTGCGCTATTGGCCTTGCAGCCGTGAACAAGTCGCCGACGTTACACGGGTTGCTCGGCTTTTGTTTACCACTCAGCCACAAAATGCCTTGTCTTTCCCTACCTATGCATCTTTTGTGATCAACGAGACATCCCCGCACGAGTTTGTAGAAGCGAGTATGGTGGCTCGCCGTTGTGTTGCGCGAATCTAATTGAGCCTTGCCAATGCAAGAACGAAGATCACGTATATTTACGGGGATTACAATTACATCACGTTTTCGCCGAGACTCCCGCGCGGGACTCTCAAAGCCATTCAAAGCCTTGCTCTGCGCCGTTGTCCGCCGACGGAATGGTCCAAGAGCCAAACATATGGCGTCTTCATTTGCGCGAAGGGAAGCTCAATGTCTCCTCACCCTCGGTGCCGGAGGCTGTGCCGCCTGTGCGCTAGAGAGCACATATAGCCGTAACGGTTGGTACTACTCAACGATGAGTGTTCAGTGCACATTGCATCGTGTTTCGTTTGCACTATCTTCACTTCCTGAGCTGCGAGTACTCGCGTGATATTCGCCCGTTATAAGAAGGACGTCCATCTCCGACTTATAATAAAGTCACTCGCAAATCAAGTAAGACTGTACGACGGGTCGATCATTGGACGAACTTTGACTCTTGGCACACGCATATGGACAAAACAGCGATCCATCGCGCCGCAAACCGCTACAGAACGAGTAGACCTCCTCGTTCCATAGCGTAAACAATTGACCAAGGAAGATGATCGAACCCGCGTCTTAATAGTCAAGCCGTACGCGAAGCGAGTGCACTCACCCCAGACATGAAGCCGTTTTTTTAACGCATAATAGGCATTTAAAATTCGATCTGGTATTTAAAAATTGATATTTACATTTACACTCGTCACGTTTCCATAGACATATATGGAATCTGGGCGTGACTATTGCATCACACAATACGATCAGCGGTAAATTCTGAATAGACGACACTTTGCTCAGTTTATAATAATGAATCTCATACGCCGTCGTGCAATACGCCCTCACATAGTTCAGAAAGAGCACAAGGAAAGTGACAGCTGCAAACCAATCTTCGCATATTTGAAATACGCCCGCTCCTTAAATTGGCGGAACTATATACAATATTTAACGATGGTAGATTTCAGATCTTGAGCAATAAATTTAACATATACACATGTGCAATTACCGCCTCGCGGTCCCCTTTCCGAGCTCGTGAGATAAGTGAACAGGATATAACGGATTCAATTCGACACAGAACAAAGTAACCTGCCGTGTGAGACCACCGCTGAGGTGGACTCCCAGCTCAGTTCCCTATCACCGGAATACATCCAGACGTCAGGTAAAGTGGCACATGTACAGGTAGTGCAAAGACGCGCCATGTTGTCTGTGCAGTCAACAACAGCATCCTTCCACAGCTGCAAGTTCGATAGAATGGGAAATTGCCGCAACCAGCTGGGTAAATGACTCTATTTTGCAACCTTTTAGCTATCGGACTATGCCAATCCATGATGGCTGACTTACTAAGAGCAACGCACTGAAGGAATCCCGCTTATTCTCCCTCGATGCTTGTTCCGACACAACGTACTTCACGTTAGGAAGTAGAACATCCGATACCAGAAGTCCGATCATATCGTTCGGTGTTTCGTCAATGCCTGCTGCCATAAAAGGAGGAAACGTGCAATTGAGCCAGTATAGCTCGTCAAGCTCAGAGACAAGTGTGAGCACCTTGGAGAGGCTGCAAACGAATTCGGCAGCCTTCTCACAGTGGAGACTAGGAAGAATCATCAATCTCTCCAGAGTGGTGGCGCTCGTGCGCTCGTCGCCTAGTATGTGGAGAAGGTACATGGTCAGCACTGCGAGAACCCGCAGATGAGATAAATCTGAAGGGGGGGTTCGTCGACGGGCTACACAGCCGTAATCTGAATGACACCCTATATGAAGTTCCTCTAGTCTGCGATGGCGCTGCAAGAAACGATCGAGGGCAACGTGAGTAAGTTCACCCTCGATTCGTAGGATGCGGAGGGTAAGGATCATGAGTCACTCCAAAATAAGGGACCAGGGAGGGGAAGCGAGACCTGGTGTGACTAAAGTCAACTCGGCTAATGAGGTGGAATTGATCATCTTCAATGTCCATTGAGACAAAGAAGAATCGAACAGTGCAGCCGCCTGAGGCTGAAATGTTTCCAAGGTCGAGAATGAAAAGTCGGGCGAGCAGGGCACATGCTTGGATGGTAAGACAGGGCGGCAAATGATGCTACTCCTGTGCCAGAGCGTGATACTCGAAACACAACTGTGACACAACGTATTCAGTACCTCCACCAGCTGCTGTCCTGGAAGTGAGTTGAGGAAGAGTTTCACATTCCGCAATGGTGAATCAGTCCCCAGGGATGCGAAGAAATGACCCAGTCACATGTATTCGGAAGGGGTGTTGATACCGATACACAGTATCCGGGGGCACTGGAATAGCAGCGAATGCCGCCAGAAAGAAAGAGTCGTGATGGCATCATCTCTGAGTAGGACAATGACTTTGTCAGCTCCAGAAATGTGTAAGCCGTGTCGACGAAGGTAAATGGGAACGGTGATAAAGTGCATACGACGGGACAGGGTGGTCAGACACACAAGGTCGCTGTCTGGCAGTAACTCAGCAATCGTGAGGACCAGTTCGTTGGGGACATGGAAGAAAGCATCTCTACTGGGTGTAGCAAAAATCTAGGACGGTAACCGAAATAAGCGAAAAAGCCCGGACAAACAGAACAGCACTTATGACTGTAAGCTCCTCGTGGATGAGGCAAAGTGCGTCTTGATCTGCTTCGCTTATTGCAGCTGAAGATGACTTTACGTGGTGATGGGAAAGAACAATGAGAAAGGATCAGATAACAAAAGTCAATGGGTACCTACAGCTGGAATAAACTCCTTGCCTGTCAACCCATCATGAAGCTGGGCCGATGCTGTTGCGGAAGCAAGCTGCTAAGAGCAAATGAACACACCACACTTCTGAAAACATAGCCATGAACGTACAATTTCCTTCGCGAGGACAGTATCACGGCAATGAATGGCTCTGCGTGTCCTTGCCACGTAGTAGAAGAGAATGCTAAGCACAAGACCCATGATTGCAAGTGATTGACAGGGACAAATGGTTAAGATAGACCCTGGACTGACACGAGCCAAGACTTTATATCTCGAACGCGGATGAGTCCACCACCATGATTGTGAGACCAGTCCAGGCAAACAAAGAGGCGGCAAACTTGTAGCCCGAATAGAGAAAGACAGCCAAACCTGCACAGGACATACGAACAATTAGCATCGAGCTTGGGACAATAGTGGACGACTAGTACTTACTTGCATGGAAAGTGTACATGACGGAAAGCCCGCTACTCTGAGCAGCCAGAGAGGAAGCGAGAATACAATGGATGAAGAGCGTTACGCGTTCTCGGTGTGAGCGATCTGGAGCGATGGAAATCCGGGAGAATGATACTAGACGGAATAATTAGTTGTTGACCTCAGAACAATGGATCTTGACTCACCTGCACAGAAAACATACGCGACAAGCAGAGAGACAATGGACGAGCACGTTGTGCATCGTTGGCGTTCGCTATCCAGAGCGATGAAAAGCCGGGCTGCAGAGCTCAGCAGCGGACAGAAGAATGATAATGAACCATTTGGACAATAAGTGTCAGCCAGAAAGCGTAGCGATGACGAGCTCACTGCTCTGAACCAGCCGGAGGCACTCAAGCGGGGAAACAATGGATGAGGAGCACTATGCATTGCCGGTGTTCACCATCTAGAGCGATGCGATAGAAATCCAGGAGAACAATACAGACGGAGTTCGATAATTAGTTAAGCGGCCGGAGATGCAATGGACCGGGAGCACTACGCATCATCGGCGATCGCTGTCAAGAGTGATGCGATTGAAATAAGGGAGAACGATACTAGACGAGATTAGACAATTAATGTCGATCTCGGGACAAAAGAGGCTGACTTACCTGCAGAAAGCTTGCTGCTCCGAACACCTGGAGACACACGAGCAGGGAGACAATAGACATCGTCGGTGTTCACCACTGAAGCGATGGAAAGCCGGGCTGCATCGAGAAAGATGGGCGACTTCATTAGACGGATCACTAAGAGAAAGAATACGTACCTGCTGCACGGACACATGTACATGTGCCAGATCAAAAACAAATGCACGGTGTAGAACGAGTTGGAAAAACGCGAGCAGATAATGCATGCGACGGTGGACGGCATCGGATGGACAATGTTCCGCAACGTTCTTTTAACTGCAATGGTCGATGAGCCAGGGCTACGAGAAAGACGGGGATGATGAGGACAATGGGGACTCATTGTTTTTGCACTCAAGTAAGCCGAATCATATTTTATTTCAATGCTATGCTAGAAGACTACGACGCCCACGCTGACGAGGCTAACGACAACGGCAGTGGCGCTGACGATGACGACGACACTGTCTGCTCAATGGACATAATGCTGAGGAGGCCACCCCAACAAGGGGGCAACCACCACCATGGCAGGTCGCGAAGGAAAAAAGGCGCTCAAGCAGGTGCTGGAGGTAATATAAAGTTCTTTGTTCAGGTGTCACAAAGCACCAAAGCACTTAACCCAATTAAGGGCAAGTCTGCTTTTGTGACCTGCACAAATGATCCCACATAAAAAGCCTGCCACAAGGGCTAGGCTAAGGACGCACGCAGTGGTATGCAGTCTGAAAAAGGGGCTCAAAGGGCCCTTAGCCTTATGCTCACAACTAGGGGGTGAATTGGCTTGTTAGGCCGCATGCAATAGAATAATGAATCTAAGGTCTTCCCTTAGATCCTCATGGGCTTATATACATGTAGGGGTGGACCCTGGTCACTCTAACTAAGGTGTACCTACTGGGGTCCTGTCCTTTCTACATGTGAACATATTGCCA